CTCATTAAGTCGCAATTCTTAAGTGTCAGATAGCGGAGATTGTCTTTTTCCCCCCCAATTGCTAGGTGTCCAATTTGAAACCTGTTGTACAGAAAAGTCCTTTGGAGAACATCCAGTTGACATTAATGTTATTAAAATTTGATGATGGTATCTATTGGACTCAGTTACGAATAAACTACAAGAGGGTTCTCTTATTTGGCTTGAGGAATCGATATCATTAAAATTGTAATCTGTAATTCATGACCACTCTTTTAATTTCCATGACAGAGTACAAATAATACTAAAATTGTTATGTAGACTAGAATGATAGTCCCTCATTCATGCTCTGTTAGCGACGACTGATTCCTCTCCGTTCCCCTGAAAACCATGTGGTCCTCCTTAAAATCACCCCTAAATCACTTATTAGGGTCACGAGAATAAAGGAAATGATCACCCATCAAAGAAGCCCTTGCATTGATTGTTAAACAAATTCTCCTTGTCAGCACCTGAGGCAATGTATGAAAAACAGTTGGAAGAATATGTATACTGATGCTAATTTGTAAGGCGTGAACTAAAACTTTCGCAGGTTTCTGGCAAAGATCAGCTATTTAGTCATTAACACACAAGATTACATTAACCTTTAGATTTCTTCACGTTGGCTTTTAAGTACAAACCCTTGAAAAGTTTTTTTATTTTTCATGTGTGACTGCAAAAATGAACGAAGCTGCAAGATAATTAACTCAAGACTTTTTACAAAGAATTATCCGTGATAATATTTCTCTAAACGTGAGAATTCTGAAACTCTAAGTAATTAAATTGATCAATGAATTTACCAAACGAAGATTAGTTGACAAGTAAATTAGATATGAAAGGAGGCATTTTGAACTCTGAAAATTATCGCAATAAATTACGATACACGGAAACCATGTGACAAGAGACGTAGCTACCACAATATAAAAAGTTCTTGAGACTTTTGCATTGGGCCCTGATATGTTTTGTTTGTCGTGAGCCATATCTAAGGAAGGATCTCCTTGGCTGAGTCTTTTTCAGAATGTCAAACACGACGCACACATGACTATCAGACATAAATGAATGACAACAAGGTATGTGACCGTCCAATGGAATAATTCTACGAGGTTGTACACAGCAAGCAGGCACATCACGCATGAGTGAGATCTCAGAGCTACCCACGCCAAAATCGAACTGTAAATAAAACTGCTCATTGTTGATATTCGATGGCGAGGAGGCCTCAGTAAAGCATATAAACGCTCCAGAGAAACAAGCATTGAGAAAACTATCAGTGGAGCCAAAGAAAAAGTTGTTTGAAATGCGGCTAAAAGGTTTGGTGATTTGGACGCTAAGTAAAGGAAATCCAATGATCGCCAATAACCAGTATTTCCATTATTCGAACAAGTCGATCTGCGACTGCTAAGTTACCGAGAAAATAGGAGGATAGCTTCAGTGTTGCGCGGTTCTTCCAAAAAACGTATATGGTGAAAATGTTTTCGATGACAATGGCCACGGTTTCAATGGTGTTCAAGTAGAAAAATGCGGTGTTAGAATCCTCCATTTCTGAAGCCTTTATTTAGCTACGTTGTCTTTGCCCCAAAGCATGGAAACTGCCATTTGTTTGAAATAAAAAGTGGGCTGTGACTGCAGGTGTTTTACGAAGAGTAGGATCAAATTAAACTGTCTTCATACAAATATTACTCTGTAAAAGTCCAACGATGTACCAAGATTCTGGTTTTAATTAAGACTCCACAAAAGGTGTTTGACCAACTGGGGATGACATCACTTTAAGCTGTACTGATCTACGATTAAAAGTATTTTAGCCGCATTATTTAATATTTTTCTTTAGAAAACAAAACAAACATTGACGAGTTTTCTAAAATTGAAATTGTAGTGACAATTTTGAATCGGATCTACGTTGTCCTAATGACTTTTCCTACAAACTGATTTTTTTCAATTTGGTTACCTCTGGAGAGGGGGAAGGTAACACGGAGCATCTTCTCTACTTTAATTGGTTCTTTAAAAATATATGCCAGTTTAAAAAAAGAATATTACTATTATTTACACTCGGTCATGGAAATCATGGGCTTAGAATTTAATAACATCAATTCCAACTGGATGTTCTTCTAATGACTTATCTGTAGAATAGGTTCGGACACCCTAAGGGAAAAAATACAACCTTTTGTATGGTTTGATTCGATCAACTGAAACTTAATTACTACGACTTAGTCCGTTGGATCACGGAAAATAAATGCAATAAACCACAACAGGCTGAGTCCAATAAATACCTCAGGTAGCCATTACTATACGTTCCTCGTAAGCGCTACCTCAGTGATTCTTACACTTTCCTTTTGAGAAAAATCAAGATTTCCGACCACCAAATCAACTCTATAAATATAGATCATACAGTTAGATTGTTTGGATAAGATTAGCATTGAAAAGGACTGTCATCGGAAGCAGTGACTGACATTTCGACAACCTAAAATTCAGATTCAAGTTAGGAGCTTTTTCATGGTCGAATATTTTACACACTTAGCTTTGCCTAACTCTGTAACGTTGGGACTGTTTACAAGGATTCATGCTAGTTAACGCTCTTTTAAACATGGTAAATTTCAAACAATAAATGACTGGATTGATCCAAGAATTTGCCAAACGAAAACATGAGGAGAAGGAAAACAAAGTCTTTGGGAGACAACTTCGCCCACACTGAAAACGAATGCTATAAGCCACAACACTTGGAAACCAACACACAAGAGAAGCAGCTATCACAATATACAAAGTCTTGGAAAGTTTACTGTTTTGTTCAGTTCCATTTTTTATGTCGTGAACGGTATTTAGAACAAGAAATCTTCGGCTGAGTCCTCTTCTGATCACGTAACAGGATGCACAAATTACAGCGAAGGAAAGGAGCGTGAAGGAGGCGTAGAAAGATGTCCAAGTTGAGTTTTTTAAGAGGTCGTACTCAGAAAGCAGACACCATGTAACAACAATGATTATCACAGCCATCCAGACTACGAATGCACTCCAGTGGTACCATCTCGAGCTTAATACCTGATGGCGGAGAGGGTAAATCAAAGCATATGCCCGCTCCAATGAAATCATCACGAGGAAAGCTATCGATGCACAGAAATATGATAATCGAGACAAACGTAAAATGGTTTCGAACGGTGTGTCTTTGATCGGAGAATCCTTTCCAACATTACTCGGAATATCAGAGGTGCCTAGAGCTATTGCCTCTATCAATCCAACTAGTAGATCTGCAATAGCCAAGTTTTTGAGAAGAAAAGAGTTTCTCCTTAATCTGGTGCGATGTTTCCAAAACACGTAGATGGTAAAAATGTTTGCAAAGACAATGATCAAAGATTCAACAATTGTAAAAGCTAGAAATACCACAGAAGCCGTGTCAGACATCACGCCTTTTCTTTCGTTGCTTCTTCTGTTTTATCTCTGCATGAACAACAGAACAAATAGGTTCATGGTTCACTCTGTTATAGTTTTTCCACAACATGTTCATTTTGAAAAAAAGTTGCCAATGGTAATAGTAAACACTTCGAGAATGACAAACGCACCTGCTTTCCTTACCGTTCTCGTTGGTAGTAATTTGTATAACTTCTTTGAAGTGGGTGGTTGTGAGTAAAGATAGTTTATTTAGGAGGTGCTGGCGGTAACATCCAATTAATTTCAATCCAATTGGTAAAAGGTAATAAGTACATACCACACAGCAGGTCAATAGTGTTTTTCGCGCGCGCTGATTGGAAATCCCTCCAAGTTGCGGAAATGATTGGCAAGTACTATTCTTCTCCGAGCAGCTGAAGAGACAAAATAGCGCCTTTCATTTCCGACCGTTTGTTAGTATATTGTCATTGTACCAAGGTTCTCTGTAACGGAAAACTTAAGTCGAAATTAATATGTCATTGTGTAACATTTCAACGTCTAACTGAAGTTTCCTCCAAACTGAAAATAAAACACCTTTCTTATCTAAAATGACTTCTTTTAAAATACTCCATCGAATCTTATGTGCCTTGGTATATTTGTGCTTGTGTTCTATTCACTCTTATTTTCAGTCAATTTCTAAAAGTGCTCCTGTTTCAAGGCGCTAAGTTAACTTTTAAATGCTAAGAATCCTTACAAAATTTCGTTCGTTTCAAGGCTGATCTATACACAGGGATTTCTCAACTGTAAGTAAATATTTTTTATCCAAACTAAATATACGAAAACGACTGTTAATTATGCAACCATAGTAAAAGTATAGTTCCTTATTAATTATTGAGAAGATTGTTGAAATTAAACACCAACCATGATAACTCGAACCTCTGCAATTCGAACCATTTGCCGTTTCCCTCAAGAGTTTGAGTTACGGGTTCTACTGTATGGCAATGAACGAGTAAGGCTCCGTAGAGGTTCTGGTCTGTCTTGTGTCAATTCTGGTGAGAACCATACCCGGCTTTGGCGGGAGGAACACTTCCGTCTGAGTCTCTTTCAACTAGTCATAGAAGTCGCACAGACAATAGCTAAACGCAAGAGACAAATCATTCGACTGTTTTGGGCGAAAATAATTTGTTCACTGCGATTTGAAAATGACACTATTTATATTCCATTTTCCTAGAAAAATTCGAGGACGATTTCGAACAAGGTAGCTTTTTTAAAATATAAAAACGCGGTATGTGGTAAACTTGCACGTTTAGCTTTGAAGGCCTAGGAGGAATCGAAAACTCTGACGATTTCCGGAGCAACCAACCTCAAATACTTCACTCCACAATTTTGACTGTTATTTCTCAGATTTAGCGTATCAAAACTGGTTAATGTTTGCCTGACGTTTTCCTTCTCATAAGAGATTTTGAGAAAGGATTTAAATTAAAAGTTACAAAGAAAAATTCAAATGATAGCGACCCAAGGTAGAGATCAATAATGAAGTATCTCCAAAAGAAAAAGAAGACCACATTACAAGAAAAGATGAGCGATTCATTTTGATATTCATTTTAATAACACAGATGTATCAAAAAAAATGGTAAAAACCATTCTTAATCAAAACGATGTCAGAAATATGATACAATTGATACCGAGGTGATGAGTTTAAAAAATACACTAAGAAATTGCTTCGGTTCTGTTCAAGATAATTTTAAATATCTGTACATTACATACCTTAACCCGATGCAAAGCACAAAACAAAAATATCAAATGAAACTGGCCTGGAATGGGCAATTTTGATAGCCATTACAACTTAAACAAAACAAGCATTTAAAAGCTGACACAGTGAAGCAATTCTCAATTGAATGTGTAAAGTAATCAGTTCGAATGGAGATTCTTTTCAGGAAAATCTGGACTTATACCCCATTCACACCAGCAAAGCGCGTTTAGTCAGCCTCCAAAGGAGACGACTGTGAAACTGAAATTACCATAGTTTTCAATGTGCTAAATTTGAAGGCAACAAAGATCGGTTTAGGCAGCTTTTATGGAAAAAAAAAACAACAACAACAACTAAAAGCCATGTTTAACATTACAGCTACAAAATAGGTTTAGGCTTTGGCGTGAATGGGCATTAAAGTTTGGACTGGATAGGGATCTCCCTTCGTGCATAAATACTGCATATTATTTCATCCTTACTTATTAAATGCCATCTTTCAAATCTTTTGCAACGATTTTCATGGCTTGAATTCGATTGAGCTGCACATGCTGCATATGTGAGACTTGAGAGTAAAGAAAAAAAAGACGTTTTCCAGAAGGTAAAAAAGGGTTTTACAAGAGAGCGAACAATTTCGTTGAACTCGCTATAGACTTCTGTGTGAATCACTAAACGAATTTATGTAATAAAGACTAAGGTCTCACGTCTGTAGCTCCATCCAAACTACGACTGGCAAATTTCATAACGGCTTTTTCTCGCTGAATATACAGTACTTATTGTAATACCTAAGAAAAAAATGGAAACGGAAATGGCGGTAAATTCAAGACGTATCACGCTGCTTCTCGCCATCAGGATACGTCACCTTTGGTAAGAAACCTTTGTGCGATACTGTAAATTGCTGTTGAAGCGATATTATATTTGACAAATACCTTGTTCTTGTGGCTGCAAGGGACAGCTGTAATTTGAAAACGGAATTGGAAAAAGCACGGTAACAATTTCCTTCACCCGTGAAATTTGTACCTCCCAATCAGGGCTGAACTCTTTCAGACAAATTGAAATATAAAATGTTTGTTCCTAGAATTATAATAAAAATACGCCGATGAGTTGTCTCCGTCACACCGTAGCACTGCTTGAGGGCGTCACAAAATCTAATAAGTCGTCGTCTGAGTGGTCGTCTGTCTCCTCCAGACGCTCCGAGGTTGCCCTCGGAGATCCCAAGTTGGGTATCATGGCTGCCAGGATAAGGGCCAAGCAGTCGGCTACTTGTGTGTTGGGTGCACAAGCGAGGGCAGGATTATGTCCGTCCTCATCTTCGGCTAGTAAATTCGCCCCTCTTGTTATGAGCTCCTGTACAACAGGAACTAAGCCATTTCTTGCGGATAAGTGTAAGGGTCTGTGAGAACATGACAAAAAAAATTGTTTCGTGGACGAGTTTCAGATTTTAGATACTGTTTTAGCCAAGCTCAAGGAAAGAAGGAAAGAGGTTGCAAAGTTTACATCAAAGCTTTAAAAACAGTGCTCCACAGATAAGAACTGGTAGAGATTTCACACGAGTCCTGCGTCCTACATTCATAGACGGCATGAGAGACTAGAGATAAAGCCTATAAAGTTAGAGACACGAGAGACAGGACATATGAAAAGGGTAAAACTGAAGGGACAGGGAACACACGATGGTAAAAGAGGGACAGCGGATGAAGGAGACGAGCCAAGAGATAGGGAAACTGGATGAGAAATGCAGGATGAGGGAAGAGACACGGGACACAGATAAGGAGAAGTGTGATTTACAAATTCACTCAGGATATGATGTCCACCTCACAACATTTTGAAGAATGGATTTAACCCACTTATAACTTCAAACACACAAAGGGGTATTGGCACACAATAGGTAATTATTGAGGACTTTGAAGAGTGCCTTTACAAGTATTATAACAATATCAATACCATAGAGTTTTTGTGTGAGCGGGTTACAAGTCACACTTACATCTTCGTATCACGGTTAATACTTACGTTTGGAGAGCAGAGTTAGCGAGGCTGAGATGCAAGTCCTCCATTTTGTCCAGAATCAATAAAGCGCAAGCAGTGTTGCCCTACAGAACAGAAACAAATAAAAAATAAATATAAAAAAAACAAGATGAAAAAAAGAGAAAAAGCCAACAAACGAACAGATACGAACAAACATAGTAAATAAAAAGTAAAAAGATAAATGACTGAGAAGTAAGTGGAGAAAGACAGGATAAATATGCAAACACTCAAAACAGCAGAAGCTATCGAGATTAAATGTTACTAATTTTTTTTTTATCACTATGGGAGTATGAAAAATATTACGTGAGAGCAAGCGTCTTTTGGTAAAGATCATGAAAAGAGTCTTGCGCACTCATATGAACTCAAGCGGTGGAGACGAATCGCCAAAAGTTTCCACCTAATTTGTAGAAGGAACCGGGAAGGAAGGCGAGGGATAGCAAAACACAACACAATTACGATTAACCTTTCAATCCCTTAGAGTAACTGGCTTCTGATTTCCCCTTACAATATCAACCTTGAATCAAATATAAAGGTCACTGATCACCAATATCAGAAGCTTCTGATTTTCAAACAAATTCTCCTTGTCAGTACCATAGCAAATGTAGAGAGAGCAGTGTGGAAATTATAAATACTATTGTAAGGGTACAAAAGGGTTTAAACAATTGAAATCTCACCTGACGGCACGACACATGCAACGCTGTGTTTTTACTTTGATCAACTATATTAACGTCTGCTCCACCGTCCCCTACTAGGTATTCTGTATCAGAAAAAAAAAACAAGTTGTAAAACGTCTGCTGAGAAGCACCACCTTACGACTAGCAAACAAACAAATGAACCTAAAGTTGCCGGTCAAATGCCCACTTTTTTTTTTTTTTAAAGGAATTACAATTTTTTTACTTGTTGATTCTGTAACTGGTTGAACCCGGGGGTAACATGTGAAAGTGCAGCCTGGTCGTTCGGTTGAGTGTAGTCCTGAGAAGGACTGTTGTCAGTAGAGGATGGTAATATCCACCCATCAACAAACCGGGGCCTTGGGCCCGTTTCTCTTAAGTCCCGGTAAATGAACGGGCCCGAACCATATTTTAAAATCAAAATTTAAACAATAGAGAAGCAGTTTCTGGCACCTTAACCAGTCCAATTGGATTTTTAAGATGATAGTTTTTATATACCGTTTTCAAAACCTTTAAAACCCCCATCTGGAATGAAAATTAGAACAGCTTTACAGGCCCGTTAAGTTACTGCGACCTTCGAGAAACATTCATTTAGTAAAACTCTACTTAATGCTTATTCTTCTTGGAAAGCAAGATAACAAGCTGATTAGTCTACTTAGCTCTTTCGCTTAAACGTTACAGCAAAACAAGGATGAAAATCAGCACTCATCCAAAAATAACCGCCCATACAACCACACCAAGGATACGCCCATATTTCTATCATGTTCCATGAACCAATCAATGAGAGCCATTTTAAACAATAGACAAAAGGAACAGGGATAAGACAAAAACAACCTCGCAGTGTTCTCCCTCACTTTGAGCTCGACAGGTAAAAGAAATTTTCAAACCAGTGAAGCAATCCCTTTAACCTGTCAATTTTCTAGAGTTCAAAGTCATTTTAGACGGTAGTAAGAAGTACTACCGTTGGTAAATTTTATAGGTTACCGCCCGAAATGGAGAACACTGCTTCGGCATTTGGAAAGACAACACGATACTCACCGACTGAACCAGCATGACCATTGTCAGCGGCCATTACGAGAGGTGTTCTTCCGCTTTGATCCACTGAATCTACGTTCCCTCCCCTTGCTAGCAGAAGCTGCAGGCAGTCTACTTGGTCGTTAAAAGCCGCAGCATGAACAGGAGTTCTGGAATTGACAATCAGTGATATGGACATTAGAGAGATTTTCAATTGAACGTCGAAAGTCATCCGGAATTGCTTAATTTTTGTTTTACTTCGCTCTGATTGGTCTGGAAAATTCGCGCCACTCATTAAACCAATCAAATGCAAAACCAAAACCAATCACGACTCGGTCGCCCGCGTTGTACCGCGCTTTTTGCAGTTGCGTCGGTTCAACCGATTTTCCTTTCTTCTCATTGGCCGTTGTCAGTGCTTTGGTCTTGGTTTTACGGCACTCCATCGAAAAGCGCTCTAAAAGCAGTCAACACGCCAGCAATAAAAGAGTATTTTGAATATGATTAACTCTTTCAAAAGATATCAACACACAAATGAAGCAATCAACAAATGGTTAAAAAAAATATTTAAAAATTTATTGGCACGGAGTGGATTTCGATTGGGTTTCGTTAACACAAAATCAGAGTTATCACCGAGGTCATTAAGAAGAAAGATTAGTCTCGAAAAGAGCCAACTAAAGGAGAACGCGGGAAAACACAGGTAGAAGAATCACGATTTATTTTCATTTTTGCATCTGATTGGTTGAACGTAAAGCGAGCCAATGCAGTCCCGGACTTCTTTCGCTAACCATTTAAAAGTCACCCTTACTATGCAAATAAACTAGCACACAACTATGACTGTCACAGAACTGACAAGCATTGAAAGGAATTGACGATTCCATCAAACGTTTTGTCTGTTCTTATATTGCTGTTGCATGATAATAACGAGATGAACTGTACTAGGAACAATAACACCTCCTGCCTACCATGCAGTTGCCAACATTACGCTTTCATTTGCTTCCAGCCCCTTTCAGCGGTTTTCTAGACCCTTTGAATGTATAAGTCTTTAAAAAGACTCTTAAATTGCTACTCAAGATTCACCCACACTCATGCAACTCTGGAAGGTCACATGATCTAAATGTGTCACTGTAGAGTGAATACAATGGGATCTCACGTAAATAAAAAAGGATCGCACACCAGCCAGAAGCCCATACCGCCAAACTTATCCCAGGATGCACGCCTCACTTGACTACATGTAATACTATTCCAGTCAATTTGATGCGAATAACCGCTGGTTACCTCCACCCCCCTCCCTTCTATTCCCGACGTTGTCGGACCCGACAATTCGCTAGTAGGATCTATACCTCGGGACTCAGTCGTTACAAGGGAAGATAACGTGTTAACAAAACGTACTGCGGTATCCACCGGCTAGAGAATTACACGGTGGATAGCGAAGTCGACCCTTCCAAAAACTGGGGCCAGGCGCTGAGAGAAACAGAGAGAAATGAAAGAGCCACATGTAGGAGTTAAAAAAATAAAATCTGCATTAACACCCTCTTTATCTTGGTAAATATTTGCCGCATGCAGTGTACTCATAACCTCAAAGACGCTTTTGACTTACCTGTCTTTTTTATCGCACAAGTTAACTATCTCGTCGCCCAATGTGTCAAGTAACATTTCTGCACATGATTCATAATCATTTACACTGCAAGAGAAGAGCAGTATTACACATCGCTATCTGGGCGACTCAAGCACGCGGGAAAATGGTGAGAGTGACAGACATTTCGAGATTTCTTTTTTAATATCTTTTCCGGTCAAAAAACACACATCCAACCCAATCGTAACTCATTCCAATTGTTCGCAATCGGTAACAGATGCACTTTTGAGGTCCCTCTATGACCCTTTTTACAACTAGGATCCAAATAGTAATTCTCCCTTCCGACTGCGATACATTTACTTGTAAATCAAACACGAGAAAATGTGTTTGTGAGTGTTTGGTTTTTAATCAACGAACACCTATACCTGATAAGCTTGTCAGTTCTAATAACCTGTTTGCAAGATATCACAATGGAATCGCAAGAAGTCACATAAAAAGGACTTATGGGACTTTTGCATTGCAGATATAGAAATTAAATGCTTTCTGGACCATTATTCTCCGTTAAAGAAAACGTGCAAGTGTTAACCCTTTCACTCCACGATCTCATTGGTAATTCCCCTTACTCTCTGACAAACAATTCTTGCGATGTTAATTCAGAGAATTTTGTATTGGATCAACTAGTACTCCCCAAATGATATTTTCTATATTCTCATCACTTGTCTTCTTGATATTGTATTGATATTGTTAGGAGAAGTTCTGTCTTGATCACTCATGGGAGTTAATGGGTTCATGCAGCTTAAGGGCCCCACTGGGGTCAAACACTGAATACTTACACCGCACAGTGTAATGGCGTAAACTGGTTCCCATCAAATACTCTCGAATGGTCACCCTGTGAATTCCAAAAAGACACCAGCTGAGATTTATCCAAATGAACCTTTGCATATACCAAAGTTGGGAGACGTCAAAAAAGGGGTCTTCCCTAGTTGCTGTTATTTCATATGAGTAGAAGACTAGAAATATTCTGTATGCACAATTCGCTTTGAGGAGGAAAGAATTCTGGTCATCAATACAACAAATGCGAAGCAATGATACAAGAATACTACAATAAGACAAAACAGAATACTCTTCTTACCTCTAACAATAAATCCACACATGTATCATGACCTGGAAAGTAAAGAAAAACTCATTAGAGGCTATCATAAATGAAAATCATGTTTAACCGAACGCATCAACTTCAAACATGAGGCTCCACTGATACACGATGAAGTTCACGTTGTTTCCAAACATTTAGGACTCTACCAAAATGGTGCAATATACTTGGGTTCGAGATATTTACGATATAATCAGAGAGATGACCTAAGGTAAATCCACCAGAAGGGACGCTAGTTTTTAGCAAGATATTTTGACATGATCTTTAAAGATTAAGTGCAGTTCACGTCAGCGTAGAAAGAGAGAGCTCAAATAATTCTTGCCTTGAGAGAGTCCCAGTTGACGATTTAGCACTACTATCAATATTATCAAACTATTACAATACTATGAAATGAGCCACAAAAATACATGCTGAGAGCGGGGAAAATGTTATCACGTTCGTTCTTTTCCCCTCGCTAACTAACTAATTAGATCACAAACAGCATATACTAAATAAATAATATTTTGACCGGTAAATGGGACAACTAACAAGGAATTCATCATGACAGCTTAACTACAAGTGAGGCTATTGCACTTGGGCGCAGTACCTCCGAAGCCAAACGACGCTCGCACTTCAGATAAAAACGCAAGGATGGCGAGAGACACCCGCGTACTCGAATCATTTTTCACGATGGCGGATGATTCTTCTTGTCTCGGGCATAAATCTTGGTCGCACGGTCATGATATCGTAACTGACCGACACAGGAAGAACTTGAACATAATCTAGTAATACTTCGGTAGCTCTTACACGACTCTTTTTAGATGATAACGAGATGAATTATAAACATATGCACGATCTGCCTACAAACAGTTCACAAGTTACTCCAAGAATTTGAGAACTAGCAACATTTGTCTTAACTCAGTTCTAAATATTCTGAATACGTACCGTTAAAACAAGCCCAGTGAAGAGGTGTATAACCGTGATTATCCATGTGTACACCACTACCTGCAACCTGCAGAAGACCATTTAGAATACCAACGTGACCACAAGCTGCTGCGAAGTGAAGAGGTGTGCGGCCGTTGCAATCTCTGACAAAATAAAGAAAAATCCGATATCCTGTTAGAACGCGAAAACCATATGTTACAGCCGCAAAACGTCCACTGAGGCCTCAGTAGTAGTTAAGCTGAGTCAATATCAAGTTAGCAGTCGAGGAAAGCTGTTAGGCTTCGTGTAGTCAAAGGCGATGAGCTATAATACGATTCAATATTCAAACAGAGCACTACACTCACCTACAAAGTGCATCTGCTTCTCTGCGTAAAAGAGATTCAGCGCACTCATCATGACCATTAGCGGCCTTCAGCGTGGAAAGAAAATTAAATATTAGTAGCAAAATAGAGCACTTTTCGATTGCTTGTCGTAAAACCAAACCCAAATTAATCACAAGGGCCAGACAGAAGCAAGAAAACTATCTTTAAGAGAGCTCAAAGTAAAAACCAATCAAAATGCCTAAAGCGCGGGAAAACGCGACCGACCAAGTCGTGATTGGTTTCAGTTTTGCATCTGATTGGTCGAGGAAGTGGCACGAGATTTCCGCACCAATCACAGAGTGAAGTTAACCAAAAACAAAGCAATTCCGGAATACTTTCGACACTCAATTGTAAAATCGCTCTATCGTAGTTTGAGGCATTCGGGGCGCAATCTTTCCCCGTACCACCAGCATCTGGGACAAAGAGGTAAACAGAAGGTCAGATGCCCTATGTCAGGAGAAAAAGCTTTTTCAGGTTCTCAATAAAAGCGATAAAATTGTTACAAATGATTTCCCCAAGTTTTTATCATCTACATATATATCACGGATTGACCATCCTGATAATTCCTGCGCTGATATTTCAACCTTATTATTTCTCAATCCGTTTTTAACTTTTCCGTCCTTCAGATTTATTTTTTCATTCACTGATTTTTTTGTCGCCCCCATCAATCCACCAATATCGTGAGGTTTCGTTTCATTTAATTACAATTCGCTATAACCCTTATAATCTATCCTTCCCAGCCTACATCAGTATGCATATTCTCCATACTGTTCTCTATACATCTCCTCAGGTGCTAACAAGGGGAATTTGTTAAACAATCAATAGATTCTTTGGTCGATGATCAATTCCTTTATTCTTGTGATCTCAACAGTTGATTCAGGGCTGACATTGTAAGGAGAAATTAAGATGCTTATCACTCTTAGGGTCAAAGGGTTAAAAATATAGTGCGTATGTGGCAAAATTTGTAAAATAAGGAAAAATTACGCAACATGACGGCGGCTACTTACAACTCTGTGAAGAGCACTACGTTGATTTACATCCAAAGCTAAAAGATTGGCTCCTTCACCGAGCAAAAGATTTGCACAATCCACAAAACCATTCCCCACAGCAGCCATTAAGGGTGTTCTGCAGAGACACCAGGACAGAAAACTGTTACACTAAAAGTAACAACCTAACAAGATTTGACGTATCAAAAAAATAATTGACAGATGAAGGATCATGGAAACCCTAGTCATAATTCACTCTAACTTTCATTTTACTATGAAAGAGAGTTTTCCATTAGCAAATAAGGTTTCAGTCAGAAGCAAGTTACAATTATACTCGTCTTCAAGTACTATTGGCTATGCACCATGCCTAACTTTGACGAAAACGCGACGGACAATACTTTCAGGCAAGGAACAAGATAGAATAACACAACGGGCAGACATACATGTAAGGTGAGAACAAACCTTAAATCTGCATCAGCGCAATCTAAAGCATTCTCTGGGTTACTGTATTGGAGTAGAAGTCTCAAGCAATCGGTATGTCCATTGTAAGCTGTAAACAACGAGACAAATGATGTATTAATTACGACGTAACAACTGATAGTTTTTGCCTGACCTGCGTCACTTTTTGCCAGAGAGAGTTTCTCGGTGAAGGAAGTTTCAACTTGGAACTGAAGAATTTTAAGTTCCACTACCTCACTATTTTGATACAAATTTTTGAGGATGATGTAGATTACTGAATGGTGCCTTACTTGTTACTTTTTATCCTGTAATCTTCGAACAAAATTATGTTACCCATAGGATGCGACGTTTATTGATAATTTTGACGCAATCAGCGCATGGCTTTCATTCGAGGATGGTGTATATCGGGTAACTACCAAAATAATTGTTATATTTGGGGGAAAAGTCAGGTTTTACCTTTCAGGAGAAATGTTCAAAATTGGTCACGAATTTGCAACTTGGCTCCAAGGGGCCTCCTTGAGTACAAAGCGTGTATCTCCCCCCTTTTTTATTGATACCAGTGAGTTGGCCTATTCACCCTCGATTGACATTTTAGAGTCACCCACTCGGCTCAATTCTCGCGCGGCCAGAGCGCAATCAAAAACTGTTTTTCTCACGGGAGGAGACCCTTAAGACGGAATTTAAACAGCAAAAGTCACCATCAGTTATCCTAAAGGAGGAAAGGGGAGGGTGAAAAGATCAACATGAAAATTACCTGCTGCATGCAGAGGCGTACTCTTTGTTATTTTATCATACACTAATACTTTGGCATTGTGTTCTAAAAGGCATTCTACACATTCGCTGTAAGATAAAAAAGAAATTTCGAAAAATAATTTTAGAAATCACTTATTACACAACAACACATAGAGCAGTTGTCAATTCAGCGTCGAAAGACGCTGAAGACTTATTTAAAGACTTAAACAGGTCTGGCAAACGCGTTAACAGAGCTCTACCTTTCCAAGAATTTCTGATCTCTCGCATTCCTGAAAAAGTACTCAAATAAACTATTTTCATAACATAGAGAATACTTATACATACGCGTGTCCTTGAAAAGAAGAAAGGTAAAGGGGAGTGTGACCTGAAATTAAAAAAAAAACAAAAACAAAACAAAACAAATTGAAGGCCTGGAACCGATATAGTATTTCTTTCATGCTTAAAAGCGTCAGTCTGAACAATAAATGAGATGATGGAGAGCTTTTCATCTCGCTTAATTACAAAACTAGCCTGTTCCAGGCGTTCAGTTACACGTAGTAACACGGAGCACAATACTACACGGCGCGTCAGTAATGGCAGAGCGAAAACGAGGGAAGTTTGAGGTCAATTCGGGTACATCACGAGACCCGACCCAAGCCTCCCTCTATTTTCACTTCGCCGCTACTGATCGCTACTGTCGCGCTCTGCTTTACTTACTGAACTCCTGGAACAGTCTAATATAAAACCGAGTGAGGGTCTTGCAAAGTCCTTAGAAGTTATTCGCATTGGCTGCCCCTAAAGCGAAAAATTAGTTTGCTCCCCAGTTTCTCCCTCCATGTTCAGTATTTTCGCATATATTCTGCAAGACAGCTTCCGGACAAGCCAATGAGATCATTTCGCAGCTATACGACAACTTTATTTGCTGATAAGGCTAACAACTGCACATCAGATCAACATAAAATCATAGCTAGTGACAAAGTAGCCTAGCACCAGAACCTTGTTATCAGCTCTGCAGGACGCGCGTTTCTCTGCCTACGGGAAGATTTGAAACAAGTCGGAAAGAGTTTTGCGGGAAGTCTCGCCATCATTATTATTGCTAGACCCTCGTAGACCTCTCGCCAGCTCGCGCCGCTCAAGGCGTCATACTCTCACGCTCGTGCTGAAGCGCTAATAACGAGGCTGGTGACAAGGACTCTGGAGGGTTTAAAAACCCAAGACACAGAAAATAGAAAGTACTACAGCATTACAAAAAAAAAACCAAAAAAAAATACAAACAACATGCACATGTAGGACAAGTACATTCGAGAAGCACCCTACCATTATGATCTCTTATATCAATGTCCAAGAAAGACTCAAGGAGCACCTGAAGAGCCTGGTAATGACCATGGTAGGCCTACATAAGAAAAACATCGGGTTCAAATCCGTTAGTTCTTTCATCTCCTAATCCACATGCTTGAATATATTAAAGGATCATTACAGAGGATTTCAAAAATGAATGAATGACATAGAAAACTTACCACCAAATGAAGTGGGGTGGTTGCTGGGGAACCAGAACTTTTATTAAGAAGATCTGTTGCAGCTACATCTAACAACTGAAACAATACAAAATAGTATTCATCCTTTAAAATGTACACAACTCCGTTAAAAAATGTTGCGTAAAAAATTATATCTTGCTGGTCCGATTTTTGTTAACCACTCGTATGATTACAGACTAAATTGGACTCCACTCGGTCCTTAAAATATTAAAAATAATACGACTAACAATAATATTGAATATGACAATAAAATAACTCATACCATTTCTAGTGTCAGTTTATGTCCTCTGGCAGCAGCGTAGTGTACTGGACTGTAACCTTGTTTGTCTCTTTTACTTGCATTGGCTCCATTTCGTAGTAAGTTTTCCACACACCTAAAAAGGATAAGACAGAACGTAACAAAACTCAGACACAAAAACATGCCGAAGACAGTAGTTCTCATCGTTCGTGTTCATCGATGAATTAAAGGTGTTGCTTACTTGGCCTCCTCATCTGCTGCTGCTGCATAGTGCAGAGGAGTGCAGCCTCTTGTGTCCACTTGATTTACACTGCAGCCCGTAGCTACCAGTGATTTAACACAAAAGTATTGTACATGACCAGCTGCATAGTGAAGGGCAGTTCTGTAAACAACAGAAATTAAATAAATTTAACAATTATCTCTTAAATCTCAGGAGAAGAGAAAAGGAGGGCGAAGGAGAAAAAAACTTCTGGTCATCCACAGCAAGTACAAAACTTGGCAACTCAGTATGACAGCAATGAATCTAAAAGCCAACTTCACAGTAATGAACATTAATTAAGCAGCAGCTTATGACAGCAACTTCACCTGCTTACTTCACCTTTGGTCAAAAGCCTATCCCAACTACATGTACCTGTTATTTTCAACCTTTGGATCAATATCAGTATCTGGGCAACTGCCCACCTACCCCTCCCCTAACCCAATATTAACCTTAAGTTGTTGTAAATTAACTGTTGTTGAGTTAGGGGAGGGGTAGGTGGGCAGTTGCCCAGATACTGATATTGATCCCAACCCCTCAACTCCCATCACCTGGTTGTTAATTCTCGCCTCTAATTGTTATACAATTCCTTTTAAATTAGTAACAACTTTGAGTATTCTCTTAACTTGTTTGCTGAGCAATGTATGGATATTATTGGGAGAAGTAACATGTTTGCACTTTTGGGAGTTGAAGAGTTAAAGAAAAATGAAAGCATGCAGACGAGGCAAACATGCAGTGCAATTGCAACCAATTTGAGAAATACAAGTGCAAGAACATGCCTCAACTTGATTTGATCTTGCTGATTGAGTTTGCATTTCAGCAAGTAAGTTGATTTTTAGTTTTTTGCTTTCATAAGCCATGATACATGTAAATGCTTAAAGTGTGTCAACCCACTGCCATAAAAATTATTTTGGGGATGTGAAAAAGAATCTGGTGAAGATAAATTAAACTTCTGTATTCTTCTGAAACAAGCATTTTGTCAAACAAGGTAACACATTACATGTAAATTTTTTTTTGTCTGTATAAACCATTCACAAGCTGCTGGAAACCTTTTTGGGTTTTTTTGTTTTTTTTTACATGCAAAAAGGAACAGCCTAATCAAAAGCTTTTGTTGATATCACACTATCCTGTTTCAACAGTACAGTGTAGAACACTGCAAAGTTAAATCTGTGCTAAATGCTACTAAGTGATGGGCAAAGAAACATAAAAAAGAAAAGCATTAATTTACAAAAATAAAAACAATCAACTCATACATAGGGGAGTAATCATACCAACCTGCCTAACTTGTCTAAAGCAGTGTGATTAGTACCATTGTGCAAAAGAAGTCCTAAGCATTCAACATTTCTGTAAACACAAAAAAGAAGACTGAATTATGAATATGCCCTTAAAATACTCATTACCCTAGAGTACACATATGAACATAATTATGAACAAAAGGAAGATAGTGCTGTGCTGAAGGTTTCAGGTCACAGAAATGCAACACGTGTGCATTTTTATTCTGATTTATTTTAATTACTTTTGTATCAATAGATATAACACTGCACTTCTACATTGTAAAGCAGTTTTCTTTTCAGAGTACACCCCATCAGAAGGCCTATAACAATATTCATTAACTCTACACAACAACATTTGTGTGTGACTGACCCACTGCAAGCAGCAGCATGAAGACAAGTGTGATCATTATCATCTCTTGCATTCACATCATTACCTGAAGAAAGCAACAAATTAAACAACTTAAACTCCAAATAGTGCTTTTCTTAAATTTTCAGCAACATTATATGGCAAACAGGTCATGAGCAGGAGAGAGTGATCTTACTACATCACCAAATTCTCTTACATAATTTGTAAGGAAACTGATTGCAATTGGAAGGGGAAATAAAGGGTCCTGAATATCTAAGAGTTCTTGGGCATGGCAGAAACAAAGTTTGCCTCAATGTTTACATTTCTTCTCTCATGAACACAATTCTTTTTTTAAGAACAAAATAGCCTACATATAAGTTTTACAAGAAATTTAATTCTAGCAATTTTAACCTGAATTCTTTTCACTACACATTTAAAACTTACCATATGATATCAGCTTTCTACAACAGTCTGTGAAACCACCTAAGCTTGCCATGTGAAGAGGTAACATTCCAAATGATCCTCGCCTGAAAGAGTTTAAAGATAACTTCCATAAATGCTAATTATGGGTGACACATATGTTTTGGAAAAAGCTAATTCAACCACAAACTCACTCAATCACTAACCTTGTGTGGTTTGCTCCACTGGCCAACAGCACACTTAGTAATAATTCTTGACCATGTAATGCAGTGATATGTAAAGGAGTGTTTCCTCTGATATCTGTTGCATCTACATAGCAACCTTAAACAGGGATGGGAAACAACAAATTTAGTTAATATGGAATCTTTCACAGTTCCTTACCCACATATCACATGTGAACAGTGCACCTCTGCCTTGCCCAAATCTAACAATTCATGTACACATGCACAGATGAAAATAATAATAAAGTGTCCAAAAGTTATTCAATTAACACACATGTTGTTAGAAAATGACAAACACTGGAAAAGATCCATGGTTGATAACAGAACTTAAGAATTTTTAGCTTAACTTTTTTTTCCTTTCTGGACATCAAAGACCTTTTTGAATCCAAGTGTTTAATCACCAAGTTTTCCCAGTGGGGAGAACATGCAAATCCAATGTAATTAACATATGGCCGTAAAGTGTATACACATGGAAGTAAAAAGGTACATGTAACAAAGAAATGTCCATATATATACAAATACGTATTACCTTGTTGGAGAAGAGTTTGAGCTCTGGAGCAGCGCCCATAGAGAGCAGCATAATGAAGTGGAGTCCTTCCATTCTTGCACTGTTGTAATTGTTATCAACAAATAATTTCTTTGTTATTTGTTGGTACAGAGTAGAGTATATAAATCTAAACTAATCTTACTATACATAGATAATGATAAATTCAAGAGACATAATTATTATTAACCCTTTAACCCCCTAAGAGTGACCAGCTTCTAATTTCTCCTAACAATAATCACTCCTGAATCAAAAATTAAGGTCACAAGAATCAAGGAAACGATCACCAACTTATAAAGCTCTTGATTTTTAAACACATTTCCCCTTGTCAGCACTTCAGGAAATGTATAGAGAACAGTATGGAGAATATGCATACTGATGTTAGGTTGTAAAGGGTTAACAAACATCATAAACTGGTAATAAGATTAATCATTCCTCACCTGTAAGTTAGGACTGGCTCCATCATTCAGGAGCAGTTCAAGACAAACATCACCTTGCCCTGACACTGCTGCATAGTGTAATGGAGTCTGAAATGATAAAAACAAAATCATTTGTGGCAAAGTCAAATATTGCACACATACATTTACAGATACCACCCAAAATAGGCTAAACAAAATCAGAACTTCTGCAGCATGCCTTGGCCAACTGGACCAGGAAGTCACTTGGCAACATCTTTATCAGTGAACTCATCCACAAAGGAATCAAAGTGATGTACAGGATTGAATGAATAAACAGTTATAGGAGTCATTTTGTTTTACATGTATGATCAAGCTCCATGTTACATCCAATTACCTAATTCATTGAAATGGTTAAAGTGTGAAACACCCTGGTGTGAAGTTTAACAACACATACCATGCCTTTCTTGTTAGTGGCATTCACAGAAGCACCATAGCTCATCAGTTCACTTATGACAATGTCTTGTCCATTGAGACACGCAATGTGAAGCGGTGTGTTACCATTCAAGTTTGGGGCATCCACCTGCAAAGTAACAAAGTAAATACCTGAATATGTATTGATCAACTACAAAATGTAGATAAAGTAGTGTTCTTTAAGTAGTCTACTGTTCGTGATTGGTCATTCCATCTTAGATGATTTAGGAGTGTGGCTGCTTCTGGGTAACTTCTGTACTCTTTACAGCTGTAGGCACATAACTCACACCCTTGCTCTTGCCTAAGCTAAAGTCTCTACACAACAGTTTACAAAATGCTCAAATACAAGTGGATAGTCTTTACCAGAAACTTAGTCCTAAATACTTGAAAGTTTTGAGTCTCTAGATGAAAATTTTTGAGGAAACAATTCAATTGTTGAAAGGAGAATACAATCAATTTGGGAAAAAGTGTGGCTCCCTATACTTCTGCTAGATGCTTTGAATGTGAACAAACTTTTTTTAAGGGTTTCTATTTTCCACAAACTTGAGGCAGGATTTAAAACATGTGTAACACTTCTATTCCCACACAGTAATCAATTTTTTATTTAATGCAAAAAAAACAAACAAACAAACAAACAAACAAACAAACAAAACAGAAAAAAAACCAACAGGATTAATTTCACAAGATATTCTATCAAGAATTTCACCAAATTGAAAGCATGAAAGGGTCTACAAGTACCTTATAAACCATTAACACTGTCAGAAGATGCATATTTAGGATTTTAATGTACATATATCTTGTACAGTATTATATTGCAATCTTCTACCCTAAAGTCTCTACTAATATGAATGTTCTTAGGATCATTAAATTTATCTTTCTTAAGAAACTTACTGATGCTCCATGTCCTAACAGCTGTTTCAGTGTGGTTAACTGTCCCCCAGCTGCTGCAGCATGGAGAGGTGTGTAATGCTATGCAAACAAAAGCAAAAGGAAGTTTTTCTATACAGTTCAAACATTATCTTTTAAATATTCTGTGCATAACCCAAATTGTATTCCCACAAGTAAACTCATTTCAGGCTTCAATCCATGCAATGGCTGTACCCATTACTGAAATCTCACATTAGTTTAAGTAAGATTTCTGGTGAAGCAAGGTCAGAAAAGAGTACAAGTTACAACAGAACCAAATACAAAAAAAAGCAGAATTTATCCAAGTTATACAACTATGCAACAATTGTTCACAATCAATTTGTCAAACTGGCCATATTGATGGATAGAACATAGAACATAAGAAAGAGGACTGCTTTGTGTTGTGTTGCTTCTAAAAACATTTATGAGGATTTTCCTACCAAAGTGGGAAAGATTCTTGATAACAGAAGAACTCTAAAGAGGCCACGAATGGAGAAATGATGTAAAGAAAATTATAGCAATAGTTACTTTTGTCCCATTGGAAATTATGAATAGGTGGTCTTGAGATTCACATGTCCTTTATTCCTCAGAAATCAGGAACAAACATTTTCTCTAGGTCACCCTAAATGTTATCCCACAAATAAACTGTTCTAAAATCTTGTAGCCAACTCTTATTTCTTTAATTAACGCACACAAAATATAAATGATAATCCCTGATGATGCCGTAGAACGGCGAAAGCTCGGAGTGAATAAAGTAAGAAAGAACCACAGTAGCACTTAAAGGCTTCATTTGATCAATATCCCACAAAATATAAAGGTTGTACCTTTTTGTCTTTGCAGTCAATTTCAGCTCCAGATTTAACCAAAACTTCTACACACTCTATGCGTCCTACAAAATCACATACGATAATACTAGCCTTAGCCCAAGAAGAAATAAAATGAAATCCCTTAACACATTTACTTATAAGTAAATGATATTTGCCTATTTTCATTTGGTTTAAAGACAAAGAAACACTTGTTTATCTCTGACCAAACCTGACCAAGAGATTGAACTGCATGTACAAGTACATTGTACATGACTTACCCATGTGTGCAGCCCAATGCAATGGCTTTCTGTCCTTCCTATCACCAGCATTCAAGTGGGCTCCTTTGGTTATCAGAAGTTGTGCCATCTGTAAAACAAGAATTTCCAAGTTTACTCAAGAGTAACCATTTCATGTCACATGCATGTGCAAGTACCTGCCTGAGTAAAATCATTTTATCAGCAGCTGAGAGTCAGAAGAAACTTCAAGGAAACTGAATCAAGAATAAATGGCTGGCACAGATACAGGTATGTATAAAAGCATACGTCTGATATACATGTACATGTAATTCAAGATTCACAGATGACATCAAGTAATCCACTGGAGTAAGATCTAAAAACATCAGCTAATTAACCTGTGATGACAACGATTAGAAGGGGGAGCACTAAATGAAGAAGGAGAGTTCCATAGACATAAAAATAATTTTAAATTCCAACACATACCCCAACATGGCCGTTGAATGCTGCGTGGTGTAAGCTTGTCCTCCCAGCTCTGTCCGTCACATTCACATTTTGTAGGTGAGGAATAAGAACCTCTACAAGCAAAAATTCAAAACAATTGTAGGAAAAAGATATAGTTATTAACCCTTTAACTCCTGTGAGTGACCAAGTCAGAATTTCTCCTTACTATATCTATACAATATCATGTTGACAAGTGATGAGAATCAAGAAAATAATCAATTATAGGATTACTAATTGATCTGAGACCAAATTCTCTAAACTAACATAATTTGAATTATTTGACAGACAGTAAGGAGAATTACTAAAGAGATCTTGGGAGTTAAAGGGTTAAAATACTTGGCTTCTCCAATACTAGAGCCACACTTGCTCCATGAAGACCCTACCAATATTGGTTACATTATGCAATTACCTGCACATCGCACATGATTGTTGCTAGCAGCAACATGCAGAGGAATCCGCCAGTTTCTGTCTCTTGCGTTGACATCCCCTGCACTATTGATCAACGCCCTGACACACTCCTGCAAGTAAAGGGAATATCCTTTAAACTGGAAAAATCTATCTTTTGAACTAGACAAACTAACAAAAAACATTTGTCTCATCCAACAGGGCAAGAAGATTTCCCAGTGAGCTGAGCATAGATGTATTTTCTCATTCACTGACCCCGGCAAGCCACTGTTTTTTGCAGTCCCAAAAGAAAAATCAGATTTCGTTTATTTAATCTGCTTTTTAGACATGACCTTGAAGGCAATGTTTCTGCTCAGTGAATCTAGATAGCATAATAGAATGTATAATAAATAAAAAGGTTGTCTGTTTAATTGAAAAATAGCATGTTTAAGTACATTCATATATATATGTGTATGCTACTAACTTTATGCCATAGATACCTGTAGCAATTGGAATACTTCATGTGCACAGTAATTTTAGTGGTCTTAAAACTCCCACAGTTGATCTCATCAAGGGCAAGGAGAATTTGTTTAACAATCAAGAGCTTCTTCAGTTGGTGATCATTTCCTTTATTTCTGTTACCTTAATGTTTGATTCAGGAGTGATACTGTTGGGAGAAATAAGATGCTTATCACTCTTAGGGTGTAAAGGATTAAAGAACATACCACACTTCCAGAGGCACAGGCACGATGGAGAGGGGTCATCCATTTACTGTCTTTAGTGTTTACTCTTGCTCCTGAGGAAAAAAAGGCACCATTTCAATAGAGTGAAATTATTGAGATTTAAAATAAATTTGTCATCAGAGTGATCACTTTTCCCTGTCATACCACACAGCTTTGTGGTACTACAAGGGAACCATGACATGTATAAACATATTTTTCTTTTTCACTGGAAGTTAATACTAAAGAGAGAAGAGTAACCAAAATGTTTAATAATGTTAGATTGGAATTTTCAGTTCTGATGCCAAGATTAATCAAACTAGACCAAATGGTAATATAAGTGTAAATCAAGTTAATTTTCAGAAATCACATGAATAGCAAGGATTTTGAAGCCTAGATCCAAAAGCTGGTATAGAAAATTGATGTTCTAGTCTGAAATAAAGTAACAAAATGGAGATCTGGGTAGCAAGTCCTTCCCTAGAACTCTAGACAGTGACTACAATCCTCCTCTCCCTCCCCCTCTGATCAAAATTGCCCAAATACAATACAGATTAAATAAAATAAAATTTAATAACCAAAGCAGTCTGCTTTTGAGGGACATGTGCTACCTTCAAGCATGAACAAAGTCCCTTCACAATTGAACTGTGATGACTCTTCATGATAAGGTAAAACTGTAATTTAGTGTAGTGATTCGGTGACTAAATCCTACCATGAGCAATAAGAATGCTAATGCAGTCACTCTCTCCACAATATGCTGCAGCATGTAAGGCTGTCCTCTTCTCTTCATCCTAGAGATTAACAAAGCTTGTCAGGAACAACTTAAAATATGTTGAAATGATTGCCAGGTAAAATCTGTGATGTACATGCACAGCACAAGTTGGGAACAACAATTAAACCCAATGCAATGCTTAATATACATGATTTTTTGACTTGCAAATACTTTTGCAAGCATTGAAGGGGCAAGGAAAAATACTGCTGTAACCAAAATGTCTGCTTGCACTATATATGTAAAGCCATAAATAACAAAAGAAAGATTCCATTATCAGTTTAATTTCAAGTCTTTTGGTTTATAGTTCTTGAAACACATGCTACAAAATCAATACAAACACTACTGTTTCAGTGTCTTTCATGACAAACAAAATTTCACTTGAAAGTTCCTTGCATTAATGTCAAGCTTAAAGGACTTAAAGCTTTTATCCTTCAAAGCAGCCACTTTTTTGCTTTCCTTTCCCTCGTATTTTTAAAACTACCCTGTTCTACTGTGTAATGCCATTTCATATTTGCATGTTCTGCAGTTCAAGAAATTACATTAAAATGGTATATAATAGTAAAATAACTACTCAATCTTCATTATCTACCTGCAGTACCAACAGTTTATAAAACAGATCAATAATACAGACTCCAAAATAAAGTCTATTTTTACCCATATTATCAAGGCTAAAAATTAACTCCAGTGCTTGGTGGTCAGTCGGGCCAGTTTCTTTGAATTCTTAGTGGCCCCTCCCAAAATGAAATAGCCCTTGATTTCCTCTACTTAAAAATGAAAAACTTGAATAAATGTCCCATGGCTTTTAATGGAGTGTTAACTAAAAGGAAAGAACAAGCTCATGAAATCACTGTTAAAACGGCTTGCAATTTCCACTTCAGAACTAAAAATTCACTAAAATGGATGATCTTAGAGTCCAGGCAAAGAAATGAAGAAAAAGGCAGTCCAATTAAACTAAATATTGGGTTTTATTTTTAACTTTGTACTTCGCATTATTTATATTGCAACTTTTCAAAATTCTGTTGCATAGTCGCACATCAGGCATTCAAACCTTAACTTTTGGTGGCCCTGGTCAGTTTTAACTCACCACTGGCAACCATGCGACGGCCAATTTTTAGCCCTGTATTATGGACTGGTATGCTAGGTCAGGTAAACAGAAAACAACTGGCAACAGCAATTTGTGATTGTGCAAACATTGGTGTTATATTTCTACCACACAACACTAACTACATACAACCCTTCCCTGATAAAAAAAAACAAAAAACATTTATTTAACAGCTTAAACTCACTTCCTCGAAAGGGAGCAACATGCTACAGATAATTTCTAATCTTAAGAGGAAAGTTCTCCACCTAAATTGTTATTTATTTCCTTACTCTACAATCCCTGGTTATGAATAAGAAAGGTTAGGAACCAAAATAAAAGGTAATAACAAAAAGATTGCTCAACCGTGGAAGGAATTTTTACTATCTGAAATTAAAATCTAACATTGACATTTCATAGACATGTACTGATTAGGAACGACGTATCAGTTATTCACATCTAAAACAGCAGTTTATTTGAGAATTCAGCTGACAACAAACTTGAGTTTTATTATTGGTTACACGAATTCTTTAAATATTTGATAAGCTTGCCTTATTCAAGAGAAGGAACTTGATGATGCACATTCAACTGACATTTCTTCGGTGACCCGAAAAATTCGATTATTAAGAGAGTGAGACTGATTTAATCAACTTTACTTACTTGGCGATTTACATCCTCGTTTCGGCTTATCAACGTCCGTAATTCGGTAGCATCGCCGTGGAAGCACGCTTGTACGAGGGGAGGCTGACAAATAATTCATAATAAACATAATTTATCGAAAACGCAACGATAACATTTTGCAACATCTTTAGCTACTGTGAGACTGATATTTGTGCTGTGAATTACACGCCAAAAATAGCATAAAGAGTCGATAGTTAGTCTCTTAATTGGAGAATATAATTTTAAAGTGCAATAACTATCTACCTCGTCCAGTAACTGTTGAACTACCATCTAGATCCCATCCAAATTTCGATGCATACAGTTTTGTCGATACAACTTTCAAAATCGTGTCCCGTCCACTTCAAACCCGCAAACCTCCACTGTATTGCCTTAGGTGTCACCTCCCTGAAGACTTGCGAATTCCGACAGCACGAACACCTCTCGAAAATCTATAGGAGTGCATTTGTTATGAAGAATTCAGGCCAAATCTAACGCTAGTTGATGGATCCGACATAAGCTTCAAGCAATCCGCCATCTTGCTCAACCGCAGCAAAGTACCTGATTGGTTGAGGTTAGTCATGTGAGATGCCTTGCTGGGAGTGTAAACCGTGGAGCGGAAATTGGCGCCACTTTTTTCCGATTTTGGTTCCCTTCTTTGGTCGGCTATTCAAACTATTTTTGCGTTGGCGCAATGGAACAAGCTCGATTTTTTTCTTCATTGTTAATACTTGTTTTTTAGGATTAAAAAGTATGACCTGTACTAAAAATCCTCCCTTTCAGCATTTTAATAATAAGGCCCGGCACAAAAGCAATCCGAAAGGAGTCCAAAAGAAAGAGAAAAAAATATTAGCAAACTTTTAAACCATCCCATCGAAAATTGGGCTGGAGAGTCCGAATCTAAATCAAAAAGTACTAACCACTTTGGAGTTAGGGAAGTACAGTGGCACACGCGTGCGAGAGCAGACACGCATGACTTCTCGCGCGCGCTGGTCCTAGTCTCTCTCTTTGTGCTTTGTGAAAATGGTCTCGTCGCCGCTTGTAAGTACATGCTTTAAGTCGAAACTTTTTCGACTGTGACAGCTTGGACTGTTATGCCATTCCGTATCCAGCTTCGGTCAGTACTCGCGACCAAAAATGAAACAAGGATGCGTGTTTTTATCCTGTTCCAACTAGTATAAAATAAGTGATCCTCGCGATCATTAGAGGTACCTTTACCAAAACACAACATCAGTACTTGTGGAGGATCAATCAGAGATCTGGAATTTTCACTGATGCTGTAATCTCTAATCTGTTGCTGATGCTTAGTGCTCCCGTCGAAGCTGCAACTGCAATGGGTCAACTTATTGGGGCTAAGATCGTGCATACTTTTATGTCCATACGCGCCTTTATGTCCCTTCTGCGTAAGTGGTCTTAGCATAAAATTAATGAATTCAAGTGAGGGCTCAAACGAGGGCCTCAAATGAGGGTCTCAACGGAGGACTTGAAGATGTGCAGTGCATCATATGGAACAGATCAGATTTATCATTTGCCTTACATTTTTGTTGGGAGGGCTACTTATAATCTTAGCTTGGAGTACAGATCACCTAACCGAACAGTCCATAAGGGTAAAATGGCCTTTGCCTGCGTTTTTCTAGGTCATCACTATCATAGCTGGACGCAGTGAGATACCCCTACCTACGCCGGCACTTGATCGTTATTTTTGCACATCGTGGAAAATGTTTATTATGCAATAATTACGAATAAAATAACAATAACTTTGATCCATCAAAAGGGCAAAGCTGAGAAAGGGGATTCAAGGTTATAAATTTCTACGCGCCTGACTTGAATTGGTTGACACCGCATGTTCTACCTTGTCAGGAGCCCATCAAGTAATGGGCTCCTGACCTTGTGTATCCGTAGGCTCATATTCTTACAACAAGAAGGGCAGGCAAATGGAGTGTTACGCAGGAAGTGGTCAATGAAGAACTACTCAGTGGAGTAGAGACGTAGATTCTTCGAATTCATTCATTCATACCAGGTTTAAATTTTTGACTCAAACAAGGTAAGAAAATTTATTCCACAAGGAGAGTTCATAAGGTGATGAGCACCTCAGGACCCCGCCCCCTTCCCATCGCGCCCCTTTCCGTAAGTAAACCCTGTATAAAACCTAACTCGCCAAGAAATTTTTTAAACTTATTTGAAAAAGGACCGTCTTTTTCAGGTGGCCCTATATAAATATACAATATAACAAGAGTTTTATCAGCAAACTAACGTACACAGATGCAATGACTGACTCTGTGGAAGGGGTCGCCTCCCATGTAACTAAATAAAATCACCGATCATTTAAAGGGAAACCCCTTGTTTCGAGTTTTTGGAGTGGGAAGATGCAGGGGTAAAACCGACTTACGAATTCACCCTTGCATTTCCAACGTTTTAGGAAAGTCTCATCAGATGAAAAAGCCGTCCATACATTCTGTTATCATAGAGCCGAACCAAGAAATTACAGCAGAGTTTACGGCATCGACCACACCTTGGCCGCAAGCCGCAAGTTCAGCTAATGTGTCGTTCGATTGGTGCAAGATCACCTTGAAGAAGTTCATCGAGTCTTTTCCTAACGTGGAGAGCTTCGATACAATTCATTTTGTGGCCTCTCTGTACTATGTGGACGTTGAATAATCGTTGCGAAGCTGTTTCCAGAAGCTTTCCCCGGGTGGAGCCATATTCGTTCTGCACGCGGTGGTCACTGAGGAATCGTTCTTTCCGCAAATTTCAAAGAAGCTTCACACGAAAGTGGATTTAGGTTGAGCTCCGAAGCTTTACTCAGAAGATGTTGTTCATAGTGCCACAAAAAACAACTACATGACGCAGTACACTGCAGGCATAACCAGCTGTTTTGACGAATCGTTCCAAGAAGGCAGCATTTTACCTGATTTTCTGATCCATTAAGGAGAGTTTTTCACAATGGCAGACAAAGTCCTTTACGAAGAGGTGATAGACTTTCTAGATGCTGTGTCTGCTGCTGATGATAATGGAAGAAAAATAATTCGACCAGATATTACCGCGTTAAGGTTGCAGACCCCCCAGACCCTTCTTCTAGATTGGCCACTGAACGTTCAATACTGACCTAATGGGACTGGTTGCAAATGAGAACTTCTGCTTTTCGTCAGTAAGATGTCTAGTTCGTAATTCCTTTTGGAAGAAAAAAAAGGCAGTCTAAGAGCCTTAGAACTTATTAAGTCTAGGATGAGATTTTAATTACTGGCTAAAGTGGACACACACTCTTGAGAATAGTCACGCACAGTTTGTCGAAGTAAGACATGGATATCACTACATCCTTTCTTTGCCAATTCCAGGACTTTTTCCAAGTTATCAATATGAAGTCTAGAATCCATTTGGAACATGACAATGTTTCCAGACTTTGGTAACACAGCCAGACTTAGTTGTGGGCCTCCAAAGCTTTCTTCCAAGTAGTTAACATCCATCAATGGTTGGTCATTGACAAAACTAACTGTGCAAGCACTGACATAATCCTTCATTGGAATTCCAGCATCTATGAGAGCTAAGGTAGCTGCATTGATGCAAGCACTTTGGTTTGAACCATCAGCCTGAAGAATCTGTAAGCAAAAAACAAATCTATAAGCTGCCACAGTAAATGAATATATGCAGTTGTTTCAATGGCCATTTATCTTACAGTGAGCTGAGAAGTTGGAGAAAGGGTCCAAGTAAGCATAATCCTTAAAACTTTGAAGCATTTTTCCAAGCACAGTTGGAAGGAATACATTTCCATATTATCTGCAGGTCAAAACAAGACTTCCTTCAATTGATTGGGATCAGGTAAAAATCTTATAGCAGATTTTTTGAAAGTCTAATTTAATAATTTTTACTCCTGGAAATGACAAGTCAGTAACTTCTCCTTAGAAAATTAATAGGTTACTTGCTGTAGAAAGATGAAAATCAAGAGTGGTACTTATGTTTAATTGGACATCAAATTCTCCAAACTGACTTTGTAAGAAATGGGTGGCAGAAAGTAAAGAAAATCAAAATAAAGATATTTCAGCAGCTCCAGTCATAGTTGGCCCATACTCTGACCATCTCCCTTCCCCCTTCCATCACGCATAGAATGTCAACTGAATACAGTGGAACCTCCATTTAATTAAGTGCTAAGAGACTGGGGAAATTGGTTTGTTACATGTATATTGAACATTTATTACATTGAGCATTTGTTACACTGAAAACCTCAATTTAATGAATTTACAGAAAAACAACTAAAATGTTTGTTATATCGAGAACTGGTAAATGTTAATTTACTTTTATCATTATTTTTTTACGTGTGAAATTGCGCGACCCAGCGTTTTGGGATTGGCATTTTTGTCAACAATATAAACACATACCGCTTTCAAAGATATGGACCATGTGCAAAGCTGTCAATTGTTTCTTGAATGTTGCAAGTGTTAAATATTCAATGATGACACCTCGTTTACATCTACATCTACATCTAAATCTACTTTCATTAGGTTGGTAAAATCTGTTCAGACATCACACCAACCAACTCGCACGCAAAGTGAGAAGACTATATAAAGGCTTAAAATTATATTACGATCGATTTTCATCAAGAAATGGGCCAGGAATATTCTAAAATAATGCAAATAATCGTGAAAGCTGATTGTGGAAAAGCGATTGCGTGACGCTTGGTAAGTCGTAAGATGACATGTTATCACATACCAGACAAAAACACTCTTTAGATTCTCAGTCTGCATTTTGTACCCACTCAGCAGTCTACATTTTGTACCTAGTCTACATTTTGTATCCAGTCTGCAGTCTGCATTTTGTACTAACAGGTATCCGTGGCACCAATACAGTTTATTTTTGGTTACAGTTATTTGCACAACACATACAATCTACCCCAAAATACCTGTGCATGAGTTAATTCAACATTTTTGTTCTCTTCCACATTAATTAATACTCTTCTTTCCTTTTGTAAGAATGTAGACATCATTTACAAAGTTTCAAGTAATCCACCCACCCCCCCAAACAATAACTCTTACATGCATAGCATGCCGATATTTTGTTATATCAGGGCATATTATACATTTGGGCTTCTGGATTGTGTTTGTTATAACAAAGATTTTGTTACATGGAGGTTCTTTCCATATATTTTCCTGTAACTTTGGCCAGGCTGAAGAGTATGGTTTGTTATACCGACAACTTCATTATATAGAGGTTTGTTAAATTGAGGTTCCACTGTATATAGATTTGTGATATTTTTGTAATAAATAAGTTCGTATGAAGAGGGAAAGTGGAACAAAAAAAAAACAGGAGGGAGAGCTAGGGAGCAGTTGAGTGATCTTGGGTCATTTTCCCCAAGGAATTTACCCAGTTCAATTATAACAGAGGGAAGGAGGGGAGAGGGATTGGCTATGAGCCAGAAGGCACAAAGTCTCCGAGTTGCACCTCAAGAAATGACCAAGAATTTGAACTACACTCTTTCTAGACGTATATAAAATATTCTACTAACCTGCACATAAATGTCTATCTGTGAGCGAGGGTACATCTGTGTTAGAATAGCGGCGTCGAATGTGCGCCTTATAAGCATAGACGTCTCTGTGGATTTTCTGTCTCCTTTTGGTCTTTTCTTTCGTTCTCCTGTGCTAAACGTCGCCATACTAAACTGACAATTTAGCAGCACTCGGTCGTGTAGGATTTTAGATTTGTTTGTTACTTCATGAGGGCCATAAACTGTAGCTAATGCCTTGGTGTTTCCCATCTCGATGTAAGCTGAGCCATCCGCTTGCTTGAAAACCCCCATTCTACAGACGATCTTTCGAAGTTCATGGGGTCTTCGGCCATCGAGACGTAGTCCTTCGGGAGAAAGAATCTCTAACCCAGCCATTTTAGACTGACGATCCAAAATGTATCAATAAACGTAAGAAGAAAGAATCTCAATAATCCATAATGAAACTAGTTTCGTCCACCATGCTTGTGGTAGTCTCGTACTCAGTCTCTCGACGTCCACTGATTTTTTTTGTGTTTACCAGTGTTCCCGCCCCATCGGCAACAGGTTCGATTTGACACTGGCCCAGCTTTGGTGCCAAAAATAGTCATTCATGCATTGTTTAGGATCACGGTTGGGATTGAAAACTCTTGAAAGAAGCTGTATGCAACTGTTTTGTATTTCTAGCCGTGGCCTTTCAGGTAAAGGATCACAAGACCGATTTTGTTTTTCTTTCGGTGGCTGGGGGGGGACTTATAGGGATATTTCGTGAATCTAAATCAGGAAAATCTATGCATTTCACAATAAGTGAAGAATTATGTGGTGTTAATTTTTTATTAGTGATGGTTGATTAGCCTGCTATGGTCAAGAAACTGTAACGAATTTCCCACTTAAATATTTTGGTTGGCCCCTGATTAAGATGGGTCACTGAACTCATGACATTTCAGCACTTGGGTCCATTTTAGTAGAAGTGTTTCTGGAAATAGAAGATATGATACAAAGTTAGATTATTTTAGTGCACAAAGCCAAGACCTCATAGTCTCTTGGACACTCACTCATTTGATGATTTATAGAGTTGTCCCTGATTTCAATTACATCTCGAGTTACTAATATATAGATGATATATCATGGCTTTGCTTTGATACAAATTTTATTTGTGATTGTTGATAATATCTCTCAGGAGTGCCAGTGCAGTGAAGGAGTTAGTGATGTTAATTAACTCAATAAGATAACTTCACATCAAAATGTGTTAACCCTTTAACTCCCATGAGTGACCAAGACAGAATTTCTCCTTACAATATCAATACAATATCACACAGACAAGTGATGAGAATAAAACAAAATATCAATCAGGAGATTATAAGTTGATCCAATATCAAATTCTCCAAACTAACATCACAAAAACTGTGTGGCAGACAGTAACAAGAATTACTAATGAGAACTTGGGAGTTAAGGGGTTAAGAACAAAAAGGGTGACATGCAAGGTGCAGCCAAGTGTGTCACTGATGCACTGACCACATTTTGATGTCATTTGTGATCTATTACAAAACAGACCCAGGGCAATATAAAACCTCTTTGTTTTATACAATAAAGAAGCAAAAAACTGAATGGTGATGTCATCTTTGTCTGTCCACCTAAAGATATTAAGAAAGAACCAACCAAAATTCATGCATAATATTCAGCTTATTACATATTTTCTTTGTGTTTTTAGCTTCATCAGTGTTCAAAAACATGGAAAAGACTTTTCAGCTTCAAAATAAACTTCCAAGCTTACCTGTTCCTCCACTAGAACAGACTTGTAAAAAATATTTGGCATCAGGTATAATAATTGAAAATAACACATATTTTTTTTCTTTACAGGTATGTATGTAAAAGTTCAGTTTTACTTTTGATTTGAATATAATTTCCTTTGCCTTTTTTAGCATATTAGAGAATTATAATGAGTTTGCAAGAAAGGAAAAATGAAATTTAGATTTAGGAGGAAATTGAACCACAGCATGAAGATGCTCAGAGATGCATTCTGTAAATTTGAAAACTGGAGATGTTTGATTTAGGTTCAGTTCCCCTCTCAAACTTATGAATCAACACCTTGTTTCAAGCTATCCTCAAACACTAAAAGTTATTAAAATTTATGCATTGCAAAAAAAAAAGAAAATTAAAAAATTAACTGTCTTTTCAGTTGAAACCAAGTGATTTTACTGATTACTTTGATTTGTCCTTTAAGTCCTAAGGTTTTATTAGTATTTCTCCTTACTGACTGCAATACAGTTTGTTGTAAATTGAACAGGATAATTTAATGTTGTATCAAAATAACATCTCCTAGCTGATAAGCTTGTGTCTTATCATAACCTGTTTGTGAGTTGACTTATTGGAATCGCAAGGAGAATTTACTTGTTAATAAGATCTGGTGGTTATCAGTTCTACATCAATGTACTCTTTTCTTTGAAAACCCACTGATTAATGCCTGACAAATGTTTGAATTTTTTTTTTTATATTTCTCACCTGCTTTCCTATGCTGTTTCCCATAACTGTCCCTCTCCTCCCTCTGCCCATTTTTTGGAGATCTTGCCCCTGTGTATCCTACCATTAACAGTTAGCTCTTAAAAAATTCAACTGTGATTTTCATATCTATTCATGACAGTAAAGCCTCACTTGACATCAGAAGAGTATCTTCAGACTCAGTTTTTGGTAAATGAATTTGCCAATGGAGTTGGAAAAGAACTTCAAAGCAAGCTTGAGATGAGAGCAAGTAACATGCGTAATTGGGTAAGTGAATCCTATGATTACTTTGTCAGCCAGTTCTGCTATATGAAAGAAACAAGTGAATTAAATAAATTAAATAGTGAAAGTGTATTAGTGTCTAAGACTACTGTGAACAATCCTGATATTTTGAAAATTGAACAGCTCAATTTAACATTAACACCAGTGTCTATATTCTTAATACTCTTCCCTTTGCATTTTGTTTGTACTGACAAGGAGAATTTGTTTAACAATCAAAGTATCTTAGGTTGGTGATCATTTCCTTTACTCTTACGATCAAAATGACAGTAATGGTAAGGAAAAAAATTAGATGCTGATCACTTTCAGTGTTTTAAAGGGTTAAGGCTGTATTTACTGTACTAGTATATCTAAAAATACACCTTGTGTAACGTTTCTGGTTTCTCAACAAGCTTGAAGAATGGTGGGAGGATGTAGCGTACTTAACACCCAGATATCCATCTGCCCCAATGGTCAACATTGGAGGACCAATACCAGTGACAGACATATGGCCAGTCCAAACTGGAGCCCAAGTAACGAGAGCTGCCATATTTACCCATGCATTCCTTAAAGTTTGGCAAGAGCTTTACAGGTGAGTTATGTTTCTTTTCAAAAACAAGATATCTTATTCATTGAGCAGTTTTAATCTTATTTTCCTATTTATTTCAGAGAGGAAAGCCCCATTGAGAGAATGGGTTCAACTCCACTCTGTATGTTTCAGTTTACACGGCTCTTTTCATGTTGTAAAGTTCCTGGCAGGGAAAAGGACTCCTTAAGGACTAACTTTGTCACAGGTAAAAACAAAATCTACTAACTCTTTACACCCATACATCAATATACATATTCTCCATACTGTTCTCTATACATTTCCTTAGATGCTGACAAGGAGAATTTGTTTGACAATCAAGAGACTGTTGAGTTGATGATTATTTGCTGTATTCTCATTACCTTAATGTGTGACTCAGTGGTGATATTGTAAGGAGAAATTAGATGCTAGTTGCTCTTAGGGGGCATAGGGGTTGATTAACATGAATCTTAAAGTGAGGGACTGTGATGGATTTAGGGTAACATCAGGCTGCTACACCTCTTGGAATCAAATCCAATTTTGTGCAATTTTATTGTCCCCTATTGTTTAAAAAAATTATGACTTGAACTTATAGCACTGGGTAGATAAAGACCTTTATGTGACCAAAATGCTATTGTTATGTGTTTTGAATACAGTTAAATTAAAATGAACATTATCCATTTTTTATGTGAATTATACACTACTAACTGATGATTCTTGATTAGCCCCTGACAGTTCACCCCGTCACATTATTGTGCAAGTCAGAGGACGGATTTTTAGTTGTGTGGTGCTGGATGAAAATATGGAGCCTCTCTCACCAGCAGAAATTGAAAGGTAAATCACAGAGAGCGTAAGAAACAATTCCACCACAATTGTGGTGGCAGGGGGGGGGGGAGGGGGGGAAGGGGGGGCAAGGAGTGGAGAGATGGATAATTTCAGTATGATTGGAATTTGAGAATTCTTTTCACCCAACCTTGTGTACTTTCTAAAGGATGCAGTATGACATTATTATTTCAATTTAGGAGGGGGTAGGGTGAAGGGGGGAGAGGGGAAGTGAGGAGAGGGGATAATTTAAACTTTATTGGAATTTTAAAATTCTTTTCCCTCTGACCTTATGAACTTTCTGAAGGATGCAGTTACATAATTATTTCATTTTTGTTTCAGTGTTTCCCCCTAGCTTGTACTTTTTTGTCTTTTATTGGTGTTTATTTCTTTCTTTTTTCTTTCTGTTTTTTTTATTTTTTATTTAATTTGTGTGTCAGATTTGAAATTTGAATCTGAAAAAAACTGTAGCTAAATATTTTCAAGCAAATCATTACATATGCTTATAATGGCAAAAGTCCCTAGATTACCAAATGAATTATAGGCTGAAAATGTGCTAAAAAGTTTGTTGCACTGAAATTTCTAATTTCTTTTCCTTTCAGACAACTTCAAGAGATAGGATCAATAGCTTTTTCAGAATCCCAAGGAATGGGAATTGGCAGTTTAACAGGAGAAACAAGAGATACCTGGCATGAGGTACAAACCCTTGGAGTTATCAAAAATCTCTAAGTGCCTGACTTCTTAGCTCAGGGTTGCCGTTAGTAGGTGACACATTGGAATATTAATAGTCAATAGCAAGTGTGAGGTCCTGTGTAGTTGCTAGTTTCATGTGCTTCTAGATCAATGAATGAGTTGTCAGTAATCGGATCCTTTGTTATGCGCTAAGGGTTCTGAGATTGCCACTGGGCAAACAACACAAATTGTTACAATGAAATGTATGTTGAAAAATTGATTGGCCTTCCAAAAAAAAATGATTTTTTTAGAGAATTTCAGTGCTGTTTTCTAGCCATTTTATCAGAAAAGGATTAAAGCAATGTTGATACATGGGAAGTGTAAGTTTTTATTTAAATAACAATGAATACGCATACCAGAGGGTTGATTACTGGCAACTCATTCATTGAGCTGCAGAGCTGTATACCTGCTGAGCCAGTAGTTTTGTGTGCTGCTAGAAGAATTGAGCAGCTGAGCAGTGTACTGGTAAAGTGCTAGCTAAGTGGCTTGAAGTATTTTTTTAATGACACAGTGGAACCACTAATATTAGGTTGGAGAGAAATGGTTAGGAAGCCAAAAGAAAACCATGGGGCATAGAATTCTTCTAAAGATCTTAAAAGTAATTCCACTTACTGTCTACTTTACTATATATTTTGGATGTTAGTTTGGAGAAGTTGGTATTAGATCAACAGATAATCCCCTAATTGATATATTTCTCTATTCCCATTACTTGTCTGTTTGATATTGTATTGATATAGTTATGAGAAATTCTCTCTTGGTCACTCATGAGATTTGAAGGGTTTAGTAGTATATTACAGGCTGAAGTGAAGTGATAGTGACAAAATAGGTAAAAAATAATACAATGAAAATGACAAAGAATACAAATTGTTGAATATTTGAATACCTGGGCTGGACTTATTGAATAACAGAGGGCCTTGATAGTAAAATGAAAAAAGTCTAAGTTGGTCCAATCTGCACTGATGGACAAATACTGATTGCTACTGTTCTCCTGCATTTAATCTTCAGCTGCAAGAACGATTGAAAGCATTAGACAGCAATAACCAAAGCATTCTGGATACCATTGAAACAAGTTTGTTTGTTTTGGTACTTGATGAAAATGATCCTGTCACTAAAACTGAGGTAAAATTTTAAAATTTCACTTTAATTCATAACTCTTAGTTGGTGAGCTAGTGGGAAGTGGTGCAGGAGAGTAATGGATGGATTCAGGAGATAAAGGTTTGCATTCAAGCAATGCAGAGGAAGGTCATTGTGTTGTCTTGTCTTCTTTGTGTCTCTCTCCACCTGGGGGTGCAGATTGGTACCACTAAACTCAACCTGAAATGAAGTTGGGGACAGAGCTACCTTAAATGGATTTATTTTCCATCCAGGAATAGTATCAAAATAAACACTACTGGTTGTTTTGATCTTGCTACAGAAACTAGCCACATGGGTCAGTCTTACAGTCAAGCAGATTTTTTTTTAATGGAATCACCTTTTTACATTCTAACATGATCAGTATGCATATTCTCCATACTGTTCTCTATACATTTCCTAAGGTGCTGACAAGGAGAACTTGTTTAGCAATCATGAGCTTCTGTAGTTGGTGAACATTTCCATATTCTTATAATCATAATGTGTGATTCAGGGGTGATATTGTAAGCCAGGAGAAATTTGATTCTGATCACTTAAAATGGTTAAGTTACTGCAGCTGAAATAGTTAAAAATTTTATTTTTTTTTACATAATTATCCAAAGGGGAGGAAATGGCTCGTTTTTAATGGATATTTTTTTGATTTAGTCTTTGCTGATATTGGTTTTTTATCTGAATATTCCTGTGACAGGTTTGTAGTCAAGCCATAACTGGAGATTGTAGAAACCGTTGGTTTGATAAGTCAGTGAGCATTATTGTCTTCAAATCTGGCAGACTGGCTACTCACTGTGATGTAAGTAATTTGTGTACAATACCGAAGTAATCCAATTTAGAAGCAAATATGAATTTGACTTGGTAAAACATAATTGAAAATTGTGCAAACCAAGGTTCCCATCATAGGAGAGAACCTTGTTGCCAGTATCATGAGACATAACCTTTCTTCCCTCACACTGGACTTTTATGAAGTTTGCTTCCATTTATTTCTTTTGTGTGTTGATGATCCTTGAGCTGCTTTTATTTTGATTCCTTTCCCTTAAGGAAACTGAATGAAGGGCCTTTGAAAGCTGGGGGGAGGGGGGGGCATTTGATTTGTGTTACAAAGCTCCAACACAGGTTATTAAAGACCTTATGAATTTCTGAATGTCTCAAACTATTTTGGCCATCATTTAAACAACTGTTCTGTTATGTTTCAGCACACTCCATTTGATGGTGTTGTGGAAATAAACTCTATCATTTTGGCAATAAAATATCTGAAAGAAAAAGGTGGAGAGTGGAAGGTTTGTTAAATATAAAATTTGATTATGAATGTTTAGCCTGCAGTTGGTCTTTATTCTGTTTATAATTTTAAAACCTGTTTGAATATTCTTGCAGTTGACAGTCACCCTTCAAATCTTTCACTCTTGATGTGTAAGAGCTAACTCTGTCTTCCAGGTGGCTTTGACTGTCTTTGTTGGATATACATGTACATGTATGTGCCTGACAATTGTGGGGAGTTGTATCACGGCGATATCGCGCACAATGTGGTTGACAAGTTTCGTAATTCTCACAACTTGTCTTCTTGTCTGTGAATCAAAAAAGTTAGGAGAATTGAGATAATTATCACTCATGGGGAGGGGGGGTGGGGTCAAAAAAAAGCTTACTATATCTCACTGACGAATAGATTCCATTTTGCCGCGCGTCAGTTCGGTGATGGATCACGGATGACGTTAACCCTTTACACCCTAACATCAGTATCTATATTCTCCATACTCGTCTCTTCGCGTTTCTTTTGGTCTGGATTAGGAGAATTTGTTCTACAATCGAAGCATCTTAGATTGGTGATCATTTCCTTTATTCTCGTGATATTAATGAATGATTTAGGAGAATTACTGCAAGGAGAATTTGGACACTGGTCACTCCTAAGGTTAAAATGTGGTGAGAACGAAAAAGTGGCACACAAGGCGCAGATGAGTGTGTCACTGATGTTTTTATCACATTTTGACGTCGTCTGAGATCTATTGGTGAACAGATCACGGAAACATTCATGAAGAATCTATTTGTTGGATATGATAACGATGCAAAAGAATGTTGACGGTGACGTAATCTGTGCGTCTGTCCTCCAATAGATCATAAGAAAGAACCAATCAAATTGTGAGTATGTGAACAAAATTACATGCATTTTGATTTGATCAGGGAAATCCAGAAGTGAAGAACTATTATAAACCCCAAGAACTGGTTTTTAAAGTTGATGATGGTATTAACCGAGCAGTAGATCTGGCCGTTCAAAAATATCAGGAAGCGGTGGGTAAATCTATTTGTCTATATCAAATGCACCTTGAAATAGTTTCGTGTTTTGTGAATAAAGTTGGTAGAAATGGATAAGTTTGTTTAGGAAATCATGTTGTAGGCAGGTACAATACCTTTTGAAAATACCTCAGCCGTCTATCGGCAAACTGTCCGTTGTTTGTCGGCCGACTGTCGGTTTTTTGTCGGCCAACTGTCGGTCGTTTGTCGGCCAACTGTCGGTCGTTTGTCGGCCAACTGTCGGTCGTTTGTCGGCCAACTGTCGGTCGTTTGTCGGCCAACTGTCGGTCGTTTGTTGGCCAACTGTCCCTCTTCTGTCGGCTGACTGTTGGCCGGCGCTTGGCAGCCGACTGTTGATCGTTTTTCGGCTATGATCCAAGAATTTATCAGTGGATGAATAGGAGCTGTTCCTCACAATCCCAAAAAATCACGCAAAAAAAATTACAACCCACTTTTTCTATGTCCAACTTTTTCACTCGGTAGGCTGACGATGTAAATATCACTGTGCATTCATCACGGGAATATGGAAAAGGTTTTATTAAGCCTTACAAGATTCACCCAGACACGTTTGTACAATTGGCAATTCAACTGGCGTATTACAGGCTACATCGCAAGTAAGTACATGTGTTGGATCTACTAACTGTTTTGATGTTTATTTTTGTTCTCGTTTGCAACTAATCATTGAACTTTGTTATTCTTTAGACCAGCTCCCACTTATGAAACGGGTCAGACTCGACAATTTTATCACGGACGGACAGAAACGGTGAGTTTCCTGGAAAATGTGTTTCTATTCAACAACTTAGTTGTCATACCTTTTTAGTTAAGTCTTTTGATGAGCATATGGTATTGGTTTTATAAGAAGCCGCAAAGGAAGTAATTTTCAAATTCAGTTCTACGCCCCGGATCAAATAGGTTGATGTCCTGTCAATAAATTGCAAAATCAATACCACAGCGGGCTGACTCCCAGTCAAAAACGTCAAAGATGATAGTTGTTTGTACACTTGGCAAAAAATCCCGGAACAAGCCTCCTCTGCAACCTTGACGTTTTCAAAGCGAGGATAATTTGGTCTTATCAGCTGAGTTGTTGATGTAAATTGACCACCGTAGAGAGTTTTAAAAGCTAACGTTTCGGACGTTAGCCCTTCGCCATTTTCTATGAAGGAGAGCTAACGCTTGAATCATCAACTTTAGAAACTCGTCACCGTGACCAATTTACATTTTTAATTCAGTTAATTAGACCAAACATCTCGTAATACCCCATATCGACGCAGCACCACAGTTTATTTTGAAGAAAGCTACCCCTTGTTGTCAAAGTGACCAGCTTTGTTAGTTAGTGGAGGGAATAAAAAAAAAATGAATTGTAAAAAATTTCCTCCTTTGATTTTTTTGTTTCAGATTCGTTCATGTACCATGGAATCAGTGGCCTGGTGTAAAGCAATGTTCGATGGCAATGCTGATGTAAGGGACTTTTCAACAATTTGAGTTAGTAAAGATCACGTAATTCGAGTTAGCTTAGGCCTCAATGTTCTTAATGATAGATTTATAAGCTATTCAATGTCTCTTTCACCCTTTTACGCCCCAGTATCAATATGCATATTCTCCATACAGTTGTCTACACATTTCTAAGGTGCCGACAAAGAGAATTTGTGTAACAATCAAGAGGTTCTTTGACTGTTGCTCATTTGTTTTATTCTCGTGTCGTTAATGTTTGATTCACGGGCAATATTGTAGGGAGAAATTAGCTGCTTGTCACTCGTCTTTTGCTCTCGTATTTTTCAGAAGTCGACGAAAATGCGGTTGTTTCGTGAAGCTTATACGAGTCATGATTCACTCATGAGAGACGCGGTCAATGGCCAAGGTATGACGACTAACTCTTGAACATTCATGTTTCTGTCACAGAGTCTCCCTCAAAGGGTAATGAAAAATTAGAATTGCAAAATTGAAGAATAATTTAGCAATTAACAGTTCCTTTTCTTTTCCCGTTCAGGAATTGATCGTCACTTGCTGGGGCTTCAGTTAATAGCTGCCTCCGAAGGTAATGTAGCGAGTTTAGTTCATTACAAAAACGAATCAGATGATCTCTGTCGACTATATTCCATCTTGTGAATGACACATTGACTGATGCGAAAAAATTCGTTTCTCGCGTAAAACCAAGAAAGAATGCACAGCAAAGGTGTGAAGAAAAAACTTAAAGTTTTTGAACATAAGCAAACCGTGGCAAAGTTCCCTAGCCATATCTCATCAGAAACGGAAATATGTCTTTCAACAATGTATAGAATTTATTTTCGGTTTGTGAGCCCTAAAGTCGAACGGCATTAAAATTTTGGCGTTTCCTTGTGATACGTTTGAGTCTAATTCTGGACTACAACCGAAATTTCATCTGGGTTTGTTAGCTTGTCAAAGAAACTACAATTGTCAAAGAAACCCAACACTGTGTAGGGGCCTGGGCCTCGAAGATGTCTCAATTACGCACGCGCAGGTTAAAAGTAACCCTGATCTACCATATCCGTGCGATCTAGATATAAAACTAGTCCTTGTGGCTACTTAATGTTAATTAAGACCGTACTTACTAGGATCATTTCTATAGTACGCGTCCCGTCTTTGCATCCCAACAAAGACAACACCATCAACCGTGATGACGATGCGTAGCGTTTACCTTTGAGCGCGAAGCACGTCGCCGATTTTGTCTTCACGGCAATCGGTCGGCGACGATTGATGACCGTTCCTTTTTCTCCATTAGTGAGGACTGGGAGGAGGTGATCGCATTCAGAGCGGTTGATATTTTTACATTAATTAATCTAGTGAAAGTTACTATTTCTAACTTAGTGATGTTATGTAGTGAATCTTCCTACATCAGCAATTGGTAGAGGGTGCACTATGTGGCACCATCGCGATATCTGTAATAGAACTACATTTTCATGTCAACAAAAACAATTTTCTTCGCTTTGCTGTTCAGAACTTCGCATGGCGGACCTAAAATATAGGAGAGAGCCATAACAAGGTTTTCCTTGCCGATGGACTGTTTTAGTTTGGAACGGATGTGTTTATTTATTGCGAAATGTTAATAAATGCGCGACATCTAAACCCATGTGTTTCCGTTGTTCTTTCTGAAATATATTCGTGATAAAAATGGAATAAATACCATAGATCCAAACATATTTCGTTTTCTAATACATCATAAATATTTGCCAATAGTTTTGTAACAGTTTTAGCTAAGAAGCCGTCGCAGTATTTAAGTGTCGTTTCTTCGATCTTTTGTAACCACAATTATGCAAATCAATACCTTTTCATGGCAACTGGTGTGTCAACTGAACAATAGTGATTGCGTTGCGTTACCAGTCATGCATGACACCCACACGACGTCATGAATGTTGAATTGTTTCTTTCCTTTTCTCTTGTTTCTCTCTAGGTTTTTACTTACTCTTTTTTTATCTGAAAATAATTTTTATTCCAAGTGTCCAAACAGAATAATTTTCTTTTTTTTTTTCGCTGTTAGATTAAAGATAAAATTATTGCTGATTCTTGAGTCCGATCAACTGTCACGCATGTCTATCGTATATTTTGTATGAATTGCAGATATGTGAACTAAATTGTAGCGTCTGGCAATTCGTGATTCGGTATCTTTAGTAGTTTTTAAAATTATTTTTTGTTACCCAGGATTGCCAACACCGGCTATCTACACAGATAAAGCGTGGACGGCGAGGTATTTATTTCCTGTACTATAATAGTGAAATATACTAAGTGCAATACTCGCGCGCATTTGGTTGGTCAATTTATTATATGCGTGCCTAGGTACTCTTTTCTTACACTCTTTTCGCTTTCATGTCTCGTCTTGTAGCGCATATTGATTGAAAATCGTAGAGTTCGAACAAAGTTAACGCAACCGCCAATAAAAACAAGTAATAGAATGGCGACTTTGAGAAACCGAAAAGTTCTTGCGGGGAAACATGGAAACCGCCTGGAGCGCGGGAAAGTGTGTGTGATTAGTTTAAGGTTTGGATCTGATTGGTTTACGATTCTTTCTTCTTCGACCAATCACAAGGCGAAATGAAGTAAAACTCCTTGACATTCAATTGAAAATTGGCCCAATAAAACCTTGGAAACTTTCATTCTTTAATCCCGGTTTCCTTCGCGGTGTTTTGCAGCGGTGGTGGTGGCAACTTCGTCCTGTCGACAAGTTGTGTAGGATTTTCTTCAATACTTGGTGGCTGCGCTGCAATGGTGAAAGACGGGTATGGAGCATTCTATAGCATCGAGGACAACAGGTGAGTTATTCTGGTTCAAAGAACTATGCCACAGTCACTTGAGTGTTAAATTAGACTTCCTTTCAAATTTTCAAACCAACGAGTCAGAAAGATATGATGAAAGGATGAAAACGAACGAACGAACTGGTGAGCTATTAAATGAATAAGCGAAGGAACGAATAAACGAAGAGGCGATCGGAATAACAAACGAGCAAACAAGCGAACGAGAGATCGAAAGAACGAACGAGCGAATCAACGAAAAAGCGAATGAAACAACAAACGAACAAACGAGCGAACAAGTGGACGAAAGATCGAAAGCACGAACGAGCGAACGAGCGAATAAACGAACGAAATAACAAACGATCGAACGAAAGAACGAACGAACGAGCGAACGAAAGATCGGAAGATCGAACGCGCGAACGTGCGAACGCACAAACGAGCGAATGAACGAAAAAGCGAAAGAAATAGCAAGAGAGCAAACGAACGAACGCGAAACTTAAGGACGAAAGGAAAAAAAAATAGACACGAATTCAAAAAAAGAAAAAGAAAGGTCGAAGAAGCGACCTAAAGAGAACGAGATTGAACGAGCGGGCGAGTTAATCAAAATACATTTTACAAGGATTTGTCAACAGAACGAGTTTAGAATCCTTTACCATGCTATGTCCTCGTTGCTTCTCTGTTTGTCGAGCTTGGCAATCGGATCGAATCCCCTTGCTGCCAATAAATGGTGAGTTAACTACTCAATTTTCCCGCCCCAGGCAAAAGTGTTTTTCATGGTCTCTTGCTGCCAGAGCTCCTGAATGTTAATTGTGGCTTTTTGCTTCTTCCTTTCAGAATTAACTTTGTTATCGCGACGTTTACAACCTCTGAGGTTACGGATGCCAAAAAGTTCCAGCATTCACTTGACGAGAGTTTCCGAGACATGAAACATCTCTTACTGACATCTAAGCTGTGAGACGAAGAGCACTCTTTTAACCCTTTCACTCTCATGAGAGACCAAGACAGAATTTCTCCTCACAATATCAATACATTATCAAGCAAACAAATAATGAGAATAAAGAAAAATATCAGTTAGGGGATTACTAGTTGATCCAATACCAAATTCTCTTACTAACATCTTAAGAATTGTATGGCAGACATTAAGGAGAATTAGTCATGAGGTCGTGGCAGTGAAAAGGTTAACTGAGATATCTCTGTAAGGTCTTGCGCTTGCGTGTGTTGAAAATCATTAACGAAGTGAGAAATGATTAAAGAAGGTAGAAGTTCGACTTACATTCCCAGGCACTATCGACTCTTCCCTTGGTTTACCTCCAAGTGCTCAGAACTGATTAAACCGTAACCTCTCCTCACAATATCAATACATTATGCAGCGTAAAAGTGACGAGAACGTATACGCTTGTCAGCTAGGGAATGTTGTTTTGATGTATATAATACCAGGTTCTCTTAACTATTTACGAAAAAACTCTGTTAGGTAAAAGAAAGAATTACTAATCAGATCTTGGGAGGTGAAGGGACGCGACAAGGCGATCATGATATTCAACAACGAGTTTTCAAGCAATGGCGCATTATTATTATTTTTTTAACTTACTTTACAGGGTGGATTTGTACCCCAATTTATCAGTTCAAAATAAGTTGAGAACGTGTTATAAGGGAACATGTGCGCTAAAAATTGTAATTCGTTTGAGAAGGGTTATTTTAAGATGTTGTAAGAGTTATGTCGAACAAGAAACACTTCCAAAGATATGTGAGAAATTACTTCTAATATATGCTCCTGTATAAAGTTTCAGTGGTTTTAAAGGGACGACAACCTCTATATTCTGACCGTAATTGAAAATATTATTGAATAAAATTACATACACACCATAGCTAGCAGTACATCATGCGGCTTAAATGATTGTTGCATTTAAGCGCACTCTTTTCGAGGAGAAAAATAAAATGACTGACAGTTTTAGTTTTTCCAAGGGTGGGAGTAGGGGCTGAAAATGGTTCAGGAAGTATCGATCCGCCATTTGTTCCGAGGCGAAAACAACTCACAGCATGCGCTCGAAAAGACGTCACACTGCCATTCGATCTTAGCATCCGTTCGGGAACAGGCGTCACATTTTGTTTATATTTGGGTGTTAATTCATAATTCTGTGGTTTCACCTCCGCCATGGAAGCCAATACGCCACTTCCTTGTTGGTGCGCTTATCAGAGGTTTAAAAAAAGCTGGTTACCACAACGCCGCCTAGAAGACCTCTGACCACCGTCTGTTGAGCCTGCGAGTAAGCTGTCCTGTTTGGGTTTCACCTTTTCCCGACACAGCTGCCTCCAACACCGTCTGCAGCCGCTCATGCAAAAATTTTCGGTAAATCCTGACGTATATTTTGTGACGAGTCTTAAAATTTCATATTTTGAAGCCGCACCATCCCCGTCACACCAGCGTGTTTTGCTCGATGAGTTTGTTTTTTGCGCTGTGACCCCTTTTTTCCAACAGAATTTAGTTTGCCCAAAATTTGAGAAGCGCCATTTTCACCCTTTACAACCAAATGTCAGTATCCATATCCTCCTTACCCTTTTCTATACATTTTCTTTGGTACTGACAAGGAGAATTTGTTTAACAATCACAGCTTTTTAGATCGGTGATCATTTCCTTCATTCTCATGATCCTAATTTGTGATTCAGCAGTTCTTCTGTAAGGAGACATTAGATGCTGATCACTTTCAGGGTTTAAAGAGTTAAGGAGGAATAAGCGTCAAGGAAAATAATAGTTTGCTTGTGCAGATGAAACGGAAGACACTAGGGAAATTAAAAAGGGTGTTTGAATGGAACTTATTATCTTTGTCAAATGTATGTGACAAATCGTCTTGCCAAATGTGTAAAGTGACTCATTAATTCATGACAACTGGAAATGCGTGAGAAAACTTCGTTTCGTAAATGGCACTTGATATTCAGTTGATTTTATTAGCTGTAAGAGTTGCTGTGAAATAATACCATAATTTTTCTTGTTTCGAAGAACATGCGTCAGTCGTATGCGTATCATTGATAATAAGTTACATGTCCATTTTTAAATTCCATGGTAACGTACAGCTGTTCAGTAATAGATCACAGATGACGTCTGAACAGAAAAGAAGCACGCGAGACGCAGCCAAGTGTGTCACAGATGTTCTTACCAAATTTTGATGTCTTCGTGATCTATTACTGGACAGATCCATGGCGACATGGAATCTAATCGTTTTATATAATGAAGAAGCAAATGATTGTAAATGATGACGTAATCTGTGTTTGTCCCCAATAACCAATTATAAAATGCGGGTATGATTCAGTTTATAATATAAACTGAGTTGATGATATCTATGTCTCATTCGAATAGCTCTCTCTCGTGCAATATTTTCAACGCTCGGAGATAAAACTCTTATCCTAGTGGAGCTTTGTAATGTCAACCCTGTCTCCTATAAGATTTGTTATAAAATTATTATTTATGTATACCGATTACTCACTCTTACAATTGAACTAAATATAGTTACTTCTTCATAATGGTTCGATGCGGAAAATGTTATTTCCTGATGGAATGGGCTGGTACATTTAGTCATGGATATTTTCTTAATTCCTGTAAAATACGTGCCATGCAGTACTTACGATATTCACTTCTTTATGTGGCGGAAATGTGTGGCTGATATTAAATTGCAGACCACTATGTTGTCCATGGAAAAATTGAATAAAGGGGGTAATTTTCTTAAGAAACTGTGGTGCTGCGTCATTAGGAGAGTATAACAGGGTAATTTGGTATCATCAACTAAGTAGATATCGTAAATTAGCCGCTGTAAAGAGTTTTAAAGCTGACGTTTCGAGCGTTACCCCTTCGTCAGAGGAAAAAATTGGCCAATCTGCGTGGTCAGCAGAAACCCTCTTGACAAAGGCTCCTGTCGTGTTTCCGACATGACATACATCATAACAGCCCACGCGCTATTCGCATGTTTAAAATTCCTTTTCCCAATAAAAAGATCATTATAAAATATATTTGCTCTTTCTGATGCTTATAAACAAGTCATGTCTATCGTATGCATTTCAGGTTTTCGAGCGATTATTTCAGACGCGCTCTTATCGGCGATGAATGCTTGAAAATTTACTTTAGAGCCGGTGGAGGGGTTTTAATTTGAAACCTTAATCTGCACCATTCAAATTCTTGTCTGTCTTCGAAAAAATAGATAGATTACCACTTAATAACCTCGATCAATAATAAAGAAATGTTATTTCTGTTTTTAAGTGGCTATCTAAACTGAGTTCGCAGGTCACGAACAGCTGCCGGTTACAGCCGATGATGGAAAACTTCCTGCCATGCATCTTTTGGTAAAATTATTCACAAGGTGCAAAGTGTAAGATCGCAAATATCGAACAGCGATCAGTAAGCTTTCATTTATTTCTGATGGATGCTAAACCTTTCGTCGTTAAGGGTTGATGCAATGTTGTTTGTTTTTTACAGATCTCTTGTCTGAAAGAGAAGTGAGCGATCGGCAAGTGTCAAGTGTGTAAGACGATACTTGACGTGAATCAATGCTACCGGATTTGCCTCACGCAAAACTGGCTATATCAATATTTAAGTAGACTTTTTGACAGGTGACTTATTAATGCAAACGAGCCTTGTTTGGTTTGCAGAGAGCGAATTCTACACGTTGTGATTCTAGGAAAGTGGATTGACTTCCAGCCGACTGGATCTTCTTTCGCCGGTAGTCCCTTGGGATTCGACTCCGAGTGAAACCGGGCGATCGGCGATTTCAATAATTTTTGACGAGAACAATACCTCATACGCAGCGAGCAGAGAACGGAGGCAGTGGAGCGAGCTGCAATGATTAATTTAAATCATGTCATGTCATCGAGATCTCTCGATTATTATCATGAAATTCGATTATAGTAACACACCATTCTGGAGGGAATAGAGGCATAACACGCGAGCTGTACCGGAGAGAAGGCCGACGTGAAAGCCGACACTAAGTCGCGAGAAGCCACGAGCATCCTTTTAGAAGCTTAGTTGTTTTGTCTGCTTAATAAACCTCAACAATTTGCAGGAAGGAAGAAACGTTTTCGCCGCGAGTGGTGAGTTTGCATATCATTGAAGTGTCAATTAACGTTGTTTTCAGCGCACGGTGGTGGAAGTGAAAAGGTCTTACCGACCTACATATCTGACTCGGAAGAAAAAAAGTAAGTGTTTAGAGGACCTCAGTGTGGAGTGAACTTCTTGGGTTTCGTGTGGCAGTTCAATTCACAAGCACCCCTCTCGAGTTCATACACAAAACATGCCGCGAGCAACAAGATAGATCTACTGTCTGTCGACTGACGGTGAAGCACGACACTCTTTAGGATATGATCAGCCTGTTTTCTTGTCGCCCACTGAGATCACGAACGAATGGTGAAGGGGCCGACCGAGACTACCAGCGAGTGGATTTCACTGTTCACACACCAACTTACTCCGTGAAATACCTCGGCTCGCAGAAGTTGTGCAGCCCTGGTTATGCGGAAATTTGTGACACGGTAAAATCTATTTACGTTGCGGAGAAACAAAAACTGAAAAAAGTGGATCATTATTCGTTGAAGTTAACGAAAGAGGAGCTCTCCTTACGTGATAGGGACAGCACGGAGGATGAAGAGAAGGTGTTTCTTCTTCGAAGAATACGATTCACCGGCGTTTGCAAGGCTCATCAGCGAGTCTTTTTCTTCACCTATCAGTTTGGATCGAAGTCAGAATACGTAGAATGCAATGTCGTATTGTGTAAGAGCAACAACGAAGCGAAGAGCTTAGCGAAGGTTATATCAAAGGCTTTTGCGGACGCGCGGAGTGATTTGCACCATCAAGAGGTGGCCAGTAGAAAGCTTCATGCAGAAGGGTTAAGCGAAACCAGTATGTCACATCTTCATGTTGATGTGATCTCAAACGTCGAAGCTAACAGACAGTATTATAACATGAGTGCGTTCAAGAATTCTCGTAGCAACTCTGCCGCCAGCGCGATTTCGGATTTTCGCTCAAAGAGTCGGACCTCCGACAAACATAAACAGAGCAATCAGTCTTGCCATTTGGGGGCGAGTATCGAGTGGGAGAGGACGGAGAGTTCGCTAGATACGAGAACGACCGATGCAGAGAAGACTTCAACGAGTGGCGAGACATTTGGATGTATTTGCGAGAAGGATTCGCTTCTTAAAGTTGATCTGCCCGAACAAACGGCAGTGGATAGTCACGAACACACCGAGGAGATAAACGGTGAAATTGTTCACGAGAAAGAGCTTCTCTCTGACTTAGACCTACAGCTTATTTCACAGAGCGGTTCGACTCTGGCAGAAGAGAATGACGTCGATGACGCGACCGAGCAAGACTGCAGTGGGAGTAGTGACTGGTCAATGGTTCCCGTTCTTCAAGAGACCTCGATTTAAAACGACGTAGTTTAGTCTTGGATTATTTCTAATGATTCATGATGTCAAAATAGTCTTGTGGCGGTTAGTTTTGAATAATACTCGTCGGAAGGCGCCAAGTGGTAATTTTGGCAAGATAAGCGCTTGCTATGAGATAAACAACATCGATTGTATACAATCGTCACGTACCATGACGCGAATGGAACCCAAAAATCAAATTATACAAGAAGGTTTGACCGGTCGGCTTCATGTTTGGTGGTATTTACGATCCAAATGACTAGCGAAGAGAACGTCAGACCGCATATTACTTTATTATGCTCTTAAGTTCGCCTCTTAACGCCGTGAACAATGGAGTACAAAACAGATTACAGATATGCAAACATTCGTGTGTTAATCTGTCATGCCTGAACGAATGTTAGACTAAATGCTACAGCTTTTTTGAGGGCAATCGTGAATCGCTTTTGCGAATCTCCGCGTTTGGAGTGAGTCAATTTCAATTTTGTCAAGAGCACTTTATCATGGAGAGAGTCATTAGGCGAATTTCTCGAACGAATTGTGCGCCGAAAACATTGAATTGTTTTTCAATCGGCCGGTTCTTGTGTGCTCAAATCATTTATTCAAGAGTTATTGTCAATAAATGCAAATATGATCGAAATGTGGTTTCTTTTCACGCGTAGGAGGGTGGTAGAACATTTTTGGCCTTGATGCAACTTTCGTGTCCGAAGATTTGGAATACTTGTCTTTCCGTTGTAGCATCGAACAAATAATCGCCCCTTGTTCTCATCTTTGTTTAAGTTTGAACATTGTTCGCCTTCTAATGGTGTTTATGTTGCGAGTGTTTTGTTGTTTTCTTTTATTCAATGCCTGTGAGATGTTTTGGAAGAATTTAGTAGAGAACAGTTACACAAAGGCGCCAAAATGCAGATCGATTTCGGAGATGCTTTTGAAAAATAAACGTGTAATGAAGACTATGGCTGAAAAAATTACTAACACAGACAAACTTCAGCCCACGGATCTGCTTAACCTCTTAAGCCGTCAAATGGATTAGGGTTTACTTTCTCTAAACTCTTCTTATACAAAAACAAAGGTAAAGCTGTGAGAATATACGCATTGATCTCATTAGGGCAATTGTCCGTGATTTTAGGGGGAAATTCCTTCAACTAGTTTTGGTTGGAAATGTGAAGAAATCGGTTAGGAGAATGCTTATGTTGACCTCATGGCTATAGGGTTAACAATGTTATCTGTTTCCGTTATGTATACCATGTCTTGTCGCATATACTGTGCCAGAATGGCACAAATATCAAGTGTTGAAATAGTTCTCGTATTGACTTACATATCGGGCTCGTTAAGGGATGATTGATTCTTTCCAATTGTATTTTACTTCAGTTTCATTGTTTTTGAAAATTCTAGACTTGGAAATTGGTGGGAACCCAAGGATTGTAACAGTGACATCTGCATGAGACGGGAATTGGCAATAATTGATCAGTATGTTCATTACACTTTTTGTAAAGCTCTCAGTCATGAGTTACAAGCAGCGAAATGTGTGGCAGTTGACTGTAAACGTAGGATTTCTATTCACTCAAAATATGAGCTGAACTTTTAGTCTTTTCCCTTTGACAGATTATAAGGCAGACACGACATTTGTTTTAATTTCAAAGAAAACTCCATTAAAGCTGACTTGAATTTCCGGATGTCGAGCAACTGTTCGGAATTTTAGTGTATTCAGAAACGAAGTTCAAAAGAATCTTTTTTTCTATGTCTGTCCGAAATCGAGCTCTCTGATTTTCCAAATTTTTGGAGCTGAATTGAAGCGCCGAACCGTCAAAAAAGACAAATAAACTTCTAATGAAAGTAAACTCCAATTTACGCTGAGAGAGTAATAGGTCAACATTATCTTGAACGAAAGCGGACAAGAATCTCTTCCTGTGCGGCTTAGCCAGGGAAGGGATAATACCTTTGCGCACGCAAAGCCGATAATTATAGTTGAGTTTAAAGCAAAGACGCATTGAAAAATTCCCGTCTCTTTTTTCTTCTGTTACATACGGGGCTACTTTATAACGACTGCTCTCCATTGTTATTAAATTACCTACTTTTTCATCGGAAGAGAACTTTTATCAACGGATAGCTTGCCAGACCAGAGGAGACAAATTTGAGAGACAAATTGATTAACACGGATTAACGCGTGGTAATGAAGAACTTGAGGCGGAATAAACGCGAATGTTCACGATACATTTTGCAAACAGAGGCGTAATGACATTAGAAATCAAATTTCGATCAAAGCGATTTTAGATTTAAAATCCTTTCAAAACCCGAATCATTTTGCGTCAATAAAGGGTTTTTTTTATATCACCAACACCTCCATGAATAGCTATCTATCTGGTTTTAAATGAGTCAAGAAGCGAAATTTGGAATTTTTTTCTCGAAACTGAACTTGGTCTTCCTGTGGCTTTCATGGTGGAAAGAAAGGATTAAGAGTCATTAACACACCTCTTAATCTCCCTGTTTTGACCGGATATTATCAGGCAGATCAGATAAATGGAGCCATATTTGGCATTTTCTGTTACATTCTCCGCTTTCTCCTTTAAGTTCATTGGGTAAAAATGCTTTTTAAAATAATAAATTGATTGTAAAGATAGTCTCGATTATGATTACAGGAAATTTCCTTGGGCGTGTGCATTTTCAGTAACATTTCGATCTAATCTTTAATTTCAGTAATTAAGATATGAATCTTTCTTTCGTTGCTGTTCGTGTAAAACCTGACTTCATTATGTTCAGATGAAACGCCTCCTCTTCAAACACTCAAAACAATTGATAGCATCAAAACCGATCTTTCATTAAGACTGAAGATAGGGTCTAGTAATTTAGTTCCTAGGAAGTCTCTTTGTTTATTCTTCCGGAGTTTTTGTCTTGAATACATTAATGCCTTTCTTTTCTTAAAGCTGCTCTGTTCTTGTTTGCAGTTTAAAATTATGGCGCGTTATCCCTTGTCAAATCCTAACAGTGGTGTTCATATCCTCCATACCGTTTTTATTTTTCATTTCTTCTGGTGCTGATGAGGAGAATTTGTTTGACAATCAGACTTGAACTTCCTAAATTGGTGACGATTTCCTTTATTTTCATGACCCTTACATTTGATTCAAAGGAGATACTTTATGGAGAAATTAGAAGCCGGTCATTCTTAGGGGTTAAAGGATTCGGCCTGAAAGCACACGCTTCTAGTTTATTTTTTAAAAAAGTCTTGTCTAAGTCTTAAAAAAATGAAATTTAAAGCCGAACGTTAATGAGTTTCGAGTACTCGAGTCATTAGTAAATTTTTTTTTTCCAAGGTCTCTTAATTAACATGGTGATTACGGCAAGGCGTAGTTGCAAAGTAAGCATAAGTAGGTGCTGTTTTAATTTTCTCAATGCCCTCCAAAGTGACGATAATAGTAATGCAGTTTTTGTTCTTTGGCATTCATATGTTCTGGGCCCGTCTTAGAGTCATTAGGGAGTTTAAGAAAACCACGACGACGACGGTGAAGAGAATCTCACTAAACAAAAGGTTTAACAAGCAGAGAAACGGCTGTGCACGTGCTTTATGAATCTTTGTAGCAACGACGGCAATTATTTAAAAAATGTTTACTATTTATTTAACGCCATGTTCATATTCATTTTCTAGATAGTTTTGACAATGAGAAACAAACTAAATGAGAGTATCGCGAAATTTGAAGGTAAGTGTGTTCATTTCTTAATCGACGTCGTCCACGGCGTCGCCGTCGTCGTTGCGGAAACTTTTAAGCTAGAGGCCCGGACTTAAGTGACTTTGAGTCGCGCCCAAAATAGATTTATGCCCTCGAACATAAACTCTATTGTTTTATTGGAAACTTATGTAATATTTTTTACGTCGAAAGTTTGTTCACGAATGATCTTTTAGTCTTTGCTAATTCAGTTTATTTATTAGTGAAGAGCAGTTCTGTTTATAATTTCTCAAACCACAGCCAATTTTCACGAGTCTTTTTTCATTGTGAAGATTCAAATTTTTTCTTTCTGCTAAGATGGTTCATTGGTAGAAACGAGTTAGATTGTTGGCAAAGGAGCCCGTTTGCGTTGCTCCGTCTTTTTTTTCTTCTTTATCTCTCTCTCTTTTTTATGAAAAAAAAAAGTTATCTGTTTTTTTTTACTGCTGTTGAATTAGGCCAGTTTTGCTTAAAAGGCTTAATTAACTCTCGCAGATCATCCACATAAGCACTTCCTTTTCCTGAATCGCAACGTGCTGTTGATAAAATAACCGGTTGTTTGTTAATGCTTGCAGAAAGTAGAAATTTCATTTCTTTCTTTTTTTGCATATGAATTTTATTACCCGGAAATTAAGAGACCTTCTTGAGAGCTATTTACCTGTGTTGCAAAATAGTTTTAGATTTCTTATCAAAGGTAGGTCATTAACGTTGAACTTTACAACATAATCTTATCTCTTGCGGTCTGATGTGAATCTAATTTATTGTGACAAATGTTTTGACGTCGGACACCACTTATCAGGACAGCAGCGCCAAGAAAGACGCAGATTAAAAAAATCGTTTCATATTTTAATTCAAAATTTCGCAAAGGCTGAATGTGTTTAAAGTCTTTACGGCGCCATACCTCGACTTTGGCATAATTTATGGAAACAGCGTTGAGTCTCAAATCGGTGGAAACCTATAATTAAATAATTTGCGGTCGGGTTTTCCAGTTCTCTGTCCGAGAAAATTTTGGTGATTTCACGTTGATGTTTTGCGGAGAACGGCAAAGAAATGTACAAAGTTATAAAACGCATGCGCTCAGCTGTTGTTTTGCCTGTTGGATCTTTTGTTTTGCCACGTCCTTAGTCGCCGTCGAGATTTCCTTCAGGACGTTATGTTCACATTTGAGCCACAGAAACTTTTTGGCACGTAATTGTTGTCAAATGGTTAAAAAGAAAGATGCTGAGAACAAAGAAAAATTTTGACTAGTGGAGTTATTATTAATTCCTCAGAGCTAAAATAATTGGAAATAAATGTTAGAAGGCGCAGGTAACTGATATTCAGATCTTGGAGTAAGATTGACTTCTTTTTCAATATATGACGGTTTGCGGTCAAGTGGACTGGGGAAGAAAAAAAGATTCGTTTTTCTCCTTCAACTCTGCCATGGAAAAACTCAAGGATACTTGTTGGTGTAAATGTAGCAAAAAATTATTTAGTTGTATCTTTAGTGCACCCAGCTCTCAAGGTCATAGAGCAGAACAGACATACCAACCATGTTGACTGCAAACTCGTTTGGACGGATGACTTACGGAAGTGTTTTGCCTTCCAAAGAGTGAGAGGGTGTACTAAACGCACTTTCAAGCGGAGTTTGGTGTGGGGCGGAGGTTGAAGGGCAATGCCACGCTTGGGCATGTTTCATTTTGCTGTTATTCTCATTTGATTGCTATTCTAAACGTATGAAATTAAAATTAGTTCCTCTGTTGCCTTATTCATATTAGTGCTGTAATGTTAAATTTCCCTTCTGATGATTGCTGGATGGAAAATGGATGGTCCCAATCGTTTCAAAGATTTCCGTGTGCGAAACCTTGGACTAATTGGATCAATATCAGTATCTGGGCAACTGTCCACCTACCCCTCCCCTAACTCAACAACAGTCAATTGACAACAAGTTAAGATTAATGTGGGGTTAGGGGAGGGGTGGGTGGGCAGTTGCCAAGATACTGATATTGATCCGAATAATTAAATGTCTGTTATTTCCTAATCCTGTTACGAACACACATCAGATTTAAGGTTGATCCATTTTGGCTTACACTTAATTAAAGGGCAGGTCCCGACTGCGCCATGAAAATAACTTTACAAGTTGCTGAAGAGGGGTCGAACACTGCCGGTTCAATGAGCGCTTTTGCCATTTGACGAAACAAACTGACTAGACAGACCAATAAGTAAGAGAATGACCTCTTTGTAAATTGGAAAGTTTCCATGAATTTTCAGAAAAATAGAGACGATTTAGAAATTCACATATCTGGCCGCACAATTCTGATCTACTTATGAATTCTCTTAGTGTTCAGTGATTTTTTATGTTAAAGTATCTGCGACTAGGCTAAAAACCCTAAATTCTTTCGCTGAAGAGGAATAAGTAACCTTAATCCCATTGCCAACAAATTCCTCTGCTATATTACTTACATAGTGCAGTCGTGAATCGTGATTACAAAAACATTGAAAAGCAGATTAGACGAAATATTGTGTGATTATACTTTTAGGCAAGCCTCCTTGGAAAAAATTTGAAATTATTTAAATTCCACGAAAGTTTTCCAATTCTAACAAGGAGCTCTTCGGCACCGAAGAGTCCAGGCACCTTGTTTTAAAATTTTTCTCGTCTCTCTTCTGGCTCCGGATGGACTCAGTGCTTAAACTTAATTTCATCAGAAAGAGAGGTACTTAAGATCTCTCGAGCGTGGTGCTCACTAAACACAATACATCAACATTAAGTAACCAGGACTGACAGAAATCCATAAATGATCTATTTATAATCGGTTTGTCAATATAAGCTTAACAACTTCACGGAATTTTTGCCAAAAGTAGTGCCTAACCTCAGAGCGTCCACTAACAGGATTTCAAATGAATATTGCCGCTATGCAAGACTATCGAGAGCAAGAATACAAAATATCTGACCTTGTAAACTTGCATGCATATTTCTTGTAGATTAAATGGCTTGCCTTACACGTAGTAAAATAAAACAAGTTTGTTGTTCTTGCTATCTGTGACAGGTAACGTATAGCTTGCGTGCATGGTGTGTGATTTTCAGCATGCCCACAGATATTTCTGATAGTAGTTAGGTAAAGCAAGAACTTGAACCACCTAGGTAGAGTTTAAAAGGTTCGTGAATATTATTTATAAATGCCACCCAAACTTCAGTGTTCCTAAGGCTGTTGTCAATGAATTTTTTGAATGTGCAAAGGATTGTAAAGGCCCTGATATTGTGATTCATAACTTGCAAAATAATTCTTTAGATTAAGCTCCATCTCAAGTGTAAATTATGAGCCGGAATTTTAAACGTTCATGCAAATGAATGAAAGTCTAAATTTAGTGGATGTAAACGCCCATAGATTAGTATGTCTTTTAAAACACAAATTATGTTGGTGAGACTGTGGTCAGATGGGACCTGAAAAAAACTGCTTAGGCTATAATATTTACAAACAACTGTATGCTTAGAGGAGTTTTTATCCTTTTTTTAAATCATAGTTCATGATTCAACTTTTATTGCACTGTTTGTCGTGAAACCTTTGAGACAGTAGCAGGCTAAGGGTCACGTCCCATTCATAAAAGCAGACAGTCGAAGACGACATCTGATAAACGTGTCATTGAGTGTGGTCTTAAGTTAAGATTGTTTATATGACACTAAAAATATTGCATGTCAATAGATTTGTCTGGCCGTAAAAAAAAGGGTAAAACACTTCAACCCACTTAAATTGAGGAAAGGCTTATTTAGCGCAGTCTGTCATCGACACATTAATTAGTGTATTTGGTAAACGAAACAGACACATTGCAGAAATCATTTCCCATCGGAGTTCTTTTAGTGGCAATAACAAAAGATTTTTTAGAAGCCTTTTACTATCAACTCTGGAGCCCCAATTATTTATGTTATTAGTTTGAATTGATGTATTCATTCGTGAATGAAAACATAAGGATAAACCGCAAACCCAGAGACGTGAGAAAATTCGAACCACATAATTGCTTTTGAAATGTCTGTCTGGGGGTAACTTACATAAAGGCGTGTTCTCGGGGGTGTGCGTTAAATGTGTGCGGGAGAATTGTGTGGCGTCCTTACACCAAATGTTGCAATTACGAGCGTATACGTTTCTAATTGGTCGACAGACGGAAAGATTCGTTGACATAATTATTGCAATTGCGAAAAAAAGCAAAAAGATGTGAAGCCGTTAAAATTAAAATTGTTTCTGGATTTGATCCTGTTCCAAGGTATTATTGGTAACTAAATACTTTAGCTAAACCAGTGAAAAGTAAAGAGGGATTTAACATTCTTTATCTTAAGCCTTGAGGTTATCTCTGTGTTTATCGCAAAACAACACTCTACCACGCGGGATATCATTGTCTTTTGGACCTTTGGATATTTATGTAGACCTTGTTATGACTGGTTCGGTACACCTCCAGTGGCATAACGTGTTATTTTTTCTAATCAAAAGTGGACATTGGCTTGCTTTTTCAACCAAAAAAAGTAAAGAAATTAACTGATCCAGCTCGTATTAAATCTTGTGTCGTGTTAAGACCTCTTAACATAACTTGGACTAAGCCCAAACGGAGGTTACGTTTCCCCGACGAATTAGTAGATGCTCGCTGTGAGCTCCAATTACTTCTGAGTGCGATAAGGGTTTCAACTATTTCTGTGGAAATTTTTTGTAATCCCGCATGTTCTGGCCTGGTTATCTACCTGATGAATTTGAGGGTAGTTGATTATTTGGTAGGGGGGGAGCGGGGGGGGGGAGGGGGGGGAGGGGGAAGGAGCAACAAAAGACACCTCTTCTCTTCAACTTTCAGACCACCTCCCCCTCGCTCTCCCCTTTCCCTCAGGCCAGGACTAAAAAAAATGCAGGACTACAACATTTTGTGTTCGCCACTTAAAAGAGTTGCCAGCTTTTTGAAAATATTTTCTTGCAGGACTCGCTCAATCACAGAAAAAATCGCATCGAGTTTTATCAAAGCCGTGTATTTATTGCGCAGTACCAGGAGGCTATTACCGAAAAATCTTCTGGCAGTACGTAATTACAGAATATAATATAATCCGTTTTTCTCCATAAGTACTCCTTATGCATGGCTCTGTAACCCGGTTACTGCTACCCCAGTGAATTCCAATGTTGTCCCTCTTAATGGTTCTTTTGCAAGCAATGCTTGCTGTTGCTTTCATTCCGTGTTTATTCTTGAAAAAGAAACGAGAGAACAAAAATTAATCAAAATTCTACACCGTTCGATACCAACTGCTTTTCACCATTTTTCAATGAGGTTTTTCAAAGCAATTTTTTACGTGGGTAGAAGAGTTTTCATTTTTCCGGATGACCCGGCTTCTTTGGTAGGCTTACCACAAGCAATTCCTTCAGAAAATGGACCTATTCGCGGGTGTTGTGAACTTTGAATTCTGGATTTTATTTTATTATTATCTTTTTTAGGTTCGTAATCTATACGCACATAGTTTTGTGGTGGTATTATTAGTAGATGCCGTAGAAATTTAACGGAAAAAGAAGTATATTAAAAAAAGGCTTTCAAGATTCGAGAATCTTAGTACCTCTACCTCAGCGTGGTTTATTCAGCTCTGTTCTCCCAAAGTCTTAACATTAGTTTTTCTTCTTAGCATCTATGCCATTGCATTGAGTTTAAGGGTGCAATGATTTATTGTGGGTATACCATTGTGTGTACATTGCATTGGACACGGAAGTGAGGGGGAGTTACTTGCTTAAGTGTACCGGTAGGTGGAACATAAATGGGAAAGGGCTTGGATTACAGGGCAGATCATCCTTGATTAAAATTTTGTTGAGGAAATTTCCCCCAGGCTTTAACACGAAACCTACCACAGACTTTGTCCTTAATTTCACTCAGTTCCGCTTCTAACTGATCAAAGCTTTCTACAGCGATTACATTTCCATTGGAACCGGCTATATCATGTAAGGTTGCTATGTTGATGCCAGTTCCAATACCCACTGCAACGGTGTACAGATCAGCAACCTGAAGATTAAAGAAAATAACGATGACAAAAAATACTGATAATGGTAATATCTTTCCTCCCCGACATAACTGCGCCCTGTGATTGGACTAGATAACTTGCACCATCCTTTCGACCAATCAGATGAAAGACTAAAACCAACTGCAATCGAAACCTCGTCTCCTTCGTTTCCCGCACCTCAGGCAGTGTACGAATTTACTTTGAGGCTCAAATCACACGATCTACCACTCTACCCTCTTCGTGCACACTTCCTGGGGTGTGGGAAAACGCAGGCGACCAAATTTCGGTTGCTGTTGGTTTTGGTCTTGCATCTGATTGCCGAGAGGATGGCACAAGTTATCAAGACCTGTCAAAGGACGAACAAGCTGTACCTTGGGGTCCTGGTAAAACTCAGTTGCGAAAATCTTGAAATCCCTGGGTTGTTTTGTAGGTTTTCCATCCGTGAGTACAATCATGACATTTGGTTTATCTGGTCTGTCTCCTCCAGATGGCGAGAAAAGCTGATCTCTGGCTGCCTGCATAGCCAGATCAGTGCGCGTCTGAAGCTCCAATGTACGTGGCATGTCTTTTATTTTTTCTTTTAGTTGCTCTTTGCTGAAACGAGCTTCCTCAGCAAACGTGAACTCAACGTGGGCTCTCCTATTGAACGTAACTAAACCAAAATGATCTTTGTCTGGGGCCGGCTCAAACTTGTCCACGAGGTCAACCAGTGAATCGATTACTTTATGAAGATTGGCGATCTTGACACTTTTTGATTTGTCCAACACGATGCCAACATCGAGACCAGCCGAGCAGGGCGGAGCTTTTTAAAAATAAGAAGCAAATTTAGCTGCTCTTTTTTGGGTCTTTCAGAGAGTCAGTAGGTCATTGACTCGGAGCGTCAGTTTGTGAATCAATTACTCGATATGTCAGTCACGGCAGTCAGGCAGTCATTCGGTCAGACAGTCAGACGGTCAATCAGCTAATCAGTCCGTCGGTCAGTCACTCTGTTTGTCTGTCTGTCTGTCTGTCTGACCGCATCACTGTCTGTAGGCGCCAGGATAACGTCTTTGTGTTTGTTCGTGCTTTTCGCTTTTTGCTTAGTTTATTTTACCCTTTCTTGTTTCTTTAGTTAATTAGCCATATATTTTGTTTCACAAGTTAGGTTTTATTTTGCATTTTGCTAAGAGATTATAATCTCTGGGATTTTTAAACTTTTGCTTGGTCAATTATTTTCATTGAATTCATGTTTTATTTCTGTGTCGGTTAAAAACTAGTTAGGGGCCGCGTGAATCAGTCACAATCATTTTTTACCGCTTCGATCGCTTTTCTTTGCTCTATATCGTGCTTTTTATCGATTCGCTTGGTTTCGTTTTGTCGATGAAATGAAATAATAGCGTAAAGCCGTTTGGAACTACATCGTCTTTCGGGTTTTCCGTCGGTGAGTCAGTGGATCAGCAACTAAGAGAGAAAGAGTCAGTATTCCCTCAGTCAGTAAGGCAACTGATCGAGTTTGTCGATCAAGACGTCAGTCAGTCAGACAGACTGTCGGACAACATGCCAGTGTACCTCCTGCATGATTTCTATCAAATCTTATGTCAGTCATTCAGCATAATCATGAAATTATGTAACAAAACATGAAATCGTTCAAAACCGCTTTTGAACAGGACTTACGACATGCAGATTTGTTGCACTCTTGGATATCGTTTGCAGGACCCAAAACGTTGCAGTCCTTTCCACCGTATTGTGGGGAGGGATTGGTGCATTCTCGTGATCGATTCCTTGATCCTCTGCCACAAGTCACAGAACATTCGGACCATTTGGACCATGCCGTGTAATTTCCATCAATTGCTTTGAATAAAAGTAACCGATCAAATCATATCAGTGTAAATTAGTAGATATTAGGGAAGATAATTTGTTTTCATCAACTGAGTTGATGATGCTTGTAAATTGGCCACCATAAAGAGTTTCGACGTATTGAGTACCTTTTAATTGCCACCTCTTGTTTGAGAAAATAAGATTCGCAAATGAGGTACGATTTAAGGGTTTGTCATTAAAATTTGTTTCCCCTTGTCCCAAAAACGATAAGCACGGTCTTTCCCCGACCACTATTGCTCTCCTGGAATTTGTCAAGTCTAACGAATGACTTTGCCATGTGAGTCAGTCAAAATTCACTTACGACACGGGTTTTTATTGCATTCTTTCGTTTCATCGGCTGGTCCCACATCCTCGCAGCTTTTCCCGTCGTATTGTGGGGGTGGATTGGTGCAGCTTCTTGATCGATTCTGGACACCTCTACCACATGTGACGCCACAGTCAGACCACTCTGTCCACTGTGTATAGTTGCCGTCGATTGCTGTAAGAGATGACATCATCTCGTTACCAAACCTTCTGCGCGCTTTTTTCGGAGATTAACTTAAAAGTTCCTCTTTAGAGCGAGATTAAAGCACCCAAAACTTTATCTCTCTTTTTGTTATAAAATCGTATGTGATGTCCCAAATTTACGTTCGTTTGTTAATGTATAAGCATGAACAGTACCCCGTGAGTTTATCATTGAAAACATAACTTGAAATTGAAATACTTTAGTTGATTCAGCTTTAAATTGAAATTTCCAATCCTGTAATGAGAACGAGCGGTGACTTCGAAAAGCTTCAAAGGAATCTTGTCAGGTTGAATTTGCTTTTAATTAATATTTTTATCCAGGAAGTTAGTTCAAACTAATTCTAAACATTGAACTTACGGTGGTAGGACTTTGTTCTGATATGAAATTAACTGCTTATTACAAATGCAGCAGTGCATGCTTTCAAATTTTGATAACAGCTCTTACAACAGTTTTAAATGGTTCACTGTTCAAATAATCGATCTTTAGCTTATAAGCTGAGGGTAGAATTTATTTAAGTGTTGGGAATTTAAGTGTTAAATTAAGTGTTGGGAAAAGCTGAAAGATGGGTTATAAAATTTATTGATAATAATTAGAAATGCTTTTTTGAGACTAAGAACAATGTGTCTTCGTAATTGGACAAATTTTTCAACAAAAGGTTTCATTCCCTGTCTTTGTATATCGCAAGTGGAGTCATATTGTTACTCACGGCAGGGATCTGGGTTACAAATTTGCGAGTCAACAGCCGAGCCAAATTCGGAGCAGTTCCTCCCACCATGTTTTGGAGAGGGACTGGTGCAGGTTCTTAAACGGCTTTGTTGTCCTCCTCCACAAGTGGCGCTACATTCTGACCAGTCAGACCAACTAGTGTAATTGCCGTCAATTGCTGGAAAGAAAAAGAAAAAACAGTGTCCAGAATCAGTGGCTATCGAAAGAAAGTACACATGATTTGTAACCAGTGTCTGGTTCGAGGGAAACAGTTAGTTTTGCTCGGTTTCCCGAGAATCTCAAACACACGATGTTCCTGTCTACAATGTATATCTTGCTGGAAGCAGTTCAGTTTGTCTACATAATCACACATCAGCCAGAGACAAATGTATTTAGAGTAGGGAAAACCCCAATAACAATTACTGTTTTTCTTTACCGAAGTGAGCGGGTTAAGATGTTTTCCTGTTATAAAAGCAACCACTGATTAAAAAGTGGTAATTCCTTACTCATCAAAGAGAGATAGTTTTATACGAAAAATTGGAACAATGATAGTTCAAATTTTGTGTATAAAATTATGTCAAGGCTTATATGCAGACGAATAAACTATTGCAAAATATGCCTGTCCCATTGTGCTCGTAAAATGCTTGAAATTTGCTCACTGGAATGCCGAAAAGTTGCTAAAAAAAATTGCAAAAAATCCAAAAAGTTGCTAGCTAAATCTTAAAAATTGCTACCGAAATTTGTCGATATTTTTTTTTATCAATGTCAATTAAAAGCTTTGTTTTTCGTTCTTCACAATAAATGCTAACATCTGTCGTGGAAAATAGCTTGAAATTTAGCTGCATAGAGTTGCTCGCAAATATGGACGAAATTTAAGGATATTCTTAAGTCTGAAGGAACAAAACACATGGTCAATAGTGTTCAAAAGGTTGGTAACTATTTAATAAATTCGTATAAATTGAAGTTTTTTCATGATTTAAATCGTTAACTTTTTCGTGCTTGATACAAGCAAAATTTGCTCGAGAATGCCAAAAAAGCAAAAAGTTGCTCCAAACGCCAAACTTTGCTCATAAGTTGCTAGGCAAAATCGGGACAGGCCTATCTGCCAACTAAAAAAGAAGTTAGCAAACTAAAAAAAAAGCCAACAAACAAACAAAACAACACACCCAAGCTGACGTGGTTGAATACTCACGACATTTTTCCGAACCGCATGATTGTGTCTCCATTGCTAGGCCCAGGCCTTCACAGTCTCTTCCACCGTATTGTGGAGTAGGATTGGTGCAGTTCCTCGTTCTTATTTGTAAACCTCCACCACATGAAGCACTGCATTCGGACCACTCTGACCACTCGGTGTAATTACCATCGATTGCTACTCAAAATAAAACAGGATCAAGATCAGTCATTTGATAACAGGTTAGGTGGTTAATGTTGGGTTAGGGGGAGGGGGTAGGAGTGCAATTGCTTAGATACTGACAATGATCCCTGAGGCACAAACTCAGTAAAGACTGTAGAGAAGATTGCTCTAGTCTCGTCCGTCAATTGATAAACTTTTAAAGTATTACCAATATCACGGTTATGAACATTAATAATATGAAAGTTTATTCACAAGGAAAAAAAGTCATCTAAAGCAGATATCATGACCAGTGTTTAAACGCCTTTCAATTCATACGTAAGTGTTTTAAAGCTCGTGATCATTTTCGCGGAAAAGATCACTGCTTGTGAAGTGAAAAGATGCTCTAACTACTCACGGCAGGGGTCTGGGTTACACTCTTGCGTGTTATTAGCTGGTCCCAAGCCCTCGCAATTCTTCCCACCGTGCATAGGAGAGGGATTTGTGCAAGTTCTTGTGCGGCTCTGTTCCCCTCCTCCACAAGTGACGCTACATTTTGACCAGTCCGACCATTTAGTGTAGTTACCATCAATTGCTAACGAAAAAATACAATTCTTAGAGACTGGTCTATTTTTATCGCCGGAGAGGGGGGGAGGGGGGTTGGCGAATGGAGGATTCTGGGAGAGATGGTAATGGTAATGGCAACTTTATTTATACACGGTAAATCCTTCAGGATATATTATAAAATGATACAAGATCAACTTATTATCCCTGACTAAACTAACTAACCTAAACTAACTAAACCTAAACTAACTAAACCTAAACTACATACTAAAAGCTGCTGATGGGAGAGATAACAGATCGCATGGTTTTCAGAGGGGAAGGGAGGGGGTATCAATCGTCAACAGAGTGTAAAGAGGAAGCTAGTGAGGGGGAGGGGGGGGTTGGATACGAATATGACAGAGCCTGAGGTAGGGATGTTATCGTGACACGACCAAATTCCTTCAACTCTACCCTTCTTCCCCCTCCAGGCAATAAATAAGGACCCGTCTCTTAACGACTATTTTAAGAAACAAGAATATTCTGAAGAAAGAGATTTTACAATATTCATTGTTGTTAAATAGATGTATAAACCTGGTAAAGAGTCACAATCAAAAATCATTCATCATCATGACCTTTCAAATGATGCTTTGCTTATCTTCTTCAAGCAAAGCGAAAGCTAATATGCCCGTTGAAGCACCTCAAGAGTAAATCAAACAAGAGAAGCATGTGTACACAGTTTAGTACTTACGGCATTTTTCCGAGCCGCATGACTGTGTCTCGACAGCGGGGCCCAGGCCTTCACAGTCTTTTCCTTCGTATTGCGGAAGGGGATTGGTGCAGTTTCTCGTTCGTGTTTGTAAACCTCCGCCGCATGTAGCACTACAGTCGGACCATTCAGACCACTCGGAAAAATTACCATCGATTGCTACTCGAAGTAAAAGAAAAAAGACGCTTTTTAAAGATGTGGGTACATTTTCTCAGTTAAAATTGATCATTAAATTTAACTTACATCCATATGGTATTATAATCGCGTATGAACATGAGTAGTTACGAACATAAAAATGTCTTTACTCTAATTCGTCGTTTTCAATAAACTATTCCCCTGCTTATTACAGGTGATCTCGTTGTCCAAAGTTGATCCAATCGTTCATCTTCCTCATCCAAAACGTATGCTCTGGGCACAGGCTTGTGAAATGCCTGTAAGGAACATTCCCTAAAAGCAATTGTCCCAATCTTATTCACTCTCTGAATATCTATTAGGTCTCTTTAGTAAACTATGATGACCTACTCACGGCAGGGGTCTGGGTTACAAGCCTGTGTGTCATTAGCTGGTCCCAGCCCTTCGCAATTGTTTCCACCGTTTTTCGGTGGGGGATTGGTGCACGTTCTTGAACGGTTATGTACTCCACCCCCACAGATGACGTTACATTCAGACCATTCGGACCATTCAGTATAGTTACCGTCAATGGCTAATAAAAAAGGGAAAGTAACAACATCAGAAAATAAACTGGCCTCAAGATATATGGTTTTCGCTTTAAAAGAGCAGAGGTATAGCATAAGATTCGAGTCACTGTCCACTCGGAAAAGGGCTCGTTAGTATAACTAGGTCAGATTTTCTTCATGATGAATGACTAGACCGGATACTTGCAGCTTAGGTAACTTATTTATTCCCAGACGAGTTTTAAATTTTGAGAATTTTTTTTATTCTAGATACTCAACCGATCAGTAGTTCATGCTCAAGCAGGCATTATTAAAAAAATATGCGTCTTCGAGTTGGTATGTGAAGGGAAACTTGAAAGCTCGAAAATAGCGTGCTTTGTTCGTAAGGACATACTCCCTAAAATTACCTCATGTGATATTCATAACCTTAGGCAAGAATCGTTTGTCTTGTAACTTTGCCAAAGGGAATGTACCAATGATGAGATTCAGGTAAAACTCGCTCATTTTGAAAGGCGAAGGTAAAATGAATTTTCAGACGGAACCCTTCGTGTTATTTTTTCTGCTGAGAGCTGCTTCAGTAGCAATCACATCTCAAATCAGTGTTTGACATGGGGTTGGTAAGTGAAGAATCGATCTTTCTTGCAAGTAAACTACAATCAAAGATTTGCAGAAAGTAAAGCTTTGTAACAGTTTACTAGAGAAGGTCAAATCATCGCACACTTTCATCGTCAAGTTGCCAAAGTCATTGATACAGATAAGAATTGAACGGAAACTCACGGCAAGGGTCTGGGTTACACTGTTGCCTCTGATCAGCAGGTCCCAGTTCATTGCAATCAAGTCCACCGTGTTTCGGAGGTGGCCTGGTGCACTGTCTTGTTCGCAGGTGGGAGCCTCCCCCGCAACTCGCACTACATTCAGACCACTCTGTCCATTCTGTATAATTGCCGTCTATTGCTAAATGGAACACGAATCTCTACTAAGAACGCAATGTAACATACTAAGGGACCAGTCCTTTTTGTCGCTGGGGGAGGGGGGAAGGGGTGAAAAATTTTGGGGGTCACATGGTTTTCGGGGGGGAGTGAAGGGGGGGGAGGGAGGGAGGTCATAGAGTAATACAGAGCCTTGTGGATGAGTGGATGAGGTAAACTTTTTATCAGTGGAATGACGTCGAGAGCCATAGGCAATTCCTAAAACGATCGAATTTGGCACGCACTTAATCCAACCGCTTGTGAATGGTTTTCCATATGCAAACAGCTGTTTTGAGAGAGACTATCGAAAGAAAAGTGCACGCGACAATCCCAAAAGGTAATATGGGTAGTTTTCAGGTTGCGGTTCCTTTACCTCGGCATTTCAGGGAAATCTGAGAAAAAGTCTTTGTAAGGAAAAGGCATCACGGCTTTGGTAAATTTATATTTTGATTTGACTTAAAAAATAATTGATTTCCGAATACCCAGGTCACCAATCAAAATTTTTGCGTGCAATTTTGTCCTTTTTTCAGAAAACTTTCTCGAAATAGCTGTCTATTCAAAATCAATATACAGGTGCTCCTTAAGTCTCGGAAGGCGCGCTGACGTCAACTTTTTTCGTAGCCAATGTTTTTTGATTCGCGCGGAGGACTTTTGCCTAAAAAGGGGGAATGCTAGTAGTCTATGGAAACAACATTTCATGGAATAAAAATATCATATGCACACTCCAAGTAATGGTATGTTTCGATCGTTTAATTCTTATCTTGTACGTATTCACTTACGACATGGCTTTAGTCTGCATTTTTGAGTCTCATCAGCGGGTCCTAAGTGCTCTTCTTCACAGTTTTTCCTTCCTGGCCCAGGAGGGGGATTGGTGCAAGTTCTTGAACGTTTTTGTTCTCCAACACCGCAAGTGACGCTGCATTCAGACCACTCTGACCACTGGGTGTAATTAGCATTATCTTGGATTGTCAAAGGAAAGCGAATAATTAGTTCACAACTAGATTCCACGTTGTCGTTGGTCTGTTCCGTAATAGATCCAGAAGATGTCAAAATGTAGTAAGAATATCAGAGACACCCGCTTGGTTGCATCTCGTGTGCTACCATTTTGCTCCTTCTACGTTTTGACATCATCTGTGATATTAATTACAAAACAGACCCTCGGCAACATGAAATCTATTTTTCATACAATGAAAAAGCAAAATGTTGCGAATGGTGACGTCATCTATGCGTGTCTCTTAATTCACAATTACAAATTTTGTTCTCTGACACTTACGGCATGACTCAGTATTACATATCTGTAATTCAGCAGCTGGGCCGGCACAATCGAGACCAAGGCCTGATGGGGGAGGATTAGTACAAGTTCTGTTACGGATTCTCATCCCACCACCGCATGAAACTGTGCAGCGTGTGAAGGCACACCACTCACTCCAGCTACCGTCGATATCTGAAGCCAAAAAAAACTACAGTCAGTCATCGACATTCGTATCGTCGTTGTCCTCGACACAATCTTATTTGTCTATGTCGTGTTTGTCGCAGTACATCTCCCGCCTCGTCATTGTCATTGTCAAAGCCATCGTCATCGATCGTTAGGATCAGTTTAAAAATCTGAGCAAGTGCGCACCTACCCCCCCCCCCCCCCCAACCTAAAAATTAACCTTAACTTGTTATCAGTTGACTGTTGTTCGGTTAGGAAAAGGGTAGGTCACCGTCATCCTTGTCTTTGTCGTCAACGACAATATCATAGTTAACAAATCGTCATCCTCTTTGAAAACATCGTCACTGTTGTCGTATTGAGCTTGATCATCGTCATTGGATGATAGTAATAGTATTTGTCGTCGTTATTATCAAAAAATGACCAACTAAAGTAGATCATTGATTTACCACAGGCACATTCGCCACATGCTCTTGTCTCTGTACTTGGTCCCAAGTGTTCGCAGTTCATTCCACCACAGCAAGGCAAAGGGTTGTTGCATTTTCGCGAGCGACTCTGGATTCCACCTCCTCCACAGCTGATACTGCATTCCGTGAAGTTCGACCATTGAGAATAACCGCCATCAACGGCTAAAATGAATAGCACATGTTAAAAGTGGTACAAAAAAAGTGGAGAAATGGCCGTAAAAAAACCAAACTACTTTCTGAAGCAAGGAAAATACAAGTTAAAAGGAATAGTTTTGCCTCTGATTGGTTTGAGAGAGGTTAGTGCGAGTATTTTTTGACCAATCATAGAGTGAAGTAATACAAAACCAAAGCAGATAAGGTTATTTCCGACCCTCAATCAAAGATATCTCAATATAAAAATTATTCGTCATTTTTAAATCCCTTCTAAGTCAATCCTAGACTCAAGTTGCCAACCTGGATACTTCTATTTATCAAAAATAAACACACTCACGACAAGGAAATGAGTTGCAAGATTTGGTGTCCGTGTCTGCTCCCAAGTCATTACAGTTTTTCCCTCCGTTTTTAGGTTCTGGATTATTGCACGATCGCTTTCGAATCCTCAAACCTTCTCCACAAGTAGCACTGCACTCAGAAAACTCACTCCAATCGGAATAACCACCATCTACAGCAGCACCTACACGTGTAACAAAAAAAGCAACAACAACATCAACAACAATAGAAACTAATAACAACAAACAACTTAAATAAAAAAAGGCTTTCTGACGTGCATTGCACAGACATCCAAGGTCTCATCATAACAAATTCGATCCAGCCAAATTTTGGACGTCTGAATTGTTTCTTTCTTTTTTGTAATAGGTTTTTGTTTGGAATTTGGAGCCGACCTGGCCAATTCCAATTTGATATTCCAACTGTGTTAAACTAACTGACCAAAAGAGACTTTTTTAACCCTCATTGTAAAATCAAGCTCAACAAATTTGAAAAGGATGCTTGTAGGCATAATAATTTTAAAAAATAAAATCTATGGCAACAAAAACGCGTGTTCAATTTCATGTAACCCAACCGAAATAAAGCAAAAGTTGAAAGGAATTTCTTTCTTTTTTTAATTCCATAGATATTTGCAGTGCAATGTTCCCCTGAAACAAATAATGTAAAAAGGAACTTGAGCTATGAGAGGCATCCATACTATATCATGTAAGTTGATAGCTACCTTCAGAATCTCCTCGGACTGCAAAAAGAGAAGGAAAAAAAAAGGACATCATTTAGTTATGTTTAGCATGATTGGAAAAACAGCGCTAGTAAAATTAGAAGCTCGCTTTTAGCCAATCAGAATCGATGATGTGGTTCAAATGAACTTCCTCATTTCAATCGTATTGCCGGGAAGCACATGGCTTTGATCATTCGAGCTGAGCACATTAAGGGGTCTACTGAGTAGTACCAAGCGATTATGAAATATCTTTAAAGTTATAGAGACTTTTCCTTTTGGTTCCAAATAAAGCCGGACGAGGGTCAGTTGGCTTATTTTCAAATATTCATAACAAATCTTTGCAATTGGCAGGAATGATAAATTAGCTTTGACTCTGGCGTTTATTGATATTTTATCTCACCTGTAACGACGATGAGAAATAACCCAGTTAGGTGAAACAAAACATCCATGATTGACGAATGCTAAAAAAGAAGAAGATTCGCAAATTTCAGCTTAGCTTCTCGTTTTGTCAACTTTTTGTTCCCCAAAGCTCAAAGTTATAAGAATTTTGCCGTTGGATCCTTGATATTTTGCCTTTCTTTGGTCTATTTAGTATAGGTAATCACATGATTTCGAGTGCAATTTGGTGTAAATAAGCACGAGTAAATTTTTCAAAGACTGAAAAATTTAGAAGTGTCTTTACACCAAATTGCAAGAGAATCATGTTATTACTTGTTAATAATGTGCACAAAAAAAACATCGCAGAAAGTCGACAAAGACGTAATTTTGAAAGCGTGCGCGCACTATTTGTAATTTGCATTCGTGTTACAACTTTGCGCTTGTGTTACATGAGAGTGCATCCGTTTTCAGCCAATCAGAAGCGCGTAATTTTTTCAGGAACATAATTACGTATATGTGGTTAACTCTTTAGCTTCTAAGAGTGACTGGCTTCTAGTTTCTAAAGGGTAAAGGTTAGAGTTGGGGTTGAATCAAATGTAAAGTTCATGAGAACAACGGAAATTGTCAGCAATTCAAGAAGCTCCTGATTGTCAAATAAAGTCTCCTTATCACAGTGTGGAGAATATGAATACTGATGCTAGAGGATGAAGGATTAAAGAGTATCGGAAATGGCATTAGAAATAGAAGTTTCTAGGGGCCGGTTTCTTGAGGCAGAATATTTCTCTAATATAATTAGATAAATAATTAGGAAAAAAAAAAAAAAAAACAAGCCAACGTTGAAATCTTCAATCGTTCAGTTAAACATCGGCGAATTAAGTAACAACTGAACGTTTCCTTAACGAAAACGGAATTATTTTAAAGCTGTGAGGTATGATATGCAAGTACGGTTTCGTAAGAAACTGACTCTTTCGCGGCGGAATGTATGTCTTGACGATGGATAGGGTTTCCTTGGTAACTGAGCTGAAGTTTGCAGCCTAGCACAAAGTAGGCTACCGCCTGAAGGTTTTAATTCATTTACTAATTGCATGTCAACAGATCTCCCCTAAAGCAACAGTCAGCTTGTCCAGTGTGACTCGAGCTAAAAACCATACCAACATTGTAATGGGTAATGAAAAAAGCTTGAATAGATTAACTTTTTTATCAATAGCATTTTTTTGCAAGAGAAACTGGATATCCTTGAGATAGGATTAATATAGTCAGTTTCGTCAGATCATTGTAACTACGTGTCAGTAATTTGTTTACAGTGTCATTTTCAAGCTGAAAGTTCCATTTTGTTTTTTATAATTAATTTTTGTCACTGCCCTTAGATCTTTTAGAATATTATCAATCAGGAAGTGCCAGCAAAAATAGAAATGATAATTGAACCCAGATTATATCACTGACACAGAAGAATATGTGATTTTTCAATTCTGTATGTTCAGTCTTTTTTCGAAGAAACACAATCAAATATTAGAAATTTAACTTGTTTGTTTAAACAAAAAAATTGGAGGCATCCTGTTGAGTGGAGAATGTTTTCTGATAAGTAAGAACGAAATGAGTTTTGGGGTTGAGGTCGTTCCAGGGACATTTGTATGTGAGAGATTTTCACCCACAATAATTTACACATCGCGACGATTAGAAAGACGCATCGTTCTTTTTCAACACATGACGTCGAGTTTAACGCGAGGATTCTGCTTAACTGTTCCAAATCCTTCTGATATCATGAATGTACTTCAAAAATCACCTTAAACTATACCCAATTTCTACAATTTAGCGGCAGAATTTCGTGGATGAAAAAATGTGCACCAGGTTTTTAAGGATCGTTGGAAATGTCTAATTCGAATTTCATCAGAAGTCGAAATTATTATATTGATAATAGTTAATTTCCCAATAGATCCAGCACGAAATTTTTACATTAGTATACTTTTGTCTAAATGGTAAGATTTGTTAAAACAAGCACTGCGTTTTGAACATGATCCTGCTTTGTTTTGAACAGCACTCTCAGCATGTATAAAGAACTATCCTATCTCTCCTTAATTTCATACCTTTCCTTGCTGCGATGATCAAAATATGATTGATTCCTTATCGCTAGACCAGTGCGTCGTTATGGGGGTTTTATATTAAATTTACGCTTCTCCCGAGTTCGCAGTAAAGAGACAGTTGTGTAATGGTGTAGCAAAAATACTTCCTTTGCGCCGATCAAAATAAGATCAAGGTTATCTTACGCCACCAATTAAAATGAGAGCAATAATTATATTCATGTTGCGTCAGAGGCATTTTTTAGGAAGGCAAAGTAGCAACAATGGAAACAAGTTTGCAATCATGCGCTGCGGAAACTATTTTCTTTGACTCACTTTCTCAACTGACATCATTTATGTACCATATTTTTTCATGGTTCTTTAAGAACTCAAGATTAATGTTTCGCCACGCAATTTTTAAACTTATATCTGAAACGTCCACTAGGAAAAACACTCAAACCTTAGTTCGCATTCATTACTTGTAGATCTAAATTTTTACTCTCTAATTTAATTGCCTTTTTTTATTTGTTTGCTTTTTTTATACCAGCTATGTTTGAGACCGCGAATAATCATTAATTTTTTTTCGTTAAAGTTTTAGTACAAACAATTACTACTAACCGGTACTATTTACAACACGAGTATAAGAGAGCGTTTAAGTTATTAATCATACAAAACAGTACAAATGCAACACCAACACTTTTAATATAGGAAAATCGATATGTTTTTACAACACATTTTAAAACAGTCATAATGACTTCATTTCTTTTTTGATTGCCGATATTAATTTGACAGTATGCACCCATTAGTTAGACCCAGAACCTCACAAAGGAAAATCTTTGATCAGCGAGTTCCATGACCTTTTTTCATGCGTGGAAAATTTGTCCCTTTTTCGTCATTGTTATTAGCAGTAAAATTGCGGGAAGTATCTGTCACTAATGAATCTCCTTAAGGTTAATTTTTTATGCCTTTTCACTTTTCGGTAAGTTGGTTCTGCGGCTAAATAAACTTTCGCGAAAGCATGTTGTGATAGAGGTGAATTTGTTTGCCAGGGTGTTCTTTTGAAGGGGAACACCAAACTTATGCGAAGTTGTTCACTATCTCAAGTGCAGTAATTCAATACAATATTTTTCCTGATAACACACTTTTTCTTCACCGGCTTCCGTTATTTTAAGCAAGAAATTTGTACTTCAAAAAGCAGTTAAAAGCCTTGCTTAAAGTCACCTTTGTGGGGGGAACATTATGGAAATAACAAAAGCAATCGGGACATTTTTCCGGTGAGAAAAATGATAGTGGTATGGCTTGATGAAGGGGATATATCATAGGAAGCTTCGGAAAAGCTTTCTAGATCTATTTTTAAAATGACATAAGGGAATCAGGGTTGCAATTCTATCTCAAACTGTCAAAACTTTTCCCCCAGAGATATCACCCTGGGAATCCGTGAAAGGTTTCATATGAACCGACTGCTACCACAAGTTTGCGGGATAGCAGCTTCGCTTCCGCAAAATGCAACAAAATCAACGATCGGAAACATAAAAAGGCCTTTTTAAGGGGGACATCTAGAAATCGCTGAGTTTGTTCCATGCCATACAGTACGCGTTTGCTCTGTTACTTTGCGAAGCGCACGACGTCTGTTTCTTTTTTCTTTTCAATAGACACTTGGAGACACTTAGTCCAGAGCGAACCCCTTGTGTCTCATATATTTCATGCTCAGATGGCTGGTAAACGACTCTGTTACTCTAACTTATAATGAAATTTACAACGCTCTGGGACACGTGAAGATTCCTTCAATGCGTATTAAAATTAAATGACCCTATCGGCAATCAGAAAGTTGTCAAGGTTTAAGGGTGCGATGTCATGAAATTTCGGCTGACGATGATTTTGTTCGACTGGAGCCCTCTTGTTGTTGTGCAAATGTTGCAAATGCCTGAAAACAACCCATTTGAGAAAAGACTTTTTCAAAGTTGTTGACTGACAAACTAATGGGCTGAGTGAATGAGTGTCTTAATGGCTGACTGATTGATCAATGTTTTGATTGATTATTGATTCAAATGCGTTTATCGCTCGTTGATGACCAGCTAATTAGCGTTAATCGATAATCTTTTTCATCAAACAACAGCTTTTTACAATTTCTTAGCTCTGATCTCTCAGATTTTAGCTCATACTCCTGTTAAACTCTCGATTCGTTATCGATTTGTGTGAACAAAACAAGCCCTCTAAACGTCTTGGCACTATTCCATGACCTAGATTCTCAAGCGCAAGACCTGAAAGCGATCCCAGCCTAGACACAGACGAGAACATTTGCGGTGGTCTGAGAGCTTCTGTTTTTTAAAAAAAACCAGAACGAACGCCTATGATTTATTTTCCATGCAACACATTACAAAAGTGCTGTGGAACACACGAAAGAGTTTTTGAAGGTGCTCTCTGATTTAAGATGACCATGTTAGCAAAGATAACACTATATACAGTGATTTTGGTTCACCTAGTTTTAATCTGTCGTGGTGGGGATCAGTCCGACTTCGAGCACGTAGGTAGGTGATCTATATCACGTAAATTTTTACGAAGCTAGAATTACCTCTGCGTCTTCATATTAAGTTCAGACGTCGAATATTGCAGACTGATGAACTTCATTACGACAAACCGTTGAAAAATTGCCAGCACATGACCGAATGCTGCGTTGAACATGTAAGAGACCAATCTCACCATGGCGGTGATGGCGAAAAAATAAGCGTAACTATGGGCTTGCACGTGTACCAGATAACATGGCACATTCAAGAGAACACAATTCACACAAGAGGATATATTTAATCGCTGTCTTCTTCATACAAACCATATGAAATCACAACCTTCTGTGCATTTAACGGGAAGGTAAGTCCAAAGGGCAAATTTTCAATCGGAACTGTTTTGACGCCGCCAGACGCAGTGAATCATCCACCAAGTTCGTCGAGACAACTATGAGTTCGTTATTTTAGAACATTTGCTCGAAACAGAGGCAAAAATTTATTTGCAAAAACTTATTTTTTTAATAAATGAAGATGATAAGTATCCGTGCGCAGAGCGCTTCTAGGAAAACACTTAACCCCATAAATTCTTGAAATGACTGACGAAGAGGGGAAAATTTTTGGCTTGTTCTTTGAATTAAGATGCGTGCTCTGCGCTATGTCACGAGCACACTCAACACTGATGATTTTAAAAGCAAATATCCTGTTTTCTGAACGATGCCCAGAATGTAATTTCTCGTCTCTATATCAATACATTTTCAAAAAAAAAAAGTTGATGAGACGAACATGTAAACATGAAAATGTTTTCCTGATATAAAACTGAATTCTCTCTGAATTTTCCTGTAACCTTTATTTATCTCCCATCCTCCCCATTTGAATGTTGCCTGGTTTTACGAAATGATCACAAATTTCTGGTAACATTGTTCAAGGGGAAAGGGAGGACTTGCAAGCAACCTATTATAATATTTATATTATAATAGTTGTGTATAGGTTGTATAATATATCATGAGATAATATTTATTATGTCGAGTGAATGTTTTTCGCCCACCCAGGAGGGGAGGTGTGCCAACTACTTTTGTCACTCATTGGCTCACGGCAGCCTCCTGCGCAGCTATTCTTAGAATTGTCACGCAACGCTTCTCCTCAGCGAACGTTGACTAAGGAGCGTTGCGTGACGAATTTGAGAACGGCTGCGAAGGAGACTAGGGTCAAGGGTACTTCTAATGAAAAAAGACCTAAACCTATTTCTTCCTTGAAAACAATTTTCAATGACCATTATTTTTATCTAGCTTGAAGTATATTTTATCTTTGATAATATGGTATAAGAATAAAGGATTGATGTGCAACATCATTACATTGACTGTTCCCGTTTTTATTTTTTTTCCTTCAATATTTCTCACAAAACAAAATAAACTTTTCACAGAATTAGAGAACAATTGTATTTATCACCTGGGGTCAATGAGGTGATCAAGTTAAATTTTAATTATTCGGATGTTAACGAAGTTACGTTGACTTGTCACAATTTATTTATTTTCATTTCATTAGTCACCGAGGAATACTGGAACGAAGTTGAAGAACAAGACAATCAAGGCAACGAAGGTAAACCAAAGGTAGAATAAATCAAGAAATATTATCGCCTTGAGGTTTTGAATTGTAACATTTTAGGTCTCAAGGGAATTCCTAGCTTAATCTTTTGCAAATTATGCGAACATATGCATGTGAAAAAGGGGAAATTTGAAAGAAATTGTTCTCTAGAGTATTATCACGTGAAATAAAAGCGGTAAAAAAAGTGATGTATGGATTTCCGGAATAGACGAGTCTCAAAAATGTTCCAGTATATCTAAAATCAAAGGGTACGTTTTGTCTAATAGTGTTACTAAGGTAAAGAATTTTGACTAAAGCTGGCAGCTGCTTAACGAATTATTTTTCTCGAGTCTTCTCCGCTGATTACTTGATGTACTGCAATTTTGTTAAAATATGTTTTTGTTGGCAGAAACAATCTGTTGGTTCAACGATAGAATCCTAAGAGTTGGCGAAAAACTGAGCAACAATTGTGTTTGCAGGAAGTCTGGTTATATTGTGTGCCCGTAGCGTTTAAAGGTACATACGAAAAACTTTACACAATTGAAATGTGACCTGACCAGTTATATGTGCTCTTGCTTGGTGTAGAAGACACAGTTGACGTTGAACAATAGAGAAAAAAAAGGAAAAAGAGCGAGGAAAACAATGAAACCACTAGCCTAGGTTAATGAAGCGTTGATGTCTCTTCGACACTAAGAAGGAGTGACAGAAAATTTAGCTTCCTTTTAGCGGGAGATGGGAAAGCCTACCTGAAATTGTAATTATATCTAATGAACGTTGTCTAAAAAGCCATTCTATTCTATGGACGTGTAGCATGTGTCTTAACTGCACAAATATCGGAAGGGTAATCAGATTATTTTTGATAACATTTTGGAATACACACGACGAATCTTGGTTTAAGAAAGGATCAATTATTTTCGCCAAAGCCGTGCTTTACGCAATTTAAGATCCATTATACTTTTATGTTACACTTCACTGAAGTGAACTTAACAGGCTTATCTAACAACGTACTTTGATTTTATATTCATGCATTGTTTTTCATCTTAATTCCACAGCAACGGCTGGCGTTCAGTCAGGATAAACCTTCGAAAAATGAAACGAGGAAGAAATAAACTCTATTGTAGTTAGCTTTAAAGACGCGAATTACTTAAAACATGGAAGACGATGGTGCGACTAGAAATTCAGCCTGACTTGACGAGTTTTCTTTCAAACTGACATTTGAAGGCTACCTAATTTCATTTTTGGAAGTAATAAACACTATTAAAAAAAAAAACAACAACAACAACAACATTGTCGCTTGGCAGGAGCTTAGACGAATCACAAGATTCTTTCTGCATGCCGTGATTTTTTTCGTAAATCTAAACTTTTTTTATACTGTGGCGAATAAAGGAATCGTATATTATATTCCGGAGTCGTATGTTGTATATTTATTTTGATAATTTAAAACCACTGTTTATCTGATTTATCGATTTAATTGTTAATTTTGCCTTCGGTCGTTTCATCTTTGGTCTCAGATTTACATTTTCTAATATCAAAACTTTAAAATATTTCCTTAGTTATGAGAGATACCGCTGAATAGGTTTTACCGAGTTGTCACCCACTGGATATTATACATTTAGCTAAAGTTATAGTTGGCGAGTTTCGATCCGCTGAATTTCTCAGTCTGCTTGATATTCTACTAGTTTTTGTAAATCATTTTGTGTCGTAGCGACTTCTCATCAAAATTTACAAATCTTTTGGCTCAAGCGATCTTTTTTTTATTTTCTTTACTACAAAAAATCTTGAAGACAATTTTTGTTTAGTTTTTTTTGTCACTTCAGGCCACCAATAGGGTAGTGCAGGAGGCTTTGGTCCTCTGACGTCATTGACTATGGAGCATACACACGAGCGACTCTTTTTCTTTTGTGATCTAACCAAATCATTCCCACAATGCAAATCACAGCCAGTACAAGTAAAGGAAGGACTGCTGGTATGGTGGCATCTGAAATAAACCAAAGGATTTTCAATAAAAGGAATTTTCTTACGCATTGTTAAATCTGGGTGAATAAGTTTACCGAGTAAAAACCATGCACCTTCAAAATTGTTAGCAAAAAGGAAAATAAATGATGTCAAAATTAGTAAAGGCAATCATAAAAGTAAAGATGAAGATGATAATTATGATTAGGATCAGTATTATTATCATTATATTTATTATCTAATCATTTTTATTTGAGTTTTCACCGAGGTCCTGATTTCAAAAAGGTTGAAAAAGAAGGCTAGAGAGAAGTAGAAGTTTAAGATGATGAAGATTAACAGAAAACAATGTTAAGACCATTAAAACGTGGATTAAACAAAAGTTTCCAACGGGAAAACTGACTTTTAGAATTATTTCTGAAGTCAAGATGCTATCTGAGCTCCTCAACCTTCAACACACTAACATCAGCATTCATGTTCTCTATATGCTTTCTTCACAGTACCTATGACACTGGCAAGAAGAACTTATCGACAGTCAGGAGATTCTTTTGCAAAATGGTGATCTTTCTCTCTAATCCCATGACCTCTACATTTGATTCAAGGAATATACTGGAAGGATAAATCAAAAGCCAGGCATTTTTGGGGCTAAAGGTTTTAGATTGGTTTTTATCTTGTTGCAGTCCTCACTGTCAACTTAAGTTCCAAAATCACTTCGCATATTTATATTTGGCGTTTATTAAAAAGCTGAAGAAAACAGTCCGTTGCTATTTTACCTTTTACAATCTTTTGATTGGCTTTCGTTTCTTCTAAGTCATCATCAGTTGTAAGAGGGCCCTGTACCAAAGAGTACAACTTATCCTCATTGTTAGCGTCTCGCTTTTCCCTCGATCCTTTCAAACATCCTTGAGAACATCTGGAATTCAGGTCATCTGAATCACAAATCCTCATTTGGCAATGAAGAAACACAAATGGATGATCAGCAATGAACTTGAATCCTTCGATGGAGAATCTGGATTCTTCAGTTTTAGGAGTTGGAACGAATTTGGTCGTTTTATCGACACAGCATCTACAAAACACCACATGGAAACATTTCAATGAGAAATATTAATCCGTCTCTGATTTGCAAAGGCCTGATATCCAACAAAAATTTTTACTTTTTCTCTTTGGAGATTCTGAGAAGTCGTTGTATACTAAACTTTGTTCAAGGTGTAATTTCAGATCTCATAAAAATCTGTCTGTTTGAAAGGGTGGATTAAATTATTGGAAAAAATAGTTTCGTGTGTGCAGCTTCTTTAATAAGTTAAGTTGTGACTCATCTTACTAGCTGCGAGTATCGTACAAACTCAAACCAGCCTGAATCTATACGACTAGTCACAGCGGCCAAGATTTCCACAGATATATTGTCATGAAGCAAATTGTCTCCAACTTTTTTTCAGTGGCATTAGCTCGTCGCATTGTTTATCCCTTTTAATGACACATGGAACGATAGTATACATCTCACCCGTTCTTGACGAGATAATATTTAGCCGCAAGGTAAGTATTTTTGGAGGAAGTAGCAAAACAATTTTCCACTAAAACCGACAAATTTTTGTCCTCGGATTTTACGGACGCTCGAAAACACAGATCCTGTTTTTGTTTGATTTGCACTGGATAGTCCTCTTCTCTGTATGGTAGGGTGAACCTGGTTAAAAAAAAAAAGAAGAATGTTTAGAGCAACAGAAAATGCGAAAGCAAGCAAATATTTTTTCTTCATTGTTCTTCGATGGAACATCAGCACTTACTACTTTTTGCGCCCTCTTAAGGAAATTTCAACTGACGCTGAAATGTGGAACAATGGAAGTTTGTTGCTCCAGGTTTTAGTGAATTATTTCGAACCCGAGTATGATAGAGTAGAGAGCTCAAAATGCTTCAAGACAAACTCCCTATTTGGTCTCCCACGATGCATTGTTACCTAAGTACACACTTCATGCAAGCTTACTTTTTATCTGCAAACATGTCTAGATTTAGTGAAAAGTTTCCTTTCCCATCTTCGTCGACAACCAGTTTCCTGATGTCAGGTTTGTATCCAACAGATATTGCATCACCGCTGGATTTGAAATAGCAACTGAAAGGAATCTCAATCTCGCGAACTCTGGTTACCATAGCGTCACCTTCCACTGGTATTTCCAAAACTGTGTTACTATAGACAACGGCGCCCTTTCTGAACGTGGCAGTCGTGCCACAATCGGTGAAAGCTGTCGTAAGGGTGTAATGGGTATTTGTTTCCGTAGCAACGCAGTTGAGATCTCGTAGAGTGACATGCTCACGGCTTAACCCAAGAAGGAGGGTTTTGGGTAGTGTGATTGACATGTAGTTTTTAAAACACTTGACGTCAACATCATCGGCTATGGAAAAAAAAAAGGAGACAGAGCATTCTTTGCAGCCCTTTTTAGGCGAGCTGAGAGCTTTCGGCAATCTCAAAACTTTTATGGCACGGCTAAAAAATTAGCTTTTACCCTGTGACCTATGGTATTTTAACATAGATTTTTACATGCAAATATATATTTATTTTTTTATCCAGTATAAATTTCTTAACTATTTAGGGAAGATGTGATTTTTTTTATCCATTTCATTGTAATATTAAAGCATATTCTACGCATCGTAATGTAAAGTGCATTACATCATGATCATATACCCATGTATTTTGCGTTATATAAATAATAAAGTTGTATGTTCTATATTATTAAAATGAATCTCAATTTTTCCCTAAAATTAATTCATAATGAACAACCTGCGGAGGTGATACCAATTTTCTTACCTACACAAGTTCGACGATCGGGTGCTAAATTCAGTTCAGGATCTGGGCAAGAGCATGTAAAGCTACCATCAGTGTTAGTGCACCTGTGAGAGCATCCGCCATTTTGTTTTGCGCATTCATTGATATCTGCAGAGCCAAAAGAACGTTAATCATGCGACTACGACAAAGTAGTTCAAATGAATGGTGAACAGAAAATCTAATTTTCCCCTAGTTTGAGAGTGATGAAATACATATTCAGTTTGAAGCAAAACAAAAGCATAACTAACCAATATGGCAGTTGCGTCCAGTGTGCCCACGGGCGCAGCTACAGCGGTAACTGCCAGGGATGTTATCACACTTGGCATTATTTTTACAGGGCTTTTCAGTGACGCATTCATCGATATCTACGAAGACAAAGTCTCTAAGGTGTAAGCACATGCACAACGTTTCAGTTCAGTAAATAGGAGTGGCTTTGTTACAAAAATTGGACTTTTAGGGCCTGTTCACAATTTCTGCCTGTAAAACCGGGTTGACAATTGCAATGCTAACGACCGCGAATATTACGACAGACGGCTTCGTTTTTGCGGGGAGATTCAAGGCACCTATTCACATCTAAAAAAATAAGATAAAAAAGAGTACATACTTGTTTAAAAAAACCTCTACAAACTCGTTCCTGATTAGCAAAACACTGCAATGCGTCTGCAGAATTGCGAAGACATTCCAAACAGTGTTTCAGAAATTTTGAAAATATTTACCTTTCTCGCAGTTTCTGCCTGCATAACCTGTTTTACAACTGCACTGGTAACTCCCCAGAAGATTTTGACAACCAGCGCCGTTTTTGCAACGAGATCCAGCACACTCGTCGATATCTCCAAATACAAAATAACAGAAGCACTTTTAAGCCCGCAAAGGGAAGTTAGTTAGTCTTAAAGAGTTTGTTCCTATTAACAAGATTTTCTAAGAATAAAAATTTGCATCTGAAGGTATTTTTTCATTATTATGTTTGATAATTTCTAGATATTATTAAAAGTAGTAGTAGGCCCTCTTTCCTACTGCTGAGGCTGCAAAGTAAGTATTATTTGTGTAACAAGAAATCTAAAAAAAATGGAGCAAATAGTTCGTGAACAATAAAGAGCCATTTTTGTGATGTTCACCTTTTCCGCAGTCTTTGCCTGTAAATCCGGGTTTACAGTTACATTTGTGACTTCCGGGAATGTTTTGACAAGTTGCACCGTTTTTACATGGAGATCCAACACATTCATCGATATCTAAAGACGAAATCACAACTGAGTAACAATGCAAACAATGATAATGATAATAATACTAATTATAATAGTAATAATAATAATGAATAAGTGACATCGGGAATAATAATTCCGTTGGTATATAATTATAATGATATTTATTTCCTAATAATGACTTGATGAGGGAACTTAACTTGCCAAAACTGTTTCCACCGGGGCCATCAGTCTAGACCTTGGTTGTTAAAAGTAACAATTGTAATAGTATGAAAATGTGATGTGGTATTCAGTAAAGAGTATATCGGGAAATGCACGTAAATGAAGAATGATAATGGTACTCAATTAAATATTCTTAAACAGGAATGCAAAATGCAACGAAGTGCTTCTCAGGAAAGGCGATATCTTGGTAATGAAATGGTTAAAAAATTGAAATTAAGGCAAGATGAAAGTAACTGTTCCTAATGAAATTTTTAAGCCTAAGAAAGCTCACCAGTTTGACAGTTTCGTCCAGTATATCCGGATTTACACTTGCATCGGTAACTTCCAGGAAGATTTTGACAACTAGCACCGTTCTTACAAGGGGATTTTGCACACTCATTGATGTCTAAATAACAAATTAAAAGTCAAAAGAACTACGTTTACAAATTAAATACGTTTACAAATTCAAAATTAATCAAATAAAATCCCCTTAGAGATACTGCGAAACGTTCATAGATAGTTAGATTGTAGAAAGGTGTTGGAATTGAAAAGAGAGCGAGTTAGCTAACCTGCGTCGCAGTTCTTCCCTGTAAAACCTGCTTTACAACTGCACAAGTAACTCCCGGGAATATTTGAACATTTAGCGCCGTTTTTACAAGGAGATCCAGCACATTCGTCAACATCTAAAGAAAAAAGTACAAATTAATATAACTTTTCTTGCATAAAGTAAAAAGTACCTCTTCCTATACATCATATTATATATAATTATTTTTTTAAAAACGATCCAGGACACTCACCAACCACGTTTTCAAATGTAAAATTAATGAAATTAAATCCTTCTGGAGATACCGATAAAAGTTTGTGATTCTAATTTGCAAAAAGTTCATAATTCTAAATGGATAGATAGATTGTAGAAAGGTGTTGGAATTAAAAAGAGAGTGGGCTAGCTGACCTGAGTTGCAGTTTCTTCCTGTAAAACCTGCATTACATCTGCACAGGTAACTCCCGGGAATATTTTGACATGTAGCGCCGTTTTTACAAGGAGATCCAGCACATTCGTTAATATCTAAATAAAAAAGTATAAATTCAAGGCGGTATTTTGGTACTGAAATGATTTTAAAAATTTCAAATGAAGGCAAAATGGAAGTTCCTGTTCCTTATAAAACTTTTAAGCGCAACCAAACTCACCAGTTTGACAGTTTCGTCCAGTATATCCGAATTTACACTTGCACTGGTAACTTCCAGGAAGATTTTGACACAAGGCATCGTTTTGACACGGAGATGCAGCACACTCATCTATATCTGTATATATAGAATAAGAAACTAAGTACACATGATTATCATTTTAGAACCGTCCAATCAATACAAGATTACGGAAGAACAATTTTTAATGGCGCTCTTTTAGAATATGGTCCAGCGAGAGAGGTAAATCTCATCTATGTCGCCAAAAGATGATATTTAATCTTCCAAGGCGGCCTACCTGTCTCACAGTTCCTGTCTGTATAGCCAGGTTTACACGCGCACTGGTAGCTTCCAGCTATATTTTGACAAGTAGCACCGTTCTTACAAGGAGACTTAGCACACTCATTGATATCTAGATAACAAAGTAGGCGTCAATATAACTTAAACCGCAATGATATATAAAACTACCATTTCCTTCCGTTTGTATTCTCCAATAAATAAGACTATCAGAAATAAAAACTAATGTAAAACTAAAATATTATGATCTTAATTTGAATGTAACGAGAAAGACGCATCGTCGAAAAATTGAAAAGTAACTTTATGTTCAGACTTCACCATCCTTTTTGTCGTTTTTCAAAACAATCCAGGACACTTATTAATTACGTTTCCAAATCCTTCCAGTGATATTGCAAATAGTTCATAATTCTAAATGGAAAGATAGACTGTAGAAAGGTATTGGAATTATAGTGCCGATGACACAAATTTTTTTTTGGCTTAAATATTTAGCTTATCACATGTACAATCCAATTCCGGTAGAAGAAAAATTTCAAAAAGCCCAAAACACGGTTTTTTTTGGGTCCTAAAGAGCTCCTATTTTGTCTTAAAAATGTCCCATGGACTGGTAACGAATTAGCGGGTGATGACGTAGAAAACTATAAAAACTCTCAGTTGACAATTACAAATCTCTCACATCTCTTGTAGTTTTGTATCAATCAGCGTTGAAATACTCTTGATCATCATCCTCATCATCATCCATTTCGCTCAATGGTTAAATTTCGTATGTATCGACTTTCACACAGCACTTGGATTCGTCACCGTCTAATTCAATAAAACTTGTGTTTCTTCGTTTATTTCGTTGCAGTGCTGTTATCACAATGGCATCGCTACAGTGGCTACTTTTAGTCTCAGAAGAGCAGGGAGAATTGATGGCTCGTGAGATGGATTTTCGGAAACCCAGGTTAAGAGAAAACACGGCCGCTTCGAGCTTGTGTTTTTTTTTTGTCAGTATCCGCCAGAGGTTTCGCATTGTTCATGCAACAGGGAGTCGGTCAGCCCAGGAAATGAGTTGAACTTTATTACAAATGATGTGTTTGTTATTAAAATACGATGGAAAATACAATTGGTTCGATTTTCATACGATAAGAAAAGCGCAAATGTAGTCACGTGGAAAGACAAGGACTATAGGTACATCTCTAGCGCGTGAAATAAAAAACAATAAGGAGCTCACTATTCTTCGCTTGCCCGCCGAAAAGAAAGAATGTTGAACAATTATGGTTGGTCTGGGAACAGGCCCCTTAATCTGCATTCTTTTAAGCTGAGTTCATTGTTTATCTTTCCATGATTTGACTAATGGTATGCGTTTGTAACAGCCATCTTCGAAGCCGGTGCGGAGAATAAGGCCGACGACACTGAAGAGTAAAATCTCCTCGATGACAACGATCGAAACGCATACAATTTGGCCATACAACTTCATCCTTTGGAAATTAGTGTATAGAAGTACTCGGTATATGTGTATTATTCTGGTACCTAACATCATTTGGCGCTCCGGTCAGGCAATACGATCTTCCTCTCCTTTGGATTTCTCCTCTCACCACTTTAGTTTCCGAGGTGTGTGTTTACAGTTTTCTACGTGACAGCTATGTTACATTAGCGTATTGGCCGCTTGCTTTATCGGGACACTTTTTGGCCGCCAAATCCTACTTTCAATGCACAAAAAAATGGACAAGTAGAACTCGCCAGGCGCGAAGGTCGATTATTTCTTATTTTAAATACCGCTGTCGACCAGAAAATACAAAAAAAATTTCCTTCATAGGAACTTTAAAAAGAGAGTGAGTTAGCTGACCTGTGTCGCAGTTCTTTCCTGTAAAACCTGCTTTACAACGACAAAAATATTTCCCGGGAATATTTTGACATGTAGCGTAACAATAAATAACCATTTTAGTGAAGTTCACCTTTTCCGCAGTCTCTGCCTGTAAATCCGGGTTTACAGTTACATTTGTGACTTCCGGGAATATTTTGACAAGTGGCACCGTTTTTGCATGGAGATCCAACACATTCATCGATATCTAAAGACAAATCACAAGTAACAACGTCAGTAATGATAACAATAATAATACTGATAATGATAATAATAATAATGATGATAACAACAATGATCATTAAGTGATTGCGGGAATAATAATTCCCGCAATCACTTAATGATCATAATAATAATAAAGTAACAACGTCAGTAATGATAACAATAATAATAATGATAATGATAATAATAATGATGATAACAACAATGATCATTAAGTGATTGCGGGAATAATAATTCTGTTGGTATATAATTATAATGATATTTATTTTCTAATAATGATTTTTAATAAATTTTAATAGTATGTAAATGTGATATGGTATTCAGTAAAGAGTACATCGCAAAATATACGTAAATAAACAATGATAATGGTACTCCGTCGAGGTGCTTCTCAGGAAAAGCGATATCTTGGTAATGAAATGATTCAAAAAACTTCAAATGAAGGCAAGATGAAAGTTATTGTTCCTAATGAGACTTTTAAGCCTGACAAAGCTCACCACTTTCGCAGTTTCGTCCAATGTATCCGGATTTACACTTGCATCGGTAACTTCCAGGAAGATTTTGACACAAGGCATCGTTTCGACACGGAGATTCAGCGCACTCATCTATATCTGTATATGGAATAAGAAACCACATGTCTAATTTTAAATAAGGACAATGGAGGAGTTTCCAGTTGCAGAGATTTTAGAGCAACTATTCAAGACTTTTTTCCGATATTTCTACAAGGAACACACAGTGCCTTATCGAAGTTCACGATTGTTATTTTAGAACTGTCCGTCCAAGATGACAGAAGTACAACTTTTAATGGCGCTTTTTTAGAATATGGTTCAGTGAGAGAAAAGATGATATTTAATCTTTCGGGGCACCTTACCTGTCTCACAGTTCCTGTCTAAGTAGCCAGGTTTACACGCGCATTGGTAGCTTCCAGCAATATTTTGACAAGTAGCACCGTTCTTACAAGGGGACTTAGCACATTCATTGATATCTAGATAACAGATTTAAAGTCAATATTACTTAAACCGCAATGATATTTAGAACTATCATTTCCTTTCGCTTGCATCTTTCAATAGATAAGACTATCACATGTAAAAACTGGTGTAACATCAAAATATTGTGATCTTAATTTGAATTTAACGAGAAGGACGTAACGTCTAGAAATTGAAAAGTAACTTTATGTTTGGACTTTATCATCCTTTTTTTTCAAAACAATTCAGGACACTTATTAAATACGTTAACAAATTGATGAAATTAACTCCTCCAGAAATATTACAAAAAATCGTTTAATTCTAAATAGATAGATAGATTGTAGAAAGATAGTGGAATTAGAAAGAGAGCGAACTAGCTGACCTGTGTCGCAGTTCCTTCCTGTAAAACCTGCTTTACAACTACACAGGTAACTCCCGGGAATATTTTGACACGTAGCGCCGTTTTTGCAAGGAGATCCAGGACACTCGTCAATATCTAAATATGAAAGTACTAATGAATATGACATTTCGTGCCTAAAGTTAGCACTACCTCTTTCTGTAGATTATAATTATATATTTGTTTGTTTTTGCGATATAATTAAATATAGGGGAGTCACAAATATGCCTTTGAGGGGATGAAAGTTCAGTTAGTCCGAGAAAGGTTGTCTCTTGAGTCCACAAACCTCTTTGACAGTTTCTTCCCGCAAATCCTGATTTACAACTGCATCGATAACTGCCGGGAACATTTTGACATAGAGCACCGTTTTTGCAAGGAAAACCTGTGCACTCGTCCACATCTGTATATATAATTAAATATCAGTTCTCTATTTAATTAACAAATAGATTGAAACAACAACAACAACAAAAACAAGGTTCAGCTATAAAGTGTGTCACTAATGTTATTACCACATTGTGACGTTTTTGTCATTTGTTACTGTACATACCTCCGGACACCGAATCTAGTTGTTTTATAAAGTAGAGAAGCAGAAAATTGTTTATGATGATGCTCATACATGATAAAGAAATGACTAAAAATATTCAAATGAAGGCAAGATGGAAGTTTGTGTACCTAATGAAATTTTTCAGCCTAACAAAGCTCACCAGTTTGACAGTTTCGTCCAGTATATCCAGGTTTACACTTGCATCGGTAACTTCCAGGAATATTTTGACAAGTAGCACCGTTCTTACAGGGGGATCTTGCACACTCATTGATGTCTAAATAACAAATTAAAAGTCAAAAGAACTTTAACCGCGCTAGTATTGTTAAAAGTTGATAGTATGAAAATGTGATGTGGTATTCAGTAAGAGTATATCGGGAAATCCATGTAAATGAAGAATGATAATGGTACTCAATTAAATATTCTTAAACAGTATTTAGGTGAACGAACTGCAAAATGCAACGAAGTGCTTCTCAGGAAAGGCGATATCTTGGTAATGAAGTGATTGAAACAATTGAAATGAAGGCAAGATGAAAGTTACTGGTCCTAATGAAATTTTTAAGCCTAAGAAAGCTCACCAGTTTGACATTTTTGTCCAGTATATCCGGATTTACACTTGCATCGGTAACTTCCAGGAATATTTTGACAACTAGCACCGTTCTTACAAGGGGATTTTGCACACTCATTGATGTCTAAATAACAAATTAAAAGTCAAAAGAACTTTAACTGCGGTAATATTTAAAACCACCATTTCCTTTCGCTTATTAAATACGTTTCCAAATGCAAAATTAATGAAATAAAATCCCCTCAGAGATATTGCGGAAAGTTCACAGATAGATTGTAGAAAGGTGTTGGAATTGAAAAGAGAGCGAGCTAGCTGACCTGTGTCGCAGTTCTTTCCTGTAAAACCTGCTTTACAACTGCAAAGGTAACTCCCGGGAATATTAGAACATTTAGCGCCGTTTTTACAGGGAGTTCCAGCACATTCGTCAACATCTAAAGAAAGTATAAATTAATATAACTTTTCTTGCATAAAGTAAAAAGTGCCTCTTCCTCATTATAAATAGTTATTTTTTTAAAAACAATCCAGAACACGCATCAATCACGTTTTCAAATGCAAAATTAATGAAATTGAATCCTTCTGAAGATACTGTAAAAGTTTGTAATTCTAAATTGCAAAAAGTTCATAATTCTAAATGGATAGATAAATTGTAAATTGCAGTTTCTTCCTGTAAAACCTGCTTTACATCTGCACAGGTAACTCCCGAGAATATTTTGACATGTAGCGCCGTTTTTACAAGGAGATCCAGCACATTCGTTAATATCTAAATAAAAAAGTACAAATGCAAGGCGGTATTTTGGTACTGAAATGATTTTAAAAAATTTAAATGAAGGCAAGATGAAAGTTCGTGTTCCTAATAAAACTTTTAAGCGCAAGAAAACTCACCAGTTTGACAGTTTCGTCCAGTATATCCGAACTTACACTTGCATTGGTAACTTCCAGGAAGATTTTGACACAAGGCATCGTTTTGACACGGAGATGCAGCACACTCGTCTATATCTGTATATAGAATAAGAAACCAAGTTGATTATCATTTTAGAACCGTCCACTCAATACAAGATGACGGAAGAACAATATTTAATGGCGCTCTTTTAGAATATGGTCCAGTGAGAGAAGTAAATCTCATCCATGTTGCCAAAAGATGATATTTAATCTTCCAGGGCGGCCTACCTGTCTCACAGTTCCTGTCTGTATAGCCAGGTTTACATGCGCACTGGTAGCTTCCAGCTATATTTTGACAAGTAGCACCGTTCTTACAAGGGGACTTAGCACACTCATTGATATCTAGATAACAAAGTAGGCGTCAATATAACTTAAACCGCAATGATATTTAAAACTACCATTTTTTTCCGTTTGCATTCTCCAATGGATAAGACTATCAGAAATAAAAACTAATGTAAAACTAAAATATTATGATCTTAATTTGAATGTAACGAGAAAGACGTATCGTCGAAAAATTGAAAAGTAACTTTATGTTTAGACTTTGTCATCCTTTTTGTCGTTTTTCAAAACAATCCAGGACACTTATTAATTACGTTTCCAAATCCTTCCAGTGATATTGCAAATAGTTCATAATTCTAAATGGAAAGATAGACTGTAGAAAGGTATTGGAATTATAGTGCCGATGACACAAATTTTTTTTGGCTTAAATATTTAGCTTATCACATGTACAATCCAATTCCGGTAGAAGAGAAATTTCAACAAGCCCAAAACACGGTTTTTTTTTGGGTCCTAAAGAGCTCCTATTTTGTCTTAAAAATGTCCCATGGACTGGTAACGAATTAGCGGGTGATGACGTAGAAAACTATAAAAACTCTCAGTTGACAATTACAAATCTCTCACATCTCTTGTAGTTTTGTATCAATCAGCGTTGAAATACTCTTGATCATCATCCTCATCATCATCCATTTCGCTCAATGGTTAAATTTCGTATGTATCGACTTTCACACAGCACTTGGATTCGTCACCGTCTAATTCAATAAAACTTGTGTTTCTTCGTTTATTTCGTTGCAGTGCTGTTATCACAATGGCATCGCTACAGTGGCTACTTTTAGTCTCAGAAGAGCAGGGAGAATTGATGGCTCGTGAGATGGATTTTCGGAAACCCAGGTTAAGAGAAAACACGGCCGCTTCGAGCTTGTGTTTTTTTTTGTCAGTATCCGCCAGAGGTTTCGCACTGTTCATGCAACAGGGAGTCGGTCAGCCCAGGAAATGAGTTGAACTTTATTACAAATGATGTGTTTGTTATCAAAATACGATGGAAAATACAATTGGTTCGATTTTCATACGATAAGAAAAGCGCAAATGAAGTCACGTGGAAAGACAAGGAATATAGGTACATCTCTAGCGCGTGAAATAAACAACAATAAGGAGCTTACTATTCTTCGCTTGCGAAATGCCCGCCGAAAAGAAAAGAATGTTGAACAATTGTGGTTGGTCTGGGAACAGGCCCCTTAATCGGCATTCTTTTAAGCTGAGTTCATTGTTTATCTTTCCATGATTTGACTAATGGTATGCGTTCGTAACAGCCATCTTCGAAGCCGGTGCGGAGAATAGGGCCGACGACACTGAAGAGTAAAATGTCCTCGATGACAACGATCGAGACGCGTACAATTTGCCCATACAACTTCATCCTTCGGAAATTAGTGTATAGAAGTACTCGGTATATGTGTATTATTCTGGTACCTAACATCATTTGGCGCTCCGGTCAGGCAATACGATCGTCCTCTCCTTTGGATTTCTCCTCTCTCCACTTTAGTTTCTGAGGTGTGTGTTTACAGTTTTCTACGTGACAGCTATGTTATATGAGCTTATTGGCCGCGCGCTTTATGGGGACACTTTTTGGCCGCCAAATCCTACTTTCAACGCACAAAAAAATGGACAAGTAGAACTCGCCAGGCGCGAAGGTCGATTATTTCTTATTTTAAATACCGCTGTCAACCAGAAAATACAAAAAAATTTTCGTGTCATAGGCACTTTAAAAAGAGAGCAGGTTAACTGACCTGTGTCGCAGTTCTTTCCTGTAAAACCTGCTTTACAACTGCACAGGTAACTCCCAGGAATATTAGAACATTTAGCGCCGTTTTCACAAGGAGATCCAGCACATTCGTCAATATCTAAAGAAAATAGTGCAAATTAATATAACTTTTCATGCGTGAAGTAAAAAGTGCCTCTTCCCATTTTTTTTGATATGATCTCTCTATATATATTTTAAAAACAATCCAGGACACTTACTTATTACGTTTCCAAATGCAAAATTAATGAAATTAACTCTCTCCAGAGATACTGATAAAAGTTTGTAATTCTAAATGAATAGATAGATTGTAGAAAGGTATTGGAATTAAAAAGAGAGCAGGCTAGCTGACCTGCGTTGCAGTTCCTTCCTGTAAAACCTGCTTTACATCTGCAGAGGTAACTCCCGTGAATATTAAGACATGTAGCACCGTTTTTACACGGAGATCCAGCACACTCGTTAATATCTAAATAAAAAAGGATAAATTAATCTAACTTTTCTTGCATAAAGTTTAAATTATCTCTTTTTATGTTGTAATTATTTATCTGTTATTTTTTTGCGGTAGAATAAAGTACAGGGAAATCACAAAGATATCTAGAAAGGGATGAAAATTGATGATCAATAATAATTGTACTCAGTTAAATATTATTAAACGGAATTTAAGGCAACGAACTGTAAAATGAAACGAAGCGCTTCTCAGGAAAGACGATATCTTAGAAAAATTCAAATGAAGGCGAGAGGAATATTACTGTTCCTGATGGAATTTCTAGGCCTAACCAGCTCACCAATTTGACAATTTCGTCCAGTATATCCGGATTTACAATTGCATCGGTAACTTCCTGGAAGATTTTGACACAAGGCATCGTTTTGACACGGAGATGCAGCACACTCGTCTATATCTGTACATAGAATAAGAAACCAAAAAAGAAACCACTAATTTTAGATAAAGACAACGTAGGACTTTCTAGTTGCAGAGATTTTAGACAACAATTCAAGTCTTCTTATCGATTTTCCTACAAGGAACACAAAGTGCTTTATCAGGGCTCACATATTTATCATTTTAGAACCGTTCAATCAATACAAGATGACGGAAACACAACTTTTAATTGCGCTTTTTTAGAATATGATCCAGTGAGAGAAATGAACCCCATCTATGGTACCAAACGATAATTTTTAATTTTACAAGGCAACTTACCTGTCTCACAGTTCCTGTCTGCATAGCCACGTTGACACGCGCATTGGTAGCTTCCAGCAGTATTTTGACAAGTTGCACCGTTCTTACAAGGGGATTTAGCACACTCATTGATATCTAGATAGCAAATTTAAAGTCAATATAACCTCAACCGCAATGATATTCAAAACCAACTTTGAAAACCAACCAACCAACCAACCAACTTCCGTTTTCATTCTCCACTGGATAAGACTATCAGAAATAAAAACTGGTCATGATCCTTGTTTGGATGCAAGGAGAAAGACATATCGTCTTGAAATCCAACAGTTACTTCACGTTAGACTTGAAGTATCCTTATTGCTTTTTTTTAAAACATACCAGAACACTTATTAAATACGGTTCCAAATGCAGAATTATTGAAATTAACTCCTTCCAGTGATATTGCAAATAGTTCAGAATTCTAAATAGAAAGATTGTAGAAAGATAGTGGAATTAGAAAGAGAGCAGGCTAGCTGACCTGTGTCGCAGTTCCTTCCTGTAAAACCTGCTTTACAACTGCACAAATAACTCTCGGGAATATTTTGACATGTAGCGTAACAATAAATAACCATTTTGGTGAAGTTCACCTTTTCCGCAGTCTCTGCCTGTAAATCCGGGTTTACAATTACATTTGTGACTTCCGGGAATATTTTGACAAGTTGCACCGTTTTTGCATGGAGATCCAACACATTCATCGATATCTAAAGACAAATCACAAGTAACAACGTCAGTAATGATAACAATAATAATAATGATAATGATAATAATAATGATCATTAAGTGATTGCGGGAATAATAATTCCGTTGGTTTATAATTATAATGATATTTATTTTCTAATAATGATTTTTAATAAGTTTTAATGGCATGTAAATGTGATATGGTATTTAGTAAAGAGTACATCGCAAAATACACGTAAATAAACAATGATAATGGTACTCCGTTGAGGTGCTTCTCAGGAGAGGCAATAACTTGGTAATGAAATGATTAAAAAAACTTCAAATGAAGGCAAGATGAAAGTTGTTGTTCCTAATGAGACTTTTAAGTCTGAAAAAACCACTTTCGCAGTTTCGTCCAATAAATCCGGATTTACACTTGCATCGGTAACTTCCAGGAAGATTTTGACACAAGGCATCGTTTTGACACGGAGATTTAGCGCACTCATCTATATCTGTATATGGAATAAGAAACCACATATCTAATTTTAAATAAGGACAATGGAGGACTTTCTAGTTGCAGAGATTTTAGAGCAACTATTCAAGACTTTTTTCCGAGGTTTATACAAGGATCATCAGTGCCTTATCGAAGTTCACGGTTGTTATTTTAGAACCGTCCGTCCAAGATGACAGAAGTACAACTTTTAATGGCGCTTTTTTAGAATGTGGTTCAGTGAGCGAAATGAACCTTATATATGTCGCAAAAAGATGATATTTAATCTTTCGGGGCATCTTACCTGTCTCACAGTTCCTGTCTATGTAGCCAGGTTTACACGAGCATTGGTAGCTTCCAGCTATATTTTGACAAGTAGCACCGTTCTTACAAGGGGACTTAGCACATTCATTGATATCTAGATAACAGATTTAAAGTCAATATTACTTAAACCCCAGTGATATTTAGAACTACCATTTCCTTTCGTTTGCATCTTTCAATAGATAAGACTGTCACATATAAAAACTGGTGTAACATTAAAATATTGTGATGTTAATTTGAATTTAACGAGAGGGGCGTAACGTCTAGAAATTTAAAAGTAACTTAATGTTTAGACTTCATCATCCTTTTTTTTTTCTAAACAATTCAGGACACTTATGAAATACGTTAACAAATTGATGAAATTAACTCCTCCAGAAATATAACAAAAAATCGTTTAATTCTAAATGGATAGATAGATTGTAGAAAGATAGTGGAATTAGAAAGAGAGCGAACTAGCTGACCTGTGTCGCAGTTCCTTCCTGTAAAACCTGCTTTACAACTACACAGGTAACTCCCGAGAATATTTACACATTTAGCGCCGTTTTTACAAGGAGATCCAGCACATTCGTCAATATCTGAATATGAAAGTACAAATAAATATGACATTTCGTGCCTAAAGTTAGCACTACCTCTTTCTGTAGATTATAATTATTTATTTGTTTGTTTTTGCGATATAATTAAATGTAGGGGAGTCACAAATATGCCTTTGAGGGGATGAAGTTCAGTTAGTCCGAGAAAGGTTGTCTCTTGAGTCCACAAACCTCTTTGACAGTTTCTTAACAAATAGTTCGTGAACAATAAAGAACCATTTTTGTGATGTTCACCTTTTCCGCAGTCTTTGCCTGTAAATCCGGGTTTACAATTACATTTGTGACTTCCGGGAATGTTTTGACAAGTTGCACCGTTTTTGCATGGAGATCCAACACATTCATCGATATCTAAAGACGAAATCACAACTGAGTAACAATGCAAATAATGATAATGATAATAATACTAATTATAACAGTAACAATAATAATGATTAAGTGACATCGGGAATAATAATTCCGTTGGTATATAATTATAATGATATTTATTTCCTAATAATGACTTGATGAGGGAACTTAACTTGCCAAAACTGTTTTCAGCGGGGCCCTCAATCTAGACTTTGGTAGTTAAAAGTAACAATTCTCGTAGTATGAAAATGTGATGTGGTATTCAGTAAAGAGTATATCGGGAAATGCACGTAAATGAAGAATGATAATGGTACTCAATTAAATATTCTTAAACAGGATTTAGGTGAAAGAACTGCAGAATGTAACGAAGTGCTTCTCAGGAAAAGCGATATCTTGGTAATGAAATGATTAAAAAATTGAAATGAAGGCAAGATGAAAGTGACTGTTCCTAATGAAATTTTTAAGCCTAAGAAAGCCCACTAGTTTGACAGTTTCGTTCAGTATATCCGGATTTACACTTGCATCGGTAACATCCAGGAAGATTTTGACAACTAGCACCGTTCTTACAAGGGAATTTTACACACTCATTGATGTCTAAATAACAAATTAAGAATTTTAACTGCGGTAATATATAAAACCACCATTTCCTTTCGCTTATTATATATTACGTTTCCAAATGCAAAATTAAAGAAATAAAATCCCCTCAGAGATATTGCGAAAAGTTCACAGATAGATAGATTGTAGAAAGGTGTTGGAATTGAAAAGAGAGCGAGCTAGCTAACCTGTGTCGCAGTTCTTTCCTGTAAAACCTGCTTTACAACTGCACAGGTAACTCCCGGGAATATTTGAACATTTAGCGCCGTTTTTACAAGGAGATCCAGCACATTCGTCAATATCTAAAGAAAATAGTACAAGTTAATATAACTATTCTTGCATGAAGTAAAAAGTACCTCTTGCCATTTTTTTTGATATGTTCTCCATATATATATTTTAAAAACAATCCAGGACACTTACTTATTACATTTCCAAATGCAAAATTAATGAAATTAACTCACTCCAGAGATACTGATAAAAGTTTGTAATTCTAAATGAATAGATAGATTGTAGAAAGGTATTGGAATTAAAAAGAGAGCAGGCTAGCTGACCTGCGTTGCAGTTCCTTCCTGTAAAACCTGCTGTACATCTGCAGATGTAACTTCCGGGAATATTAAGACATGTAGCACCGTCTTTACACGGAGAGCCAGCACACTCGTTAATATCTAAATAAAAAGGGATAAATTAATCTAACTTTTCTTGCTTAAAGTTTAAAGTATCTCTTTTTATATGTTATAATAATTTATCTGTTATTTTTTTGCGGTAGAATTAAGTACGGGAAAATCACAAAGATATCTACAAGGGGGTGAAAATTGATGAACAATAATAATTGTACTCAATTAAATATTATTAAACGGATTTTAAGGCAACGAACTGTAAAATGAAACGAAGCGCTTCTCAGGAAAGACGATATCTTGGTAATGAAATGATTAAAAAAATTCAAATGAAGGTGAGATGAATATTACTGTTCCTAATGGAATTTCTAGGCCTAATCAGCTCACCAATTTGACAATTTCGTCCAGTATATCCGGATTTACACTTGCATCGGTAACTTCCTGGAATATTTTGACACAAGGCATCGTTTTGACACGGAGATGCAGCACACTCGTCTATATCTGTATATAGAATAAGAAACCAAAAAAGAAACCACTAATTTTAGATAAAGACAACGGAGGACTTTCTAGTTGCAGAGATTTTAGACAACAACTCAAGTCTTCCTATCGATTTTCGTACAAGGAACACACAGTGCTTTATCAGGGCTCACACATTTATCATTTTAGAACCGTTCAATCAATACAAGATGACAGAAACAACTTTTAATTGCGCTTTTTTAGAATATGATCCAGTGAGAGAAATGAACACCATCTATGGTACCAAACGACGATTTTTAATTTTACAAGGCAGCTTACCTGTCTCACAGTTCCTGTCTGCATAGCCACGTTGACACGCACATTGGTAGCTTCCAGCAGTATTTTGACATGTTGCACCGTTCTTACAAGGGGATTTAGCACACTCATTGATATCTAGATATTAAATTTATATGTATCAATGGAACTTCAACCGCAATGATATTTAAAACCAACATTTCCTTCCCGTTCCGTTTGCGTTCTCCACTGGATAAGACTATTAGAAATAAAAACTGGCTATGATCCTTATTTGGATGCAAGGGGAAAGACATATCGTCTTGAAATTCAACAGTTACTCCCGTTAGACTCGTGGCATCCTTTTTGTTTATCTTTTTTTTCAAAACAATTCAGAACACCTATTAAATACGGTTCCAAAGGCAGAATTAATGAAATTAACTCCTTCCAGTGATATTGCAAATAGTTTAGTATTCTAAATAGAAAGATGATGGAATTAGAAAGAGAGCGGGCTAGCTGACCTGTGTCGCAGTTCCTTCCTGTTAAACCTGCTTTACAACTGCACAAATGACTCCCGGGAATATTTTGACATTTAGCGTAACAACAAATAACCATGAAGATGAAATTAAAAGATCCTCGCAGCTAAGAACACTACTGAAACGAGTAGTTGTAAATAGGACCTGAAAAAAATTCAGGCCCGTACGGGATTTGAACCCATGACCTCTGCGATGCCGGTGCAGCGCTCTACCAATTGAATTTTCATATATCTAAAATCAATAAATAACCATTTTGGTGAAGTTCACCTTTTCCGCAGTCTCTGCCTGTAAATCCGGGTTTACAGTTACATTTGTGACTTCCGGGAATATTTTGACAAGTAGCACCGTTTTTGCATGGCGATCCAACACATTCATCGATATCTAAAGACAAATCACAAGTAAGTAACAAGGTCAGTAATAATAATAATAATGATAATGATAATAATAATAATCATCATCATTAAGTGATTGCGGGAATTGGTATATAATTATAATGATATTTATTTTCTAATAGTGATTTTAATGAATTTTAATAGTATGTAAATTTTATGTGGTATTCAGTAAAGAGTACATCGCAAAATATACGTAAATAAACAATGATAATGGTACTCCGTTGAGGTACTTCTCAGGAAAGGCGATATCTTGGTAATGAAATGATTAAAAAAGCTTCAAATGAAGGCAAGATACAAGTTGTTGTTCCTAATGAAACTTTTAAGCCTGACAAAGCTCACCACTTTCGCAGTTTCGTCCAATATATCCGGATTTACATTTGCATCGGTAACTTCCAGGAAGGTTTTGACACAAGGCATCGTTTTGACACGGAGATTTAGCGCACTCATCTTTATCTGTATATGGAATAAGAAACCACATATCTAATTTTAAATAAGGACAATGAAGGACTTTCTAGTTGTATAGATTTTAGAGCAACTATTCAAGACTTTTTTTCCAAGATTTCTACAAGGAACATACAGTGCTTTATCGAAGTTCACATGATCATTATTTTAGAACCGTCCGTCCAAGATGACAGAAGCACAACTTTTAATGGCGCTTTTTTAGAATATGGAAATGAACCTCATCTATGTCGCCAAAGGATGATATTTAATCTTTCGGGGCACCTTACCTGTCTCACAGTTCCTGTCTATGTAGCCAGGTTTACACGCGCATTGGTAGCTTCCAGCAATATTTTGACAAGTAGCACCGTTCTTACAAGGGGACTTAGCACATTCATTGATATCTAGATATAGATTTAAAGTCAATATTACTTAAAGCGCAATGATATTTAGAACTACCATTTCCTTTCGTTTGCATCTTTCAATAGATAAGACTATCACATATCAAAACCGGTGTAACATTAAAATATTGTGATCTTAATTTGAATTTAGAAATTCAAAAGTAACTTTATGTTTAGAGTTTATCATCCTTTTTCGCTTTTCAAAACAATTCATGACACTTATTAAACACGTTAACAAATTGATGAAATTAACTCCTCCAGAAATATTACAAAAAATCGTTTAAATCTAAATGGATAGATTGATTGTAGAAAGGTAGTGGAATTAAAAGGAGAGTGGGCTAGCTGACCTGTCTCGCAGTTCCTTCCTATGAAACCTGCTTTACAACTACACCGGTAACTCCCGGGAATATTAGAACATTTAGCGCCGTTTTTACAAGGAGATCCAGCACATTCGTCAATATCTAGATAAAAAAGTATAACGAAATATAACTATTCTTTCATAGAGTAAAAAGTACCTCTTCTCAGATATTATAATATATTATATATACATAATTTAAAAGCAATCCAGGACACTTAATACGTCGCCAAAATCTAAAACTAATGAAATTCACCCCTACCAGAGATACTGCTTAAAGTTCATAGCAAAGAGTTCGTGAACAATAAAGAACCATTTTTGTGATGTTTACCTTTTCCGCAGTCTTTGCTTGTAAATCCGGGTTTACAATTACATTTGTGACTTCCGGGAATGTTTTGACAAGTTGCTCCGTTTTTGCATGGAGTTCCAACACATTCATCGATATCTAAAGACGAAATCACAAGTTAGTAACAATGCGAATAATGATAATGATAATAATACTAATTATAATAGTAACAATAATAATGATTAAGTGACATCGGGAATAATAATTCCGTTGGTATATAATTATAATGATATTTATTTCCTAATAATGACTTGATGAGGGAACTTAACTTGCCAAAACTGTTTTCTGTGGCGCCCTCAATCTAGACCTTGGTTGTTAAAAGTAACAATTGTAATAGTATTATGTGGTATTCAGTAAGAGTATATCGGGAAATGCATGTAAATGAAGAATGATAATGGTACTCAATTAAATATTCTTAAACAGTATTTGGGTGAGCGAACTTCAAAATGTAACGAAGTGCTTCTCAGGAAAGGCGATATCTTGGTAATGAAATGATTAAACAATTGAAATGAAGGCAAGATGAAAGTGACTGTTCCTAATGAAATTTTTAAGACTAACAAAGCTCACCAGTTTGACAGTTTCGTCCAGTATATCCGGATTTACACTTGCATCGGTAACTTCCAGGAATATTTTGACAACTAGCACCGTTCTTACAAGGGGATTTTGCACACTCATTGATGTCTAAATAACAAATTAAAAGTCAAAAGAACTTTAACCGCGGTAATATTTAAAACCACCATTTCCTTTCGCTTATTAAATACGTTTCCAAATTCAAAATTAATCAAATAAAATCCCCTCAGAGATACGAAACGTTCACAGATAGATAGATTGTAGAAAGGTGTTGGAATTGAAGAAAATAGCGAGTTAACTAACCTGAGTCGCAGTTTTTCCTAGTAAAACCTGCTTTACAAATGCACAGGTAACTCCCGGGAATATTTGAACATTTAGCGCCGTTTTTACAAGGAGATCCAGCACATTCGTCAATATCTAAAGAAAAAAGTACAAATTAATATAACTTTTCTTGCATAAAATAAAAAGTACCTTTTCCTGTATGTCATATTATATATATCTTTTTACAAACAATCCAGGACACTCGCTAATCACGTTTTCAAATGCAAAATTAATGAAATTGAATCCTTCTGGAGATATTTATAAAAGTTTGTTATTCTAAATTGCATAAAGCTCATAATTCTAATTGGATAGATAGTTTGCAAGAAAGGTATTGAAATTAAAAAGAGAGCGGAGTAGCTGACCTGTGTTACAGTTCTTTCCTGTAAAACCTGCTTTACATCTGCACAGGTAATTCCCGGGAATATTTTGACATGTAGCGCCGTTCTTACAAGGAGATCTAGCACACTCGTCAATATCTAAATATGAAAGTACAAATATTTATACCTTTTCTTGCCTAAAGTTAAAAGTATCTCTTCTTATATGTCATATATTTATTCGCAATCTTTTGCGGCAGAATTAAATAGGGGAATCACAAAATGTCTTTTGAGAGGATGAAGGTTGATGAACAATAATAGTGGTGCCCAATTAATTATTACTAAACGGTATTTAAGTCAACGACCTGCAAAATGCAACGAAGTGCTTCTCAGAAAAGGCGATGTATACCTCGGTAATGAAATGATTAAAAGAAATTCAAATGAAGGCAATATGAAAGTTATTGTTCCTAATGAAACTTTTAAGCCTGGCAAAATTCACCAGTTCCACAATTTCGTCCAGTATGTCCAGATTTACAGTTGCATCGGTAACCTCCCGGAAGATTTTGACACAAGGCATTGTTTTGACACGGAGATTTAGCGCACTCGTCTATATCTGTATATAGAATAAGAAACCCAATAACTAATTTCAGATAAAGATAATGGAGGACCTTCTAGTTGCAACGATACTAGAGGAACTATTCAAGACTTCTTCGCGAGTTTTCTACAAGGAACACACAGCGCTTTATCGAAGTTCACATGATTTTCATTTACGAACCGTCCAATCAATACATGATGACGTAAAGACAACTTTTAATTGCGGTTTTAGAACATGGTCCGATAAAAGAAATGTACCTCATCTATGTCGCCAAAAGATGATATATAAATTTACAAGGCAGCTTACCTGTCTCACAGTTACTGTCTGTATAGCCAGGTTTACAGACGCACTGGTAGCTTCCAGCGATATTTTGACAAGTAGCACCGTTCTTACACGGGGATTTAGCACACTCATTTATGTCTAGATAACAAAGTAGGCATCAGTATAACTTAAACCGCAATTATATTTTAAACGGCCATTTACTTTCGTTTGCATCCTCCGATGGATAAGACTATCAGAAGTAAAAACTTGTATAACACGAAAATATTATGGTCTTAATTTGGATGCAACGAGAGGGACTATTCTATTTAATTATGAAATAGATTTTAAAGATATCGTGCGTCTGTTATAGATCACGGATGACATCTAATTGTGAGAAACAACAAAAAAAAGGTTCAGCTATTAGTTTTTTTATTTGTTTGTATACAGAACCTCTGACACAGAATCTAGTTGTTTTATACAATAGAAAATCAACAAATTGCCATTTTTTTGTCGTTTTCAGACATTATTTAATGTTGTAAATAACTGGTCCTTAAGGGAATGACATAATTTAGAAGAACACGCTCCTCCTTTACCACATCCTTTTATGGCTTCGCTTAATGTCTAGAGTAGTGCTGAGAGTAGTAAGCCTCCTTTACTACTGCTGAGGTTGCAAAGTAAGTATCATTTGTGTGGCAAGTAATCTCAAAAACTGGAGCAAATGGCTCGTGGACAATAAATAACCATTTTGGTGAAGGTCACCTTATCCGCAGTCTCTGCCTGTAAATCCGGCTTTACAGTTACATTTGTAACTTCCGGAATATTTTGGCAAGTAGCACCATTTTTTGATGGGGATTCAACGCATTCATCGATATCCAAAGACGAAATCGCAAGTAAGTAACAACTACCAACGCAAACAATAATACTAATAATAATAATGATTAAGGACAGCGGGAATAATAATTCAGTTGGTATATGATTTTAATGATATATATTTTCTAAAAATGATTTTTAATTAGGGAACCCAACTCGCCAAAACTGTTTTCAGCGGGGCCCTCAATCTTGACCTTAAGTGGCAGCAGGAATATTAATTCCGTTGATATAATTATATTTTTTTCTAATAATGATTTTTAATAAGGGAGCCCAACTCGCCAAAACAGTTTTCAGCGGGGCCCTCAATTTAGACCTTTGTTGTTAAAAGTAACAATTTTAATAATATGTAAATGTGATGTGGTATTCAGTAAAAGGAAATCGGGAAATACACGTAAATAAAAAATGGTAATGGTATTTAGTTGTACATTCTTAAACGGCTTTAGGTCAACGAACTGCAAAATGCGATGAAGTGCTTTTCAGGAAAGGTGATATTTTGGTAATGGAATGATTAAACAAATTCAGATGAAGGCAAAATGAAAGTTACTGTTCCTAATGAAATTTCGAAGCCTAAAACAAAGCTCACCAGTTTGACAGTTTCGTCCAGTATATCCGGATTTACACTTGCATCGGTAACTTCCAGGTAGATTTTGACAAGTAGCACCGTTCTTACAGGGGGATTTAGCACACTCATTGATGTCTAGATAAAAAAATTAAAAGTCGAGATAACTTAAACGGAATCATATTTTAAACTGTTGTTCCTTTCGTTTGCATTCTCCAAAGGATAGGACTATAAAAATAAAAACTGTTGTAACATGAAAATATGATGATCCTAATTTAGATGCAACGAAAAGGACATACCGTGTAGGAATTCAACAGTAACTTCAAGTTAAACTTTGAGCATCCATTTTTGTTTGCTCGTTTCATAAGTTTATAAAACAATCCAGGACACTTATTAAATTTGTTTCCAAATAAAACATAAATGAAATTAACTTCTTCGAGAGATATTGCAAAAAGCTCCTAAAAAGTTCCTAATTCTAAATGGATAGATAGATTGTAGAAAGGTATTGGAATTAAAAAGAGAACGGGTTAGCTGACCTGTGTCGCAGTTCCTTCCATTAAAACCTGCTTTACAACTGCATAGGTAACTTCCGGGAATATTTTTACATGTGGCGCCGTTTTTACATGGAGATCCAGCACACTCGTTAATATCTAAATATGAAAGTACAAATTGCTATAACATTCTTGCCTAAAGTGCCTCTTCCTACAAGTTATAAATATTTATTTCTTATTTTTTTTGCGATAGGGATGTAAGGGAGTCACAAATATATCTATAAAGGGATGAAATTTGGGTTGGTTCGGAGAAGGAAGTCTCTTGAGTCCACAAACCTCTTTGACAATGTCTGCCTACAAATCCTGATTTACAGCTGCACCGGTAACTGCCGGGAACATTTTGACATAGAGCACCGTTTTTGCAAGGAGAACTTGTGCACTCGTCCACATCTGTAAATATAATTATAGATCAGTCTTAATTTCTATTGAATTAACAAACAGATTTCAGGATGTTGTGCGTCTGTTATAGATCACGGATGAGATCTAAATGTGATTAACAACAACAAAAAAACAAGGCTAAACTATAAAGTGTTTCACCAATGCTATCACCACATTGTGACGTTTTCTTTAGTTGTTACTATACAGACCTTTGGACACAGAATCCATTCATTTTACACAATAGAGAAACAAAAATTGTCTATGGTAACACCATTTATGGTAGTTATATGATTAAACATTCAATAAAGGCAAAATGAAAGCTTCTGTTCCTAATGAAATTTCTAAGTCTAACAAAGCTCACCAGTTTCACAGTCTCGTCCAGTATATCCGGATTTACATTTGCATTAAGACGTAATTTACATAAAGACAATGGAGGACTTTCTAGTTGCATCGATCTTAGAGTAACAGAATATGGTCTAATGAGAGAAATGAACCTCATCTCTGTCGCAAACGGTGATTATTAATTTTACAAGGCAGGTTACCTGTCTCACAGTTCCTGTCTGTATAGCCAGGTTTACAGGCGCACTGGTAGCTTCCAGCAATATTTTGGCAAGTAGCACCGTTCTTACAAGGGGCTTTAACACATTCATTGATATCTAGATAATAGATTTAAATTCAATATAACTTAAACCGCCATGATATTTAAAACTACCATTTCCTTTGATTTGCATGTCTACCATTAGAGACTATCAGAAATTAAAACTTGTGTAACATTAAAATATTATGATCTTAATTTGGATGCACTGAGAAGGAGGTATAGTCTAAAAACTCACTTTATGTTTAGAATTGTAGCATCTTTTTTGTTCGCTTTTTTTTAAAAAAATCCAGGACACATTAAATACGTTCAAAAAAACAAAATTAATGAAATTAACTCTATCCAAATATATCGCAAAAAGTTCATGATTCCAAAATGGGTAGATAGATAGCAGTAAGGTATTGGAAATAAATAGAGCGGGCTAGCTGACCTGTCTCGCAGTTCCTTCCTGTAAAACCTGCTTTACACCAGCACAGGTAACTCCCGGGAATATTTTGACATGTAGCACCGTTTTTACAGGGATATCCAGCACACTCGTCAATATCTAGATATGCAAGTGCAAATTAATATAACATTTCTTGCATAAAGTAAAAAGTACCTCTTCCTATATGATCCTCTACAATATAATCATTTATTTGTTTTCTGATTTGTGATAGAATTAAATACAGGGGAGTCAGAAATATATCTATAAGTGGAGTGTGGTTCAGTTAGTCAGAAAGTCTCTCGAGTCCACAAACTTCTTTGACAGTTTCCGCCTGCAAATCCTGATTTACAACTGCATCGATAACTGCCGGGAACATTTTGACATAGAGCACCGTTTTTGCAAGGAGAACCTGTGCACTCGTCCACATCTGTATATATAATTAGAGATCAGTTCTTTATTTAATTTACAAATGGATTCCATGATGCCGTTCGTCTGCTATAGATCACGAATGACATTTAAAGATGAGAAACAACAACAACAAAAAAACAAGGCTCGGCCACTAATTATGTCACTACTGTTATTACTACATTTTGACGTTTATGTTTTTTCTTTCTCTACAGACCCTTGGAGACAGAATCTATTTGTTTTATACAATAGAGAAGCAAAAAAATGCAATTCTTTTTGTCATTTTCAGACATCATTTGATATTGTAAATAATTGGTCCTTAAGGCAATGACACAATTGAGAAGAACACGCTCACCCCCTCTCCTACCACATCATTTTATGGCTTAGATAAATGTCTAGAGTGGTGCTGATAGTAGCAAGCCCCTTTTCCTATTGCTGAGTTTGCAAGGTAAGTATCATTTGTGCGGCGAGTAATCTCAAAAAATGGAGCAAATAACTCGTGGAAGATAAATAACCATTTTGGTAAAGTTCACCTTTTCCGCAGTCTTTGCCTGTAAATCCGGGTTTACAGTTACATTTGTGACTTCCGGGAGTATTTTGACAAGTAGCACCGTTTTTGCAGGGAGATCCAACACATTCATCGATATCTATAGACAAAATCACAAGTTAGTAAAAACGCGAATAATAATAATAATAATAGTTATTATTATTACTATAATGATGATAATAATGATTAAGTAACGGCGGGATAATAATTCCGTTGGTATACAATTATAATAATGTTTATTTTCTAATAATGTTTTTTATGAGGGAACCTAACAGCGGGGCCCTCAATCTAGACCTTGGTTGTTAAAAGTAACAATTTTAAACAGTATTTAGGTCAAAGAAGTGGAAAAAGCAACGACGTGCTTCTCAAGAACAGCAATATCTTGCAAATAGAATGACTAAAACTTCCAGATAAAGGCAAGATGAAAGTTACTGTTCCTAATGAAATGAAGCCTGGCAAAACTTACCAGTTTGACAGTTTCGTCCAGTATATCCGGATTTACACTTGCATCGGTAACTTCCAGGAATATTTTGACAAGAAGCACTGTTCTTACAAGGGGATTTAGCACACTCATTGATATCTAGATAACAGATAAAAAGTCGATATAACTTAAACCGCAATGCTATTTAAAACTACCATTTCCTTTCGTTTGCATTCTCCTATGGATAAGACTATCAGAAATAAAAACTGGTGGAAAATGAAAATATTATGATCGTGATTTAGATGCAACGAGAAGGGCATATCATCTAGAACAAGTGTTCTGGATTGTTTTATAACTTAAAATTTACAGTCAAAAGCTTGAGATAAAAATGATAACAATAACAACAATAACCAAGAAAACAGCAACGACAACACTAAAGAAAAAAGAATGGCAGGCATACAAACCTATCTCGCAGTGCTTTCCAAGAAAGCCTGCTTTGCATTTGCATCTGTAGCTACCCTTTAAATTCTCACAAGTTCCACCGTTACGGCAAGGTTTTGCGACACATTCGTTAACATCTGAAGGCAAACCAAACATATTTGTTTTGTTTCTTTCATTATTATTTTCATTATCATTATTATTATTTATTGCTTTTATCATTATCATTACTATTCTGATAGTTTTATTTCTGTATATAAATATGTACATAGCAGTATCAAAACAGTAAGAACCATGCCAACCTCAATTTTATCAGGCTTGCTTTTTCACCCCGAACGATTACGTTCTCAATTCGTTCATTATTATCTGCTTTAATATGTCTATGATCAGATATGCAAAACTCTATATTTGGAGTTTTTGATGAAATGAACTTCTTTTGATGTCCTTATGTCAGTTATTATTTGACAAGGTTCCTTTCTTTCTTTGTTTGTTTATGTAGGGTAGTTTTCCAGTCTTTTCCTATAAACACCGGCAGTCAATTACAGTAAGTTCAGGTAACAAAATATTTGCGCCAAAATTTTTCTATCTAGTTTTAGATCCAATAATTTCTAGGGTTTTTCCCCTAGATACTTCACCTTGCTCGCAGTTCTTTCCTTGGTACCCTGACTTGCAGAGGCAAGTGTACCCACCATTCTGGTTGACACAGGTGGCGCCATTTTGACAAGGCTTGCTAGCTTTGCACGGGTCTAAGAGAATTTGTGTTGAAAAGTAATAGTACCAGTTATGATAAAAGTATTTATGATCAGAATGATTATTCAATAGCAATAGTTTTTAAGATGTTGATAGCAATGTTAATGAAGAGAGAAAGAAAACAATAATCACCTTAATAACCATTTCGGGGCCTTATTATAAATGCCACAGTTTTGTTATAATAATAGAAACATACAGAAATGCACATTAAAAACATTGCTACCCTCTTTTCAAAAAAAAAAAAAAATTTCTTTTTATTTAGAAGCCAAAAGCCTCCAACACGACAGAACCACCTAGCTCTATCCTGTCACTGTATTACAAAAAAAAGTTGAATAAAACTATAGACTTACCAAACCCTGCGTTTCCGCAATACCTCAGCCAACATCCTGGTGTCCTCGAAAGCTTGTACACGTAAAAACCGTTGCATTTCTTTATTTGAATGGCTGCATTCCAGTTGCAACAACTGGAACCCCAGTGGAAACACACCTTCCCGTTCACAACCTGCCCGACTCTTGTTGGATGTGAGCCACTTAACCATCCTGGCGCATGAGTTCCGCAGTAATGTTTTGGAACACAAGCCGTTGGCATTTGCACACCAGCTGCACCTGCAAACCTGTACCATTTGGGAGTTACAAGGTCCTTCTGGTCACACTTAAGGATATTGCCCCTGTGACGCCCTGCAGCCCGCTCTCTGTCACTTAGAACTTCATAATGTTTGCAATTATCGAAAACTGCAATATAAGATAAAAAGATTACAGCATTCTCCCGATGTGCATCTCGCGCCAGTTAAGACATTATATTTGATTCAGAGAATACCATAAACACTTTAAAAAACTTTTTTCTCTAAACTGAAATACAAATAAACAGTAAGGAAACTGCTCAACAGAAAAGTTAATATCATAAAAGCCGTAACAGTTATTTCAATTATTTACAGGCAAAAACTTGAAAGAAAAACGGTAACAACAACAAAAACAAAGAAAACAGCAACATGAGCGCTAAAGGAAAAAAACAAATGGCAAGCATACAAACCTATCTCGCAGTGCTTGCCAAGAAATCCTGCTTTGCATTTGCATCTGTAGCTACCCTGTAAATTCTCACAAGTTCCACTGTTATGGCAAGGTTTCGTGACACATTCGTTAACATCTAAAGACAAACCGAACATACATTTGATTTTGTTTTATCATTATTGTAATCATTTATTACTATCAACATTGTTGCTACCATTCTGATAACCTTATTTCTGTATGTAAATCTGTACATAATAGTATCAAAACAGTAAGAACCTTGCCAGCCTCAATTTTATAGGCTTGTTTTTTCGCCTTTTGTACATTCACGAAAGGACTATGTCTTCAATTCCTTTATCATTATTATTATCCGGTTTAATATGTTCATGATCAGATATACAAAACTATAAATTTGGAATTTTGAATAAAATGAATTCCTTTTAATGTCCTTATGTCAGTTATTATTTGAAAGGGTACATTATTTTTTTGTTCACGTGGGGTAGTTTTCCATTCTTTTCCGACCAACCTGACCGGCAGTCAATTGCAGTAAGTTTGACAAAGAATAGGCGACACCATTTTACTTTTTAGTTTTAGATTCAATGATTTTTAAGGATGTCCTCCTAGATACCTCACCTTGCTCGCAGTTCTTTCCTTGGTACCCAGGCTTGCAGAGGCAAGTGTAGCCTCCATTCTGGTTGACACAACTGGCGCCATTTTGACAAGGCTTACTAGCTTTGCACGGGTCTTGAAGAATTTGTAATGAAAAATAATACCCATACTATTTACGATCGGATTGATAATACTGATACTAGTTATATTCAAAATGATAATACTGAGATTAATGAAGATTAAAAGAAAGCAACGATCATATACATAACAACGCCGAGGCGTTAACCCAATTAGAAACATAGAAACGTACAAATATTGTACTTCTATGCAGTATGAAGCCTATTTTCGTAACCTCTCATGTCATCTAAAGGGCAAAAGCCTCCCTCATGACACAATCACATATCTCTGTCCTGTTACACTACTACAAAAGAAAGTTGAATAAAACTATAGACTTAAAAAAACCCTGCATTCCCGAAGATTTTTTATCCTCTCTCGGTTTCATTCGTGACAAATAACATTAAATGACAACCGTTAACACTATCCACGTGGTTTAAATGTAGCATATTCAGCGTATATCTTTCCGGAAAGCTCAAAATCGTAGAGTGAATTCGGTGATCCTACTTTCCATACAAAGAAAGAAAGAAAAATAGGCGATTCCCAACTCACCAAAGCCGGCATTTCCACAGTATCTCAGCCAACATACAGGCGTCCTCGAAAGTTTGTAAACGTAAAACCCGTTGCATTTCTTTATTTGAATAGCAGCATTCCAGTTGCAACAGTTGGAGCCCCAATGGAAACACACCTTCCCGTTCACAACCTGCCCGACTCTTGTTGGATGTGAGCCACTCAACCATCCTGGTGCACGAGTTCCGCAGTAGTGTTTCGGAACACATGCCGTTGGCATTTGAGCACCAGCTGCTCCGGTAAACCTGTACCATTTAGGGGTAACAAGATCTCTCTGGTCACACTTAAGGATGTTACCCCTGTGACGCCCTGCAGCGCGCTCTCTGTCGTTGAGGACTTCGTAGTGTCTGCATTCATCAAATACTACAAAAAAACAGATTGAACAACTGCACATAAAAGTCCGAAAACATTCCATATCTCAAAACTGTAAATTGCTTACACCAGACTTTCTACATTTTGCAAGTATAGCAGAAACTCAATCTCTAGGGGATTTAAGCTTTTTGGCGTAACACAACGAAATTACGCTTTATAACTTTCATCTCAACCACATTATACTTAATGTAATTTTTGATTTCATTAACTGAGCTAATAATGTTAATTGGTCAAAGCTGACATTTCCAAGCATTAGCCCTACATCAGAGCTCTGATGAAGGGTTAACATCAGCTTTGAAACTCTTTACGGCGGTCAGTTTACATCATTAACTCAGTTGATAAAACAAAAATTGTCTTGTTATACTCCCCCACTAACGCAGCATCACAGTTTCTCTAGACCTTACCCCTTTATTCATTTACACTTAACGAAGACGACCCCGACGCAGATGTCAAATGACTCTTAAGAGACGTCAAATAAAGATGAGTTTTATGAAAAACCGGGAGGTCTACACTCAAATGAACAATACAAACCGATCTCGCAGTGTTTTCCTAGATATCCTGATTTACATTTGCATCTGTAGCTTCCCGCTATGTTCTCGCAAGTCCCGCCATTGCGGCAAGGCCTCGTAAGACATTCATTGATATCTAAAAATTGAAAACGATGAGTGTTACATATATGATTCAGAGACAGCCTCATGCCTTATTTTGTTTTATTAAGTATAAATGGTTTTTAGTTCGAGGTGACTAAAGGCCAATTTTCCTCTTTCAGTAAATTATCACAATCGGATCACAATGACTGTAAACGTTTCCTTGTTCAAATTCTCTTACACTATTTTATGTTATGTTGTTAACATAAACATTATTAACATTATATTGTTATATAACATAACAATATATAAATAAGAGAGCGGGCTTGCTAACCTGTGTCGCAGTTCCTTCCTGTAAAACCTGATTTACAACTGCACAGGTATCTCCCCGGAATATTTAGACATTTAGCGCCGTTTTTACAAGGAGATCCAGCACACTCGTTAATATCTAAATATGAAAGTATAAATTGATAATAAATTTCTTGATTAAAGTAAAAAGTACCTCTTGCTATAAATTACAATATTTTACCATTTTTTGGCGATAGAATTTAATATAGGGGAATCACAAAAATATCTATGAGAGGCTACTGATAAGGTTATCTCTCGAGTCCACGAAAACTCAAAGTTATTTCACAATTTTTGCCTGTAATCTTAATTCACAACTGCATTCGTAACTGCGGGGAATATTGCCATAGAGCACCGTTTTCACAAGGAGATCCAACGCACCCGTCCACATCTGTATATATAATCAGAGATCACTTTTCTTTAACATAGGTAATGTTATTACCACATTCCGACATACTTTTTATTTCGTACCATAGAGAACCTCGGACACAGAATGCATTTGTTTTATATAATAGAGAGAAGCAAAAAATTGCAATTTTTATCTATTATTTCCAGATACTAATAAATTTTGTTAGTAATCCGTCCTTAAGGCAATGAAAATTTAGAAGAACACGCCCCCCTACCAGACCTTTACATGGCTTCGCCTAATGTTTAGAGTAGTACTGAGGGTAGTAAGCCTCCTTTACTACTACTGAGGTTGCGAAGTATCATTTGTGTAACAAGTATGAAGAATCATTTTGGTTAAGTTCACCTTTTTCGCAGTCTCTGCCTGTAAATCCGGGTTTACAGTTACATTTGTGACTTCCGGGAATATTTTGACAAGTAGCACCATTTTTGCAGGGAGATCCAACACATTCATCAATATCTGAAGAAGAAATCATAAGTTCGTAACAACGCGGATAATAATGATAACAATTATAATAATAGTAATAATGATAACTTATAATAATGATAACAATAATAATAATAATAATGATAAAGTGACAGCGGGAATAATAATTCCGTTGGCATACAATTATAATGATATTCATTTTCTAGTGATGATTTTTAAAGAGGGGTCCGAACTCGCCAAAACTGTCTTCAACGGGGCCCTTAATCTAGACCATGGACGTTTAAAGTAGCAATTCTAGTAGTATGTAAATGTGATGTGGCATTCATTGAAGAGTACATCGCGAAATACACCTAAATTAAAAATAATAATGGTACTCAGTTGAATATTCGAAAACGGTATTTAGGTCAACGAATTGCAAAATGCAGCGAAGTGCTTCTCAGGAAAGGCGATATCTTGGTAATGAAATAATTAAAAAATTTCAAATGAAGGCAAGATTAAAGCTACTGTTCCTAATGTAATTTTAAGCCTAACAAAGCTCACCAGTTTCACAGTTTCGTCCAGTATATCCAGACTTACACGCGCATCGGTAACATCCAGGGAGATTTTGACAAGTAGCACCGTTCTTACAAGGGGATTTAGCACACTCATTGATATCTAGATAACAAATTAAAAGTCAAAAGAACTTAAACAGCAATAATATTTAAAACTAGCATTTCCTTTCGTTTGCATTCTCCAATGGAGAAATAAAAGAAATAAAAGTGGTGTAACATGTAAATATTTTGATCTTAGTCTGGATGCAACGAGAAGTACATATCGTCAAGGAATTTAATAATAACCTCACGTTAGACTTGTAGCACACTTTTTTTTTTCAAAACAATCCAGGACACCTATTAAATACGTTTTCAAATACAAAATTGATGAAATTATCTCCTTCCAGAGATACTGCTAGAAGTTGTTAAAAAATTTAAATGAATAGATAGATTGTAGAAAGGTAGTGGAAGCAGTTCCTTACTATAAAAACCTGCTTTACAACTGCATGAATAACTCCCGGGAATATTAAAACATTGAGCGCCGTTTTTACGAGGAGATCAAGCACATTCGTTAACAACGAAATTAAAGAGTACAAATTAATACAACTTTTGTTGCATAAAGTAAAAAGTACCTCTTCTTATATATTATAATATATTGAATATATATTTTTTTAAAAATAATCCAGGACACTCACTAAACAGGTCCACAAAAGCAAAAATAATGTAATTAACTCCTTCCAGAGAAACTGCTAAAAGTTTCATAGTTCTAAATGGATAGGTAGATTGTAGAAAGCTATTGGAATTAAAAAAGAGCAGGCTAACTGACCTGTGTTGCAGTTCCTTCCTGTAAAACCTGCTTTACAAATGCACAGGTAACTCCCGGGCAAATTTCGACATGTAGCGCCGTTTTTACAAGGAGATACAGCACACTCGTTAATATCTAAATAAAAAAGTACAAATTAATATAACTTTTCTTGCAAGGAGTTAAAATCATTTCTTCTTAGAAGTTATTATTATTAATTTGTTTTTTTTTTGCTATAGGAGTAAATATAGGGAAATCACAAAAATGTTTTTAAGGGGTTGAATCCCATGAACAATAATAATGGTACTCAATTAAATATCATCAAACAGTAATTAGGTCAACGAACTGCAAAATGCAACGAGGTGCTTCTAAGAAAAGGCGATATCTTGGTTATGAAGCGATTTTAAAAAAATTAAGTGAAGGCAAGATGAAATTTACTGTTCTTAATGAAACTTTTATGGCTAACAAAGTTCACCTTTTTCACAGTTTCGTCCAGTATACCCGGATTTACACTTGCATCGGTAACTTCCAGGAAGGTTTTGACACAAGGCATTGTTTTGACACAGAGATTCAGCACACTCGTCTATATCTGTATATAGAATGAGAAACCAAATAACTAATTTCAGATAAAGGCAATGGAGGACTTTCTAGTTGCAACGATATTAGAGCGACTATTCAAGACTTTGTTCCGAGTTTTCTACAAGGAGCACACAGTCCTTTGTCAAAGTTCACATGATTATCATATTAGAACCGTCCAATCAATACAAGATGATGAAACAACATTTATTGACGCTTTTTAGAGTATGATTCAGTAAGAGAAATGAACCTCACCTATGTCGCCAAAAGATGAATATTAATTTTACAAGGCAGCTTACCTGTCTGACAGTTCCTGTCTGTATATCCAGATTTACACGTGCATCGGTAACATCCAGGGAGATTTTGACAAGTAGCACCGTTCTTACAAGGGGACTTAGCACATTCATTGATATCTAGATAACAAATTTAAAGTCAAAAGAACTTTATACGCGATTATATTTAAAACCACCGTTTCCTTTCGTTTGCCTTTAGCCAATGGATAAAACTATTAGTAATAAAATTTTGTTAAACATGAAAATATTACGATCCTTATTTGGATGCAACTAGAAGGACATATCGTCTAGAAATACAACAATAACTTCACTTTAGACTTGTAGGATCCTTTTTTTTTCAAAACAATCCAGGACACTGATTAAATACGTTTCCAAATGCAAAATTAATAAAATTAACTCCTTTCAGAGATGTTTTCAAAAGTTCATAATTCTAAATGGATAGAATGGAGAAAAATAGTGGAATTGAACTTTCTTCTTATAAATTATGATTATGTATTTGTTATTTTTTGCGATAGAATTAAATATAAGGCAACCAAAAAAATATTTATTAGGGGATGAAAGTTGATGAACAATAATTATGGTACCCAATTAAATATTATGAAACGGTATTTAGGTCAACGAACTGAAAATGCAACGAGCTGCTTCAAAGAAAAGGCGATATCTTGGTGATGAAGCGATTAAAAAAGTTCAAATGAAGGCAAGATGAAAGTTACTGTTCCTAATGAAACTTTTAAGTCTAACAAAGCTCACCTATTTCACAGTTTCGTCCAGTGTATCCGGATTTACACTTGCATCGGTAACTTCCAGGAAGGTTTTGACACAAGGCATCGTTTTGACACGGAGACTTAGCACACTCGTCTATATCTGTATATAGAATGAGAAACCAAATAACTAATTTCAGATAAAGGCAATGGAGGACTTTCTAGTTTCAGAGATTTAATAGCAACTATTCAAGACCTCTTTCCGATTTTCTACAAGGAACACACAGTGTATTATCGAAGTTCACATGACTATCATTTAAGAACGGTACAATCAATACAAGATAACGGAAGTACAAATTTTAACGGCGCTTTTTAAGGAAAAAGGTTCTAGTAAGAGAAATGAACCACATTGCGACGTTCTTGTTACTTAGTGATATACAGACCATCGGACACAGAATCTATTTGTTTTATACAATAGAGAAGCAAAAAACTGCAAATTTTTTTTTAATCATTCCAAATATGACTTAATATTGTAATTAATCGGTCCTTAAGGCAATGAGATAATTTAAAAGAACTCGCCCACCCCACCACATCATTTTATGGCTTCGCCCAGTGTCTAGAGCAGTGCTGATAGTAGTAAGCCTCCATTTATATTGCTGAGATTGCAAAGTAAGTATCATTTGTGTGGCAAGTAATTTCAAAATAAAGAGCAAATAGCCCACGGATAATATCGTGATCTTAATTTGGATGCAGCAAGAATTTCAGATCGTCTAGAAATTCAAAAGTAACTCCTTGTTAATTTTTTCCTCAAAACAATCCAGGACACTTATCAAATATGTTTCTAAATGCAAAATTAATAAAATCAACTCCTTCCAGAGATATTGCAAAAAGTTCATAATTCTAAATGGATAGATAGATTGTAGAAAGGTAGTGCAATAGTGTTATGTTATAACATAGTCAATGTCGTAAAAGGGATAACTTAAAATTTACAGTCAAAAGCTTGAGATAAAAATGGTAACAATAACAACAATAACCAAGAAAACAGCAACGACAACACTAAAGAAAAAAGAATGGCAGGCATACAAACCTATCTCGCAGTGCTTTCCAAGAAAGCCCGCTTTGCATTTGCATCTGTAGCTACCCTTTGAATTCTCACAAGTTCCACCGTTACGGCAAGGTTTTGCGACACATTCGTTAACATCTGAAGGCAAACCAAACATATTTGTTTTGTTTCTTTCATTATTATTATCATTATCATTATTATTATTTATTGCTTTTATCATTATCATTACTATTCTGATAGCTTTATTTCTGCATATAAATATGTACATAGCAGTATCAAAACAGTAAGAACCATGCCAACCTCAATTTTATCAGGCTTGCTTTTTCACCCCGAACGATTACGTTCTCAATTCCTTCATTATTATCTGCTTTAATATGTCTATGATCAGATATGCAAAACTCTATATTTGGAGTTTTTGATGAAATGAACTTCTTTTGATGTCCTTATGTCAGTTATTATTTGACAAGGTTCCTTTCTTTCTTTGTTTGTTTATGTAGGGTAGTTTTCCAGTCTTTTCCTATAAACACCGGCAGTCAATTACAGTAAGTTCAGGTAACAAAATATTTGCGCCAAAATTTTTCTATCTAGTTTTAGATCCAATGATTTCTAGGGTTTTTCCCCTAGATACTTCACCTTGCTCGCAGTTCTTTCCTTGGTACCCTGACTTGCAGAGGCAAGTGTACCCACCATTCTGGTTGACACAGGTGGCGCCATTTTGACAAGGCTTGCTAGCTTTGCACGGGTCTAAGAGAATTTGTGTTGAAAAGTAATAGTACCAGTTATGATAGAAGTATTTATAATCAGAATTATTATTCAATAGCAATAGTTTTTAAGATGTTGATAGCAATGTTAATGAAGAGAGAATAATAATAATAATATTATAATATTAATAATATAATAATAATAAGAATAAGAATAATAATAGAAACATACAGAAATGCACATTAAAAACATTGCTACCCTCTTTTCAAAAAAAAAAAAATTTCTTTTTATTCAGAAGCCAAAAGCCTCCAACACGACAGAACCACCTAGCTCTATCCTGTCACTGTATTACAAAAAAAAGTTGAATAAAACTATAGACTTACCAAACCCTGCGTTTCCGCAATACCTCAGCCAACATCCTGGTGTCCTCGAAAGCTTGTACACGTAAAAACCGTTGCATTTCTTTATTTGAATGGCTGCATTCCAGTTGCAACAACTGGAACCCCAGTGGAAACACACCTTCCCGTTCACAACCTGCCCGACTCTTGTTGGATGTGAGCCACTTAACCATCCTGGCGCATGAGTTCCGCAGTAATGTTTTGGAACACAAGCCGTTGGCATTTGCACACCAGCTGCACCTGCAAACCTGTACCATTTGGGAGTTACAAGGTCCTTCTGGTCACACTTAAGGATATTGCCCCTGTGACGCCCTGCAGCCCGCTCTCTGTCACTTAGAACTTCATAATGTTTGCAATTATCGAAAACTGCAATATAAGATAAAAAGATTACAGCATTCTCCCGATGTGCATCTCGCGCCAGTTAAGACACTATATTTGATTCAGAGAATACCATAAACACTTTAGAAAACTTTTTTCTCTAAACTGAAATACAAATAAACAGTAAGGAAACTGCTCAACAGAAAAGTTAATATCATTTAAGGCGGAACAGTTATTTCAATTATTTACAGGCAAAAACTTGAAAGAAAAACGGTAACAACAACAAAAACAAAGAAAAAAGCAACATGAGCGCTAAAGGAAAAAAAACAAATGGCAAGCATACAAACCTATCTCGCAGTGCTTGCCAAGAAATCCTGCTTTGCATTTGCATCTGTAGCTACCCTGTAAATTCTCACAAGTTCCACTGTTACGGCAAGGTTTCGTGACACATTCGTTAACATCTAAAGACAAACCGAACATACATTTGATTTTGTTTTTATCATTATTGTAATCATTTATTACTATCAACATTGTTGCTACCATTCTGATAGCCTTATTTCTGTATGTAAATCTGTACATAATAGTATCAAAACAGTAAGAACCTTGCCAGCCTCAATTTTATAGGCTTGTTTTTTCGCCTTTTGTACATTCACGAAAGGACTATGTCTTCAATTCCTTTATCATTATTATTATCCGGTTTAATATGTTCATGATCAGATATACAAAACTATAAATTTGGAATTTTGAATAAAATGAATTCCTTTTAATGTCCTTATGTCAGTTATTATTTGAAAGGGTACATTATTTTTTTGTTCACGTGGGGTAGTTTTCCATTCTTTTCCGACCAACCTGACCGGCAGTCAATTGCAGTAAGTTTGACAAAGAATAGGCGACACCATTTTACTTTTTAGTTTTAGATTCAATGATTTTTAAGGATGTCCTCCTAGATACCTCACCTTGCTCGCAGTTCTTTCCTTGGTACCCAGGCTTGCAGAGGCAAGTGTAGCCTCCATTCTGGTTGACACAACTGGCGCCATTTTGACAAGGCTTACTAGCTTTGCACGGGTCTTGAAGAATTTGTAATGAAAAATAATACCCATACTATTTACGATCGGATTGATAATACTGATACTAGTTACATTCAAAATGATAATACTGAGATTAATGAAGATTAAAAGAAAGCAACGATCATATACATAACAACGCCGAGGCGTTAACCCAATTAGAAACATAGAAACGTACAAATATTGTACTTCTATGCAGTATGAAGCCTATTTTCGTAACCTCTCATGTCATCTAAAGGGCAAAAGCCTCCCTCATGACACAATCACATATCTCTGTCCTGTAACACTACTACAAAAGAAAGTTGAATAAAACTATAGACTTAAAAAAACCCTGCATTCCCGAAGATTTTTTATCCTCTCTCGCTTTCATTCGTGACAAATAACATTAAATGACAACCGTTAACGTGACATTAACACTATCCACGTGGTTTAAATGTAGCATATTCAGCGTATATCTTTCCGGAAAGCTCAAAATCGTAGAGTGAATTCGGTGATCCTACTTTCCATACAAAGAAAGAAAGAAAAATAGGCGATTCCCAACTCACCAAAGCCGGCATTTCCACAGTATCTCAGCCAACATACAGGCGTCCTCGAAAGTTTGTAAACGTAAAACCCGTTGCATTTCTTTATTTGAATAGCAGCATTCCAGTTGCAACAGTTGGAGCCCCAATGGAAACACACCTTCCCGTTCACAACCTGCCCGACTCTTGTTGGATGTGAGCCACTCAACCATCCTGGTGCACGAGTTCCGCAGTAGTGTTTCGGAACACATGCCGTTGGCATTTGAGCACCAGCTGCTCCGGTAAACCTGTACCATTTAGGGGTAACAAGATCTCTCTGGTCACACTTAAGGATGTTACCCCTGTGACGCCCTGCAGCGCGCTCTCTGTCGTTGAGGACTTCGTAGTGTCTGCATTCATCAAATACTACAAAAAAACAGATTGAACAACTGCACATAAAAGTCCGAAAACATTCCATATCTCAAAACTGTAAATTGCTTACACCAGACTTTCTACATTTTGCAAGTATAGCAGAAACTCAATCTCTAGGGGATTTAAGCTTTTTGTAATAACGAACAGTGACGTCGTCTAAGTCACAAAACATTAAATGAGATCAGGCCAACAGAAAAAAGGATAAAACAAGGAAAATTTTTTTCATTAGGTCAGGCGTAACACAACGAAATTACGCTTTATAACTTTCATCTCAACCACATTATACTTAATGTAATTTTTGATTTCATTAACTGAGCTAATAATGTTAATTGGTCAAAGCTGACATTTCCAAGCATTAGCCCTACATCAGAGCTCTGATGAAGGGCTAACATCAGCTTTGAAACTCTTTACGGCGGTCAGTTTACATCATTAACTCAGTTGATAAAACAAAAATTGTCTTGTTATACTCCCCCACTAACGCAGCATCACAGTTTCTCTAGACCTTACCCCTTTATTCATTTACACTTAACGAAGACGACCCCGACGCAGATGTCAAATGACTCTTAAGAGACGTCAAATAAAGATGAGTTTTATGAAGAACCGGGAGGTCTACACTCAAATGAACAATACAAACCGATCTCGCAGTGTTTTCCTAGATATCCTGATTTACATTTGCATCTGTAGCTTCCCGCTATGTTCTCGCAAGTCCCGCCATTGCAGCAAGGCCTCGTAAGACATTCGTTGATATCTAAAAATTGAAAACGATGAGTGTTACATATATGATTCAGAGACAGCCTCATGCCTTATTTTGTTTTATTAAGTATCAATGGTTTTTAGTTCGAGGTGACTAAAGGCCAATTTTCCTCTTTCAGTAAATTGTCACAATCGGATCACAATGACTGTAAACGTTTCCTTGTCCAAATTCTCTTACACTATTTTATGTTATGTTGTTAACATAAACATTATTAACATTATATTGTTATATAACATAACAATATATAAATAAGAGAGCGGGCTTGCTAACCTGTGTCGCAGTTCCTTCCTGTAAAACCTGATTTACAACTGCACAGGTATCTCCCCGGAATATTTAGACATTTAGCGCCGTTTTTACAAGGAGATCCAGCACACTCGTTAATATCTAAATATGAAAGTACAAATTGATATAAATTTTCTTGATTAAAGTAAAAAGTACCTCTTGCTATAAATTACAATATTTTACCTTTTTTTGGCCTAGAATTTAATATAGGGGAATCACAAAAATATCTATGAGAGGCTACTGATAAGGTTATCTCTCGATTCCACGAAAACTCAAAGTTATTTCACAATTTTTGCCTGTAAATCTTAATTCCCAACTGCATTCGTAACTGCGGGGAATATTGCCATAGAGCACCGTTTTTACAAGGAGATCCAACGCACCCGTCCACATCTGTATATATAATCAGAGATCACTTTTCTTTAACACATAGTGAAGCCTTGACCATGCTCTGTTCTGTTGTAAATCACGTAAGAGAGGCTGGCACAAAGAAAAGTGGGAAGAAACATTTGACTATGTCTCGTGTTTCTCCCCACTTCCTAAGTACTTTACAACAGAACAGTGCACAGTCGAGGCTTCTCTATTTGTTTTATAAGAAAGAATCCGTTAAATTACCCACCTAGTACTTTTAAATTAAAAAAAAAAACTTTATTTCAGAGAGAACAACACCGTCGTCAGCATGCTTATACTCTCCTAAAGCACGCTACAAAAAGTCAATCTGAATTGTTGTTAGAATGGTTCAAATAATCTGATTGGTTGAACAAGACTAAAGCTGTCAAAAATGTCAAACCATCAAAGTTTACAATCTGCAATAGTTTAAATGAAGTAGTTTGGCAGGTCGATTTTAACACTATTGCCTAAAGTTTTTTAGTCTCTAATACAGAATCTGAAAGAGAGATGTCCAGAGAAATTCGGCCGAATTGAAGTACAAAAAACACGCGAGTTTTTTCAAATGACAATTAGAAAACAAACTGCTCTAGGCGTGTGTTTTATGAATGAACGACAGCCGAATTCACAGGAACATAGAGATTGCTCGGGATGACAGCACTGTAAAACTCGGCTGCTGTGACTGATGTGGCCTTCCACTCAACGCATCTGTAAGGATATCAGAGCAAGCTCTTAGTTGTTCACTCGAAGGGCGGCCGATGTAATTTCTGAGGCTTGCTTCAATGTTATGACCGGAGATCGCCGTGATGAGCTAGCCGCGATTCACTACGATAACATTCGTTCTTACACCGTCATTTTAAGTTTGAAATTTAACAGTTATGCCAGTTTGGCTATACTTTTCATCATTTCTATTTCGTTGTGTTTTGTTTTTGAACACGAAACTAGCTATACTACACGAATGTTAGCTGTGTTTGATTTTATTACCGTACGCAAGCTTGCAATCAAACTGAACGTAAAAAGCTTCATAATTCGCTCTGTCCATTCCAAATTTCACGTTATAATAACATCAATTACGGCGGTTGGCATGCTTATAAACCTTTGTTTGGTTCTTCTGTTGCAATTTTCTGGCTTGCTTGTTCCGATATTTCACTTTCAATGAATGAAAAAAAGCTAGAAGGAAGTCCAGGAAATGGTCGGCATAGTACGATTTGGCAGACGGCGTGATGGCTTTAGCTCTCTTTCTCTGGGTTCTGTACTCTGATAGAGCACGCTGTTTCAACTAATGACAGCGCGCGTTATATCCGAACTTTACTATAAATTTAGTTGACAAATAGATTCAATGCTAGCGTGCGTCTGTTATAGATCACGGGTGGTATCTAAATGTGGAAACAATAAAAAACAAGGTTCAGCTATTATGTGTCACTATTGTTATAGCCACATTGTGACGTATTTGTTATTTGTTACTTTACTAGACAGACCCGCGGACGCAGAATCTATTTGTTTCATACAATAGAGAAACCAAAAAAGCGCATTTTTTTTAACTGTGACATTATCAAATGTTTTAAGTAATCAGTCCTTAAGGCAAAGACATAATTTAGAAGAACAAGTCCCCTACCACATCCTTTGCCCAATGTCTAGAGCAGTGCTGAAAGTAAACACCCTTTACTACTTCTGAGGTTGCAAAGTAAGTATCATTCTCAAAAAATGGAGCAAATAGCTCGTGGACAATAAATGACCATTTTGGTGAAGTTCACCTTTTCCGCAGTCTCTGCCTGTAAATCCGGGTTTACAGTTACATTTGTGACTTCCGGGAATATTCTGACAAGTAGCACCGTTTTTGCAGGGAGATCCAACACATTCATCGATATCTAAAGGCAAAATCACAAGTTAGTAACGACGCAAATAATAATGATAATAGTAAAGGAAAAATAATAAAGACGATTAAGTAACAGCGGGAATAATAATTCCGTTGGTATATAATGATAATGATACTATTTGTTATTTGTTACTATACAGACCCTCGGAATCAGAATCTATTTGTTTTATACCATAGAGAAGCCAAAAATTGTTTATGGTTTTCTTGAAGTTCACTTTTCCGCAGTCTCCTCCTTTAAATCCTGCTTTACAAATACATTTGTGACTTCCGGGAATATTTCGACAAGTAGCACCGTTTTTGCATGGAGATCCAACGCATTCATCAATATAATAATCACAAGTAAGTAACAACGCGAATTATAATGATAATAATTTGGGATTTTTCTGCTTCAGTGTCTTTCGAAAAATAAACGCGTCCATGTTGCCAAAAGATTACTTCTTACACTTAAAACCAGCTTACCTTTCTCGCAGTTCTTGCCTGTATAACCAAGTTTACACGTGCACTGGTAACTCCAAGGAGTATTTTTACAAGTACCACCATTCTTACAAGGAAACTTAGCACAATCATAAATATCTGGATAGTAAAATACAAACAGACAGTAATTAAATTAAATAATGAAGTAAATTATTATGTAAGCGGTTTAAACCGTTTCCCGAGTTTTTCCTGTATATCCCGGATAAGGTCGCCCCGGTAACTCACAGGACTATTGCGACACTCAGCATCATTTTTGCAGGGAAAGCAAGGGTAATTCGTCGACATCTGAAAGTTTAGATAAAAAAGGAGGTTTTTTATTATTTGGGGCTCAATCTTAGCTAGAGCTTAGCTTTTCAGCAGTTTTTGTTTTCCTATGTAACCAGACAGGCAGGAGCATTCGTACCCTTCAGGTAATCTTTGATAAGCTGCTTCATGTAGATAAGGATTTGAGTCACAGTGGTCGATTGCTGTTAGAGTTAAAACTTAAGACGGACACACATTATTTTTTCCACTTTTGATGACACTTCCTTGCTTCTGCAACGACCAAAAATGATTTTATTCAGCCCCAGAGGGTAGGAATGGCAGAGTCTTGAAAGTACCGAACCACTGAGGCCTAGGTTCCATTCGCCCCACGTCAGAGATGATAAGTCGAATTCTTTGTTGCTTCGCGTTCTTGACCCAGCTCCGAAAGAGAGCGATATCACGCCTCCTTCGGCCTTATTTTCCCAAAATTAATGTATTGTTTCCGCCATTTTTTTCGCTTTTGTTTTCTTTCATCAGATGTAACTGTATGCTTACACGGAAATCTTGCCTGCACATCATTTTATACCCCGTTCAAACCAGAAAAACATGTCTAGTTAATCAGGGTGTAACTAAATTAAAATTAGTAACAGAGAAATGAAAACTGAAATAAGGCTCAGGCAACCACTATCTTGCATTTTAATGAGGTAAATTAGGATTCGACATCAGTTTAGGGAGAATCTATGAGGAAAGAAATTTTAAAACGAAACAGCTTTAAAGCATATTTAAGCTTTGGTGTGAGTAGGGTATGAGAAACCTTGCATAAAAGGCTACTCTGTACGCCGAATTGCTGCAAAATTCAATTTAATTTAGCCCTAAAATTTGCGTTGTCTTTTGTCTAAGCAGAATAGAGTCGACCTACCAGATTTGTTTTCCTTAATGAGGACGTGAGGAGGATAAACAAGGCTCCCTAGATTATGGTATGGACATTTCAAGTAAGGCTTTGTACATTCATAGCAGATTCCTCCAAATTGTTGCCACCATTCCACAGCATTACATTTAGGATTCATCATAATGCAAAGCTTTTTACATTCATCCAAATTCGAGAGGTGTTTGGACAAAAACGCTCGGCCTTTCACCGTACACCACTCTGGTACATAGTCCTTCCAAGCTAGAGAGGGTGAATGAGTCAATGCAACCATTTGTTATCTGGAATACCTTTATATCTAAAACAACCATCAAATGGAATTGTGAAGCAGAACAGTAAATAGCTAGGTTATTCGTGGTATTCGATCTCTTCTCAGCTTTTTCAACACGCATTGCAATTCCGAACCAGATGAAAATATATTAGGACGTCGATAAAACTTTGAAGATTGAGATTTCTCCCAGATTTCCTCCGTTGCTCGTCGAATCAACAAAATGCTTACCTTGCTCTCCATCCACATCATGTCCAAGAATTTCGCCAAAGGTTACACAGTACATTAATAAGATTAGCAAAACCAAATTTGATATCGACATTGTATCAGTTGGAAACGATGCTTTATCCACAACACTACCCAAAGCTCCTCAGAGAAGTTTCCGATTTAGTTTTTGGCGTACAGCTCATTTCGAGTGCTGCAAAAGATTATCTGAACTTTCTCATCCGTTTGGTTATTCTCTACACAATATGGCACAAATTACAACTTGCAATATTGTCACATGTTCGACAAAAAAACCGATGTAAACATACGTCTTCATTTGTGTCCTGCCATAACAAAGAAAGTGTTTAGATCAGGTGGGAATCAAACACAAAGAACATTTGGAAATTACAGGTGTAATCAAAAGTGTTATGTAACCAAGGTGTAGACTCCATCAGGTATGTAAATAGAGCGCCGCAGACTGGCTCCGAAAAGGTCGGCGTGGATGAGAAATACTCATTAAATCCTTTAATACAGCCAAATTAAATTTAAAAAAATAACAATTTGCTGTTATTTACGCAAGGTAAGGAAACAAACTAAGCGAGTAACAAATTCTTGGTGTGAGGGAATAAATGACATACTCGCTAAAGAATCAAAACACAAAATTTAATGATACTGATTTAAATCCTATTTAAATGGTCCTGGGTACCCGACAAGACCCTTCCCCTAGATACAGCGTTATTTAACGTTTATGAGGAGTTGTGGATGAGAAATACTCATCAAATCCTTCATTACAATCAAATTTTACGTAAAGCTGTTGCAAAGTAGAAAGAATCGTGGGAGGATTTTTTGCTATTGTAAAACAAATTCAGCGTAGAAAAAAAATAATATGTTACCATTATTTACGCAAGGTGAGAAGTAATGAACTAAACAAGGCGAATAAAAAATTCTTGGTAGAGGAAGAAACATGTCATACTCGCTGAAGAATCATCTGATCACGAACAAATTCTAATGGTATTGACTTAAGTCCTATTCAAATAGTCATGGGTACGTGAAATAACCTTCCCCTTGATACAGCTTTATTGAACGTTAATAAGGAGCTGTAGCAGTTTTCTCAACATCAGTCTCGACACCAGCCTCTCTCGTGACAGCTAGGGAGGTCATTAATCCTTTAACTCGGGGGATTACTGATTGAATGACCGAGACAGAATTTCTCCTCAAGTTAATATCAAGAACATAAGTGATGAGAATGAAGAAAAATATCATTTAGGAGATTACTGATTGATCCAATACCAAATTCTCCGAGCTAACATCATAGGAATTGTATGGCAGACAGTAAGGAGAATTGCTGATGAAATCTTGGGAACGAAAGGAATAGTTGGACAAGATTTGAGCTCTTTTGTCTTAGGCGGGTGAGTCGAAGTGTAAAAATGAAAAAACGTTGTCCCGCCTAACAGGGCTACCTTAGCTTCCACGGCGAGACAACTCGCCCCCCGAAAGGAGCTCCATATTTTTTTTATAAAAGGTTAGTTGAAATTTCAGAGAAGTAAGCAAAAAGTTAGCTCGGTCAGAGAAACTGTGAGCTGGAGCTGTCTCGGCTACCCGAGACCATATAAACGGGGCCCTTGTCGCAAGAATACCCGGTAAGTACCAATTGGAAAATAAGGCTTGAAAATTAAAAGAAGAAAAGTGGCGATTGATAAACAGAGATTGATTAAATCACTTTCACACGTACGGTTTTCATCCGAGAAGGGGTCACTTACAATGTATGTTTAATAGTAAGTCTGCTCATTTGCCCTTGTGCTTGATTGGAAACTGATGATGACTGTTTTAAGGCGATAAAATGTTACCAAAAAGTGGTTCTTTAAATTTGCAGCACCGATTTGTTTTGTGGGATTAGGGGATGGAATTCTCAGCCCTATTTAAAATTTGCTCTTCATTTCTCCTATCAAACGTTGAAAATGACCACAGAGTGTAAAAACTCGTCAGAGCAGAATCAACTTTACCTCTTTCATCAAACTATTCTCCCTACTTCTTCTGCTATATGTATTTTTTAAAATAATTCATCAGCCTTGACGTAAAACTGGATAAAGTGTGATTATCGTGTTGGTAGAATGAAATGGCTTTGGTGGTTACCACCATGTTTTATTTCCTCTGATCATTTTTGTAGCCAATGCAGTATAAAACTTTTGTTAGAACAAACCATCGGCGTAGTCTTCGTTAGAGAAAAGTGATAATATGAATAGGGTGTTCTTGAAAGTGGCAGAGATTTCATTTCATTGGAAAACATTTTTTGAGGTTGTTTTACGCGTGTATCACTAGATCGAAACTGGATTGGCTGAGGTTACTCTTACATGTCTTCATCAAAAAGTCTTTGTGGTGTTTTTCAACCAAGTGTCTCTTTTTCGATAATATGACCACTTTACGTAAAACTGATCAGCTTTTTCTTACAATATGAAAATTTCCCTAGAGGGGATAAACTTTTGATGGTGGTGGTACGTGTAGGAGGAAGCTGTAGTCGTAAAGAAAGGAGACAGTATTTCTCTTACCAAAGTTTTATTGCATTGCCTCCTATTCTTTAAATACAATGTTTAGTCAAGTATAGTTTATGAACTTCTGTTCTGTGCTCCAGTTGTTGTGTTTCACCAGTCTTACTCTTCTGGTGACACACTGAGAGGAAAGTAACCCGAGTCTTGACTGGGTTTCTTGAGTGACATCCAAACGATTCCCACAAGGCAGAACGCAGAGATCATTGCCATGGAAACCACTGCTGGGACGGTTACACCTACAAGCAGACAATCAACAAGTTATGTTGGGATTTTTTTTAGCGCAACTGCAAACAATATAACTTTCGTTACATCTTTTCACAGGCTGTTATTAAACCATTATGGTTTCGAGACTGGCAAAGCTTCAGGATGGATTACTTTATGTTTGTGTATCACTGCTCTCTTATTTCTCGGACTTTGTCAACGCCAGTGTTTTATTTAAGCAGAATGGGATCTTTTTGTTAATGTATATACGTATTTTTGGTGATATTGGTTAAACTCCATTTGTATGTGGGCAGAAAGGATAATGAATAACCCACTCGATTGCATGAAACGGCTGTCAGAGAGGGAGCCAAGCACAAGGGAAACTGCCATAAGAACTTTTCCTAGATAAAAACATTGTAGCTAATTAAATTCGGCATTTTTCTTTTACCACTAAGAGTTGATCCAGCGTCTTCTTCATCAGCATAAAATGTTAGTGGTCCCTGAGCTAGTGAGTATATTTTGTCATCAGTGGTGACGTCACGCCTTATCCTGTCTCCTCGAAGGCATCCTTGAGCGCATCTCGACTTTGGATCGGTTGAGTCACAAACCCTTATTTGGCAATGGACAAAGAGGAATGGGTGTTTGGCGATGAATTTAAAGCTTTCTGTGGTGAATCGGAAGGTGCCTACAGAAGACTTCATGATATTGGTAGTTTCATCCACAGGGCACCTGAGGATAAAAGAAACGTTTGTTACTGCTTAGAAATATGCATCGGTGCTTAAATTAGAGAATACAAGAACTTATGTATCAGAATAAGTGAATAAGCCCAAGCACCTTGTATTGTAAACAAGTGCAGCTGTTTTTTTCCTTTCTTATTATTTCCTATTCTCATTATAAAACCCAAGATTTTTTTTCGTCTCTGCAAACCCAGGTGCGGTGAGAAATTCGAGATTTTCACTTAAGTGTTAGAAGAGCATAACTAACCCGTTGGTAATGAGAGGATATGATGTAGCGTGTTTACTATCTTGCGTGGGAGTGGCGACACAGTTTTCACCCAAAACTGACAAAGTTTTGTCCTTGGATTTCACAGATGCCTCGAAGTACAGATCCTGCCTTAGTTTGACTTGCACTGGGTAGTCTTTTTCAGTATAGCGTGACTTAAACCTGATGAATAAAAAGGAGAATCACATGTTTGATGTTAAATATGACGAATGTGGTTGTATCAAACTTGTCCCGAGTAAGGGGGTAGTCTCTGAACAATTGTGGTTCTGCGTTGGTGGGAGAGTATAACAGGGTAATTTGGTATCATCAAATTAGTTGATAACGTAAATTGGACACCGCTTTGAGCGTTAGTCCTTCGTCAGAGCGACCGACAGGTCTTACGCTCGAAACGTCTAACGGTGGCCAATTTACGTCAATTTACGTTAATAGCTCAGTTGATAATACCAAATTACCCTTTCATCACGAGTCAGTCAGTTGGTTTGGCAATGTCATAGCAAAAAAAAGTTAAATATTAATAACAAACCAGACTACATTTTAAACTTCTGTCCAGAGTGTGCGAGTGTGATTGATACTCTTAAGATGTTCGTGGATCAATTTCGTTTAGTATGGGCCGTGCAGTAACAAAAATATCACCAGGTCATCTTTGAAAAAACTCCTCTGAATTGAAATTTACCTGGCTATGTCGACTATGAAAACAGTCGACGAAAACACCGACCATTCAGTGATGTATGATCGTATGAGAATAACTATACTGGCTGGCACAAATCAACACAGTTAAAAATGAATTTTCTTAATTGCAAGTAGATTGTCAGGAGGAAAAGAAATTCATTCATAGATTTGTTAGATCCGCTTTTAAGTTGACGAAAATTCAACTTTTTATTATATAATAAAAATACCATGGCACTGACTTACTGTTGGTCTTCAAACAGATCCAGGGCAACAGTAAATTTTCCTTTTCCATCTTCGTCAAACACCAGTTTCTTGGTATCAGCTTGGACTCCAACGGCGGTTGCAGCTTCAGTATTTTTATAGTAGCAGCTGAAAGGAATCTCAATCTCGCGAACTCTCGTTATAATGGCACCATTTTTTACGGGAATCTCCAAGACAGTGTTGCTGTAGACCACGGCACCCTTTCCGAATCTTGCGGTTGTTCCACAGCCGGTTAATGCAGTTTTAAGGGTGAAGTGGGTTTTAGTTTCCTTGGCAACACATTTGACGTCTCGGAGAGTGACATGTTCACGGCTCAAACCGAGGAGGAGGGTCTTTGGTAATGTGATTGACATGTCATTTTGGTCGCACTTAACAGAAACACCGGAAGCTGAGAGAAACGAAC